TATATTTTTGATATGATATCCTTTATAATTATAGGTATAGTGGGTGTAATGGAGAGGTATCAAAGAACGACTAAAGGCTGCCGATTATAAAGATTTAATGCCGAAAGGTTCTCCCCATCTTCTTCAGAATAGAATAATATCCATGGCACTGTTCTGTTCTTTTATGTACCTTCTGTTCAATCCTTATAGGCAACTCTTCCCTAAAATCATAACGGCCGACTGTCCCTACCAACCCGTAACAATTATTCTTTCGCCGAGAATCTACAAGATTTCCGTGTTTATGAGCGATAATAAGTAAGCCAATATAGTCGCCGTTATTATGTATTCGATAAATTATATAAAGATGCGTCAAAAGTGTCTTTAAAATTACGATTTATTAAGACCAAAGATATCGTATAAAATAACACATACGAAGAGAAATCATGCATTCAATACGATTATAGCCGACACAGTTTTTCGTTGCGTATAATTCCATAAGGCAACACAAATTTGTTTTCATTGAACGCCGGAATTTCCCGAATTGACATGAATTTCATTATCCCAATGTCCCCTTATCGTAATTTTAGCTGAATACATATATTTTATTATCTAACATCGAACATAATGTTTAGGTTTTTTCTCCTAATGCGAAAGTTTCGAGATTGAGAAGATTAGTTTGAAATAAAATAATACATTTTGTACATCCCTTTCGTTTACCTGTGTAACTGCTTGATTTATTTATACAGATATATATATGCAAATGCGTTCCGCATTCTTAAGTTGATTCCTCAATAAACTACAAAATATTACTATAAATATTATGCTCGTGACTAAGAAATGCATACATAAAAGTTTCTTTGTCGTGCAATCTTATAATCTCCAGTAAGGCAATTCGTCAGGATATCATTTATGTGTGACACGATCATCCAAAAGCCTAAAGGGCTAAAGCATTATGCTCCGTGTTACCTTATTAATACCTTTAAAAAAGAGCAGTGTTGGCCCAGTGGCTTCAGCGTGCGACTCTCACCCCTGAGGTCGTAGGTTCATCCCCGACTGTGCACTAATAGGCTTTCTTTAAATGTGCGCATTTAAAATTCGCTCGAACGGTGAAGGAAAACATCGTGAGGTAACCGGCTTGCCTTAGACCCAAAATGTCGTCGGCGTGTGTCAATCTCAGGAGGCTGATCACATGATCACCTACTTACAAACATGATGAACAACACATGATCATGAAACAGATACAGTTATCTGAAGTCCAAACCAAAGAAGGTTGTGGCGCAACTGATTTATTTATTTCAATACTATAAAAAAATAAATATTATTTCAGATTTCTTAATGCGTAAATAAGCAACCTGGTCCCAGAAAACTAAGGACATACCAATAATTATTTTGCGTTAAAATTATCCTAGGATTCGTAATCGTTGTTAATCGTATAAGTAAATGAAGATCGTATTATAGATATAAGTTATAATGCAAATGTAACATAAACAAAATCGCGGTCAGTTAAATCCAGTACAAAACTATACCAAAATATGTCCGTAATGTTTCAAAAGCAAACATAATTAAAATTTTCATCATACGCGACTAACAATCGCCGGTTATGCGAGTTGAAATTGTTAATAAACTCAGTGACAAATGGTAGAAATACGCCGCCACAAAAACATAAAGTTAATTATTTATTTTTAAACTTATGTTAGAGATTGCTTTGCTTATGTTAGAGATTCTTGCTGCTACTTGGTAGAATGCTTCTTAGATCCTATATTTCCGCAATCTGGTCGAAAGTTCATTGACCTTTATTAAAGGTCTCATCAAACTTTCAACCAAACATATCATTTGTTAATTTGCAACAATTTCCATACAAATCGGTAGTGGGCTGATCAATTTTAAAAAAGCGTTCTTAAGTATTTTTAAATTACAGTAAAAACTAAAATTTGTTGTTGAAAGTGTAATATTTTTTGTATTTTTATAATTCATTCATAATTAATTAGTAAAATTTATGTTTACCGTAATTGTCATGTATTTTAGAATAGATTGTAACATATATTGTTGATAATGCATTATATTATATTATGTGGTGATTTTTTATAAATAAATTGTGAATATGGTATGGCAACAATGACTATAATATGAATATATGTATGATGAATAAAAATCAAATGTGTTGCTGAAATGTGTTTAGGAAACAACATTTAGAGTTTGTTCTGTTATTTGAAAACAATTACTTTCATCCTATTTCTTTTTTAATCCAAAATGTTCTAACAAAAAAATCTTCGAATTAAATGACAGACCAAAACTAGCGTCTGTTCCACAGAACAACAAACAAGTTAAATGAAACGTCAGTTAACACATAATAGATAATAAATAATCTAAAGAATCTAATCTTAGAAATATGTATAATTATTTATTTACATATGAATAAATAATAAGCATATTAAAATTTAAAACGACTTGTATCACAGAAAAATGATCAATTAAGATGTACTACGTTCTTGATTACGCGCTGTCAGACACCGATTCGAATTTGTCTCTCGCTAGAATGTATTTATAAAAAAATCCCAATGGGATCACGGAAGACACACTAATAGTTGAATTCCTGGTTCATCCAGTTATCTATTGTAAATGGCCTTAGAAGTTCATTGGCAACGGGTAACCTTTCAGCGAATTCCGGGTTATTTACAAGTAATTTTGTGTCAACCTTCAGTACGTGTTATGAGTTATTGTCCCAAAATAGAGATGCGACCGAATTTCAAGGTATGCGTCTTTTTGTTATATTAACTCTTTTGGTTTATAGCCTGCCTGTGTTTTTTTTTCATTTGTCATACACGAAGATAGTAAGGAATATGTTTAGGAAAAAACATTCGGAATTATTCAGATTTTGCTATCATTCCCGAGTGGTATTGCAATGTAATTCAGACAAGAAGAAATTAAAATTTTAACAGTTTATAAATTAAATATATTTATATATAATACGTTCTAAAACAAGAGAATATGACATGACAAATTTAAGACACATACACATCCATACACATATTATGCAATCTATCAAGGCAAAAAATAATAACTAAAACTAAAAAGATAAAAAATAAAATAATAAATACAATAATAACCAAAACTAAATGAATGAATGAATGAAATGAATACACGAGATGTTTAAATTAGGTACTACTTTCGTAGCTGCGTTGGTTTACTTAACTCAATGGGATTAGATCACAAGTCCAGGGACAGATTTTTGGCAAAGAATTCTTTTATTTAATGACATCTTAGTTTTCCGAGCACCTAATTATTATAATAAAATCTGTTTGACTATAATATACTAACACGTACTATAAACTAACAATAAAATAAAATAACTTTGGAACGGTGTTTTTAGTACCTATTTTTACTAGTCTGAATATTCTTCAAGATAAATAAATTTGTCATTTATCGTAGGATTATTTCTCTTATACAAATATCAATTAATATATGTCGAGTCCTTTACCCGTTAGTTGTAGCGGAAAATCAGATTATCACTCATTGCCAAATGAATTTTTGCATCAATCATCTTAACGGCCTTAGGCCTATAATCGCCAAATTTTATGACCAGCACCGAAACAAGCGTTTTTATCACAAACGATATTAAAATCAAAATACGTTTATTCAGTTAGATGCGTCTTAGCGCATGCTTATGAATGTCAAAAACGTTTATAGAATTCGTGAAAGAGAATTGTGACGCTTAAAAGGGTCTTATACTATTACTGTGTAGCTGTGTGTGTGTTGGTGAAATTAATAATATAGTATGAAGTGGAGTCACGTGTTTGATTAATGAATGGAAAGAAACCGAAAGTGTTTAGTATGTAGACATGTAAACATCCTTTTGGCAGTTTGACAGAGGGATAGCACATTTTTTTACTTGATTTTTCATATAAAAATAAATGGTAGGGCAACGTCACTTATTCTAGTTGAGTCTAATTAGTACCTTAAATCTAAATGGACCAAAGGTTATTTATTCAATGTATAGTTTTAAATTTAAAAGGTGGGCCGATGAAATCATGGAAATGGCTGGAACGACTAAGACGAGACTAAGAGAGACCTGGACGAGATTGGTATACAATATTAAAAGCACATCCAAAGTTACCTTGTTAAATGACGTAAAGAATATGTGAGGTAAAAACGTAAAAATTATAAAATCATTAACTGAAATCGCATTTGATGTTACGTAAGCCTATCGTGCCCGCTTCAGACTTACGTTCGAGTCGCTCATTTACTGGCCCGTCTAATATTCTGACCTTACACAAATATTATTGCTAATTCGATTCAATGTCGTTATGTGTCGGTTGAGGATATTATTCGCAACTAACCTGACTCATCCGTAAACATTTCATTAGGATACTCCAGACTGCAACCTACTATGTATACGTATTGGGCGAGTATTTGTACGGAGCAGTAATGGTCCATAAAGATACAATCCGGGAAGCTTTTTATAGATATGTAATTTTAAACGCACTTGCGGCGTGAGTAATTGATATATTGTGTTAAATTATTATACAATCACTTTACCCATTTTTTTTTCTTGTTTTTCCTTACTAGGATTGCCTGGAAGAGATCGCTTGCCGCCCGTTTCATTCCTTATATTTCTTATACATAATATATTAAAAATATATTTGCTTTTCTATAAATGTAACGAAGTGTAAATAAGTTAATGATTAATTATACCAGTAATATAAAGTTCTTATGAGATGATACAATTCCACAATTAATGAAACGATTTTCCCGAAAAATTTATGATTTACGGCCCGAAATTTTAGAATCATAGAATATAATTTTAGAATCTATGCGTAATAGCTTTAAAAAAATACCAGAGAAAAAGTTTTAGAAATGATGCTCATAGCTTGGAGTCCTTTTATACGAAAAATCTCTCAATTAACTTGGATATTTATATACACGTATTTAATAATTAAAAAACAAAATGTTCTATATTTTGTAATAAATTATTAAGCATTCTACAATAACAAATTCACATCTATTTTACAACATTAATATCTTTAATCTATTTTATTTTTAATATATCTGTTGAAGCAACTTTTAATCAACGCTTTTAATATAGAAAGCAAACCTAAAATCATCATGATTACTATAATAACAATACTGATGAGCACACTATAGACATCTAGTAGCGACCTCTCAAACCACGTGCTCTGTTTGGACGGTAAACTCGGCGGTGCAGAGCGATGTCTTGCTACGTACTCCGTCCAATAGATGGCGCTATCCAAAACATCTACGGGTCTGTCATTCCACAAACTTTGAATATTACGAGCGTTTTCTTGCATTCTGTAACGAATTAAGATAAATTGTAGTATTATGATAAAGCATTTTCTACAGCACTTCAACGCCTACATACCTACGGATACTGACTGATTTTGACAAATTTTATTTAAAATAGAACCTTGTAAACTGGAAAATAAACTTTATCCTATAGGAAAATAACAATAAATCAGTGGCACTACAACCTTTTTAGTTTTGGGCCTCAGATAAATGTACCTGTTTATAATCATTTGTCAATATAATGCAAAAGTAGGTGATCAGCCTCCTGTACCTGACACACACACGCCCTCGACTTTTTGGGTAAGGCAAGCCGGTTTCCTCACGATATTTTCCTTCACCGTTCTAGCGAATGTTAAATGCGCACATAGAAAGAAATTCCATTGGTGCACAGCTGGGGATCGAACCTACGACCTCAGGGATGAGAGCCGCACGCTGAAGCCACTAGACTAACACTGCTCAAAACTTAATCCTATTCGAAGTGGTGGAGGACTGATGACCTGTAACACTGGTACTCTTACACTAGCAGGCATCAGTCTCACACAAACAAGCATTTCCCTCAATAGAAGAAAGACAATTATTTATTTATAATAATAAATAACTGTAACTTGTTTTTGTATGAAGTTTTTGTGAGAAATAAATAAAGATTATAACTATACAAAGCATTTCTCTCTTCAACAATCTTTGTCAACTAAACTTACTTCTTTGACGTTAAATATTGTATGGCATCCGTCAAGCTGTCAGCATTTACTTCGTCAAAATATAATATTTTTCCCAGCCCCGACTGTTCAATTGTGGCCGAGTTTGAAAATTGATCCCCAAAAAAGGGTATTGTCAACAATGGCTTTCCACAATGCGCCGCTTCGGACAGACTTAGCATTCCACCGTGTGAAATAAATGCTAGGACTTTTTCGTGACCTGAGAAAATGTATATATAAATTCTAATATATTATATATTCTCGTAAAAGTAGAATTAGTGTTCATTATAATGATTTTGTTATGTAATAGGAGGCAAACAGGCACGAGGCTCACCTGATGTTAAGTAACACCGCCGCCAATGGACACTCACATTGCCAGAAGGCTCGCAAGTGCGTTGCCGGCCTTTTAAAACTTGGTATGGTCTTTTTTTGAAGGACCCTAAGTTAAATAGGTTCGGAAATACTTTAGTGGGCAGCTGGTTCCACATAGTGGAAGTGCGCGGAAAAAATTGCCGGTATTAGTCCGAACAACTCCTCTCAGTTTGATTTTTTTAATAAAACAGAGGCCTATTAAAAATGAATGCACAAAATAATATATTAAGTTAATAGTCACACATACTCTCTCCCACACACGCGAACACACCCATAAACATATCGTACATACATAATACATACCAATATTTATAAGTATTATATTTTAATAGGGTAGGCCGTTCATGGTATTTCTTTGTTAACGCCTTTAGTACACCTACGCGTTCGTATGCGGTTGCGAGTCTTTGCGAAATAATTGCGGTAGCGAAATATCTGCGTAACGTTAGTACACTGCAGTTTTTTCGCAAGGAAATGTCATTGTAGCTTTATTTCTTACCATCTATCCCCGTCTTTTCTTGAATTTTCCTCCATGCCACCTCTTTTTTGTATGCATTTTTGTAATTAACATGCCCAACTAAATATAATTCGGGATAATTTCGAATCAAATTTAATAATAATTCAATATTTTCGGCTTCCATTGTGCGAAATTCTGTCCTCACTGACAGAACGCGTGGTGACGCATTGCGATGCGAAACTCCGCTAGCGAAACGGCTGCGTCTGTGTAACAGCCATTTCGCAGTTACTTGCGAAACAATACCGACAAGGACGCAACTATTTCATCTAGCTATATAATAGAGACAAAACACATGCGAAACGTTGCCATACAACTTACAGTTTTTTCGTCGTTTCGCTGCCGCATGCGATTGCGTAGGTGTACTAAAGGCGTAATTATTATAAATATGCATTATAATTTTTATAAAAGCTGTTGGCTATCTTAATAAAATAAATACTTGAACTCATGATTTGGATAGGAAAATTATTGTTTTGTTGGATATTCCATTTATAAACGAAAGTTTTGGATTATATACACTTCAATCTAACTAACGCAGATATGGCACAACTAGTAGGTAACTTATCACACAATGTAAATGCTAACTTTCATAATAATATTTAAACTACTAGCAGACTCGGCCAAGCGTTGCTGTGGCTAAGGTTTTTGTTATATTACATAGTAGTAAACTATTCAAGGGAAACGGTAGGAGAACACCAGTCATGGGGACCACCATGCTTTTTTGTGGTTATGCCATTAAATTGTAGCTTATGTGAAACGTTGGTACTTTCAACACAGCGCCACCTGTTAGAATTGTGACTGTCAAATAATTTGCAATAAATAATATGGCGGGTATAAATTAAGATGTAAGCTTTCCTATCTTTTAAGTTAGATCAAACTGCACACGGTGGGCATATTTGATTGAAGTCGGTTATAGTAGTTTAGGAAGCAATAGCGGACAAACAACGTGCCGCGTAAAAATATATTAAGATATAATTATTTGCAAATACAGTGTCGAGACTACTACTATTTATATCTGATAGCATCTAGTTGAATTAAATGTTTTAATAAAACCTAATTTAAATGACGTTTTCTAATTAACTCCAGACTCCGCGAAGGTCGTATAGGTAAAAACCCCCAGCCTCGGCAATCTCCGTTTTTTATCGAATCACAAACCTGTATTTACGAATACCGTTATATTAGCACCAAACAACGCGTGCAAACTGCAAAGATATTAGAATCAAACATTTTATATCTATATTTATAGCTTTGTTTGATTGAGCGCTCTATTTTCATTAAATAGTTCGAATTGATACAATCTTGTATTGCAAAGCTTTTATAATAGTAGAACATCAATAATTATCAAGATATAGTAGAGTATCTCAAACCGAGAATTTACTGTGCTTATAAGTAATATAAATATTATTACTTTCGTACTAGTTTCCCTATAAGAAGCGCACCTGATCGATAGTGACCCAACTCCGCAAACGGACTCGCCTGTACTATATGCCGACAACGAATTATATTTCGGCTATACAATGCGCAGAGGCAATGAGAACTTGGAGATTCTGATCGTGGTTGGTAACATAGAAGGCAAAAGATCACGTGGCCGTTCACCAACCAGATGGACCGATCAAGTGAAAGACTCATCGTCCTCAAAACTTTATACTATTATATAGCAATAATATAATGCAGGAGTTACAGATACCGGCAAACATCTTGAACAAATGTCCTTGCCTGCGCAGAAGCGAGTTTCAGGTATCACTAGGAGGGGCGGCGGGGGCGGCGTGATTGGTAAATCAGTTGACGTTTGTGTCCCGCGCTGCGCGAACTTTCCCCCACTCCCTTGTTTAATGTTCAAGAAGTTTGCCGGTATCTGTAAATGTGCATACGGGTAGACCTAGAGTATACTTACATAAGACATCACGTTGCGGGAACCAATGTCGTGTATAAACATTCTCACTTGCAATATTCGGAGATTCGATTTTCCACAAAACTTTTTGTGGTATCTTTTTAAAGGCATCCAGAAACGCTTGCATTTTCTTTGTACTTAATGTGCTAGCATTTAAATTAGAACCAAAACTCACATAAATTGCCCCGTGAGGTGCTGAGGATAGGAATGTGTCTATATCCTGGAAATAAAGGTGTACTAATTAAAAATATGTACAAGCTTGTAATTTGATACGATCGGTCTTATCATAGGACAATAATCTTCTGTAAGTGTTTTGTTTAACTTTGTGCAATATATATCTGATAGATAGATACATTCTAATACCTATTAAAGAAAAATTTAATAACGATATAAATAGATAGATATTTTAGTAATTTAGAACCAGCCTAAGCTTACGTAACTTATGTTACGTAATTTATACCTATAACATAAAGACACACATGTAAATTATAGGTACGTTAACTTTCCTCATGACGTCACTGTAGAATGATAACCTCATATGTCAAAGAACCATTTATTTTCACTGGTCTGTTTCAAAATGTACGGATAAGTTCCAAATTAGCTATTAACTACTTATTGGTAGGATAAACACTATTGTTGCGATTCACGACTGTCAGAAAGCGCTATTCGTCACATAGTCCATCATAAGTTATGAGTCCGATGAAGTGTCAAATAGCACAATTTATCTTCCAAATAATTTATGTGTTGCATATCTATTTGGTGCTTTATCCATACATTGTGAAACTGAACCTTAGACTCATGTCTTTCAACTGGTATAATCATGAAGTAAGGATTTATTTATGTTATTAATAAATAAGTCCTTTTTACCATCTAAAACTATGGACAAAAACAAATAGTAATATTTTAACGAACATTAACGAAATGAAACATTTTTTTCGTTTCCCGTAATGTTTGGTTCTCTGGACGCGGTTATCATTCTACAGCGACGATAAGTATTTTGCAGTAAAATTAATAGAATTTCTTAAATGTCACATTTTAACTTTATATCTGAGTTATAGTTGTTAATAGTCGTAAATATCTTTTGATTCGACATATTTGTATGATCTAATTACTTCTTCATATTTGTACTACCTTATCATTGAGCTCATAAACTACTGTACAGATAAGGCAATGCTACCCAAAACAAACACGTACCTTTGGTATCTGTTTGGCTTTATTAATATGTATACCGCCAATTTCCACAACTTGTGGGGGCAAAAGACGGGCACCAGTTACAGAGAAATGCTGATACACAAACATCATCATCATTTTCTCCATTATAGCCTTTTCCACATCCCCACGAAATGTAGGTATATGCCTCTTGAATATACTATTAATTGTTTTAAATATTTCAGGCTGCAAAACATGTTGCGCCCATATATTGGTTAAATATGCTTCTATTTTGTGGTATAGCGAAGGATTCTGACCGCCAGTTGAGAAATAAAACGCGTCTGAGGAAAAATCGAACGGGATTCCCAGCCTTGAGTACGACCAAGGCAAGAGCGTGTGTGACGTGATACCAATAATAGGCGCGTCATACAAAGCGGCAGCAAAAGCAGCACCACAGTCACTCATAAATTGTTCAACAATTATCACATCAAATTTCTGCTTCTTAGCTAGAAAGTCAACAACCTCCTTACTGGTGACTAGATGCTCACAGTCTTGTCCTACGTGTTGAGGTCTTGCCAAAAAATGATAGTATATATTTATCAAACGCATATAATGCGAGTTAGAACCCTCATATGCCGACATCGGCGGCATCCTTATATGTGGATATCTATCACGGGATAGATCAATAAACGTCATATTGGGTGGAGGGTCTTTTTCCAAGTAGTTGTTCATAACTGTCACCGAGTGTCCCCTGCTCGCCAGTTCTCGGAAGAATCTGTCGAAAGCCATATAATGGCTCTTAAGGGGTAGAGTCACGATGGCGAGTACGTTAAGCGCGGCAGCATGATTAAAGAATTGAATCACTATTATAAATACGAAAAGCTTTATCGAATTCATAGCTTTATATTCTAAGGTCAACGAACGCAATTAGCGTGTCGCGAGTCGTTCTCGATCAGAGGACCATGATCAACTGACGATGCGTTTCGACATTCACTACGCTATACATGAATGTAAATCATTATACAAGTTGATTACGTATATGTTAGCACACGCAAAATCACGCAATATTATGATTCCGACAGAATTTTGCTACAGTCGCGTTCTATAGCTGTCTCAACATTTTTGTCTTTAACTTGAAATTCAAAAGCACAATACAACTTGTATAGGCTACAGACAGATTCCTGCAACAATTCTAAGCAGAGTTTAGTATTGAAAAGTATAGTTTACATATAGTTCTCAACTCTGAGAAGTGAGAACCCTTTGAATAACAGCTGTGCAGGAAAATAATTATCTTTCTATGTGTGCAAATAGCAATCGCTTGTGAAGGAAAACACCGTGAGGAAACCAGCATGCCTTCACCTAAAAATCGACGGCGTGTGTTAGGCACAGAAAGCTCACCTGTTAAGAAACAAAAAAGGATCGCGAATTGATATAGAAATGTGAGGCTCAGACTTAAAGTTTGTGCCACTGGTTCCTTAGTGCAACATTATTATTGCGGTAAATATGAAGATATTACGTAATTCATATTAAATAGGTACATAGTTTTAATCTCGTAAAGGAAATTCATGTACTTGGGCGAAAATTCTTGCACTTTTGTAATGAGAAACCTTAATCCATGTCCATCTAAAGATTCTTTTCATCATATGCAATTATTTAGCAGTATGGTAATAGGGATGTTCACCTTTCCTTCGGATTGTGGAGAGTGGACGCACAAAGACCAAGAGGCAAACCAAGGCCAATTCTGTGTAATAAATGATAAACAGTACGGTTTTCAAAGAGGTAAAAATACTATCCTAGCAGCTTTCTCTTTAATTAAGGTAATTGTTGAACATTTCGATAGATGCAAGCAGGAATCTGTAGTTATTTTTGACATGAGCCAAGTATTCGATTGCGTAGATTATAGAATTCTTCTTCAAAAGTGTAGGATTTATGGAATCTGAGGATTACCTATGAATTGGTTGGAAGGTTACTTAACTGGGCGTAAACAATATGTTGATATCACACATAAGTACTTCCTCTCCTAAAGATATTGAAATGATAAGTCTGTAGCTATGTACTTATTGCCAGAAAGCCTTTCCCCAGGGGAGCATACTGGGCACATTACTGTTTCTTCTATACATTAATAATTTACCGAATTTGTTTAGTAATAAATGCGTTCTTTATGTATCCGAAGTACTACCCGTAACCACAAATCGTAATTAAAGGAAACAGAATAGAATGTCAAGGAATGGCTAGAAAATAATAATTTAAGTGTAAATATTAAAAAAAACAACTATATTCAATTACGGAATTATATAATAATAATAATAATAAATAATAGCAGATCCAATTAGTTCAAAATTACTTATCAAATCGAGTTAATTGAAGAAGTTTTTATTACTCGGAAAAATGTATTAGGGCTTTTATTGCTATTGGACCTCTTAGGTGTAGGTCATTTTTTTACGAACTTTTGACAGTACCAAGTTTGTAATAACACTAGAAGCAATTATGACTGTAAAAACACATCCAAAATTATTCAAAACATTTGTAAGTTGCCTGTATCTACCCGGCTGTGGGTGCCTGCATGTTGCCCCACGATGTATTCACAAAATTGTTACTCCATGGCTATTAAACTATTTAATCACCTTCCTAGAAGTTATAAATCATTGTCGTGTAATGGTTTCAAGGGGAAGGTGATTAAATGTTGAAAAGCAAGGTGCCTTTATAGCGTGGGAGTATTTAGACTATAAGGTTGACAACAATTATAAATAACTTAACTTATTATTAATAACTAATAAAACTTATTAATGAGAACATTATGATAATTAATATGATATTTGCATGCCTATTTTTATATGGTTGATTGTGCGGATTTTTGAAGTGAAACTTCTTTAGGCACATGAGGGTGAAATTTTACGGAACGTCACGAAGATGTGCAGCGTTTTTGTCGATTTTTTTTTCATTAATAAAGATGTGCTAGTATGATATTGTTGTGCAATTATTCATACTCGAACACCGATGGTGTTTTTCATGCATATCAATATCATTATTTTATTAAGTAACTAAATTACCAATTTTTTTATTGTCTTTGAATTTTTATGTGGGCACAGAACCAAGAACTTTTTTTCTAAGACCCATTTGGCTATTTTAGAAAATGGGTACATAAGTTAGCAATTATGATAATAATGAATTTGTTATATTATTTGGTAATTGTTACCATATTTATGGTGGTATTTCTATATACATAACAACAACTAATTTTAGGTCTCGTTTTTAATTAGCCTTAGTATCATTCATTAATGTAGAAAGACTGGCAAAATTTAATTATGGGATTTGGGCAGCTCAATTACTCAATAATTAATTTACAAAGAAGTTTCATTTCTGACATGTGTACTTTGTACGCAAGCAGTTTTTTTGTTATTTGATTAATCAATCTGAATATACCACTTTCTTTGCAAATAAACTTATGTAATCCTGTGATAACCTTAGTGGTATTAATAAGGCATTCCATAATAAATAAATAATTTATTAAAAATAACACAAATTTAAACAATAACATAATAAAATACACAATTTAAATACATATAATTTAAAACAATCGCCTTTGAACAATATAAAGGCAAACGGCTAGAAAGAATAAAAATGCGAAAAACATGATAACTTTATCGGTAAATTCACGGCGGCCATACTTTTTCAATAATTTACTGGATTGTTGAATTGTACTGCTCGTGTTTTGTAGCTCTGACTGTGTGCCCTGGAAAGAAATTACAAAATCTAGTAAATACTAGCTACGAAATATTTGCTAACACATAGCTAACTATATCTAATCAGTTATTGGTTCTAAAACCAATAACAAAATGAATGATATATCTAGAATATTGATTTTCTTTCTTATTATGCGTAATGAACACTCGCTTATACGGTGAAGGAAAACGTCATAAGGAAACGGGCATGCCGAAGATCCAAAAAGACGGCGTGCGTCAGGCACCTACTTGCCTATTGATCACGGAACAGATAGAGAAATCTGAGGCCAAGACTAAGTAGCGCCACTGTATTTTGTTATTGATATATCATAGAATAAATAGCGATTATAGACTAGACAGTAACGATTCAAAACTTTGGCGACAATAGGCATTTTTTGATGCGTACGGGTTTTCTTACGACGTATCCTTCACTGTAGAAGATATAGATTACGAACTTAAACTCTGGGATTCGAACGCACGCTCACTGTAATATATAAAGTAAAATAAATTTATACACAGGTTAATGAAATTCAATTATTACGCACCCTTATTTGAGTCGAAAAACATTCTAGTGATATTTGCTATGCAATTTTTAACAGGCGACCGATTTCTAAATGACGGTAACTTTTTTCTGGGTAAATTTTAATGAAAAGCCTTAAGCTTCAATACACATTTTTGAGCACAACAACCGTTAAGTAGTATTGGAGATTAGCGTGTCCGTACAGACAAAATATTTGTTTTTGGCCACACAAATTTTTAGATAAATATATTAATAAGTAGGTTTATGCACTATATAAATATTAAACACACTTGTCTATTGAATGCATTTCGGTCCAGTTAAAACATTTTAGATGCTGCGATGCGATGCTGATGGGACTGCATTTTCTGACGTTTAAGAATTATCGTTAAATGGAAGGAATCATAGAAGAAAGCCAAAGTTGAATAATTTTCACGATTTTCGGAGTAAAGCGGGCCATAGACGGACCGCATGTTGCAGTCAAGACCGACTGCAACATACTGTCGCCGCACGGCGATCTGCAGTTTCCATACTAAATTCATATTCGCAATACACGGACCGCTCGAGCAGTTCCTGAGCAAACCGCATGTTGCAGTCGGTCTTGACTGCAACATGCGGTGCGTCTATGGGCCGCTTAAGCCATCTAATCAATAATAAGTACATACATGAAGTATACACTGTTGTCAAATTCTTGTGACCGGTATGAAAATTGTATGTTTATCTCCCTTCCTGCTTTAGCTCCCAATAATCTTAAGTTCGCTTTAGATACAATTTGTATACTATAAATTAACTTACATGCACGGCTGTACTTGAAGATACCAGATTATCAAGTGTATCTTGGCTTCTTTGTGTGGTTGCAGCTAGTTGTCTGCTTATTGTTAACAATTGCTCCGTTACACCTATGTAACATTAGACATCTTTAAAAAATTATATACCACATCTCTATCTATAGACTACAATACCATCTAAAAGTTATAATTATTCCACTAGTTTACATAACAGACAAAAAACTACCTCTAAGGCATCGCATGGCATGTTTCAGCATTGAATATGATTCATATTTATTTATTTATAGCCTATATCATTATTATACATTATAGTTATTGTTTTTCTTAATCAACGATCACGAATTGAATTTTGAATACCAATCTCGTCCAGGTCTTAGTCTTAGTTGACACCAGGAAATGGCTGGAATATGATTCATACAATCTGCTTCTAATAGATTTAACAGACAATATTCAAATTATCAGTTCAATATTCGAAATGTTTCTTCCCTATTTTCATAAGAAACAGAACAGGAAGTTTTTGACATTATTTCACAATAAGGTAGAACTCTATATAATTTTGACTATAAATACTCATAGTCTGTGCGGAAAGAAAACTGTACTGGAACTTGAATATAAAATAATATATATAAATACCTGTAGATGATTTGAGCAACCCATCTCTGTCCACTTTTTTATTTCTCAACCGTAAGACTGACTGTTCACCTTCAGGACTTTTCAATAACTCTTCTCTTTGTACCCTTTCTATTTCCAACATGCTATTTATATTTGCTTCTTTGAATTCCTTGATGAGACTAAAATAAATAACATATATTGTATATTAAAACTAACAAAGGCTTATTACTTAGGTGTAGATACTGTAAAAAGTTTTACTGTTATATGAAATAAGTTTCATTCAAATTACATATTGCCATCAGTTGTATATACATTATAGAATATATAGAGTAGTGTTGACCAAGTGGCTTAAGCATGCCACTTTCAACCATACCATTTACCATATAGTGAAGGACAACATTTTAAGGAAAATTTGCATTATAGATATGCATGGACTTAAAAATCAACAACATGTGTCACCTACTTTGTAACAGGCAATCAGAGGGCTTGGCCAATATGGGACAAGTGGATTATAATTTTTTTAATCTATACCAAGCAAGATTGGTCACAATGCCAAATGTAAATTAAAATTACCAAGCTTGTAAATGACGCTGTGATACCAATTCTGCAATAAACCTTGAATCCACCAATTCCTTCACATACACGTCTAGTTTTTCTAATAAGTCCCTTAAATTTGATATTACTACTCTTCCTTTTTCGTTCAGTTCATTTAACTTTTCCATGGAATCATTGCATTTTAAAATATCCTGAAACAAGAAAATAATAAATAAGTAATACATGTCACTTTTAAAAATAACAAGTATTTAATCATAATGGTACAGACGTGAATAATAGCTTTCAATTGAAAGTGGTACTTAGCAGCGGTTTTCACATAATCTTGATATTTACTATCAATATTATTTGATCTTTCATGGGATTTAGCCTTTACATATTTTCGTTCAGCATCCATGACTATATATCCAGAGCGAAGCAATTCTAATCAAATGATTAATAATATGTAAAGAAGTTTTCTAAGTAAAGTACAATCGATGACGAATAATAATTGTGGATAAAGGAAATATCCTAGGTTCAAAAGTTCTACATTAAACATAAACAGTTGTTCGAAATTGCCATAGATATTAGATAGAAGTGGAACAATTTTATGCTATAGATTTTTTTTTTTTTGGAGTTTATGGCCTGGTATCTAGACCTTTAGGCCAATTTATGCTATAGATATAATATAAAGTTACAGATATAATATATTAATGTTATGCATATCACAGACTATAATTATGCCTATTGCCTACTATTAAAAACTCAAATGGCAACAGACAATATTAAAGTAGAACCGCGTTTAAAACAAAGATAATATAATGTTTCTATTAAGTATATAGTACATACACTATAGCAAAAGTGCCTTACCTTGATACGAATAAGTATTTAGTTTTTTACATAGTTATTGATACGAATAGTGTAAACATCAATTTACTCTTGAATTTTCATCACGTAACTTTAACGCTCAACATGACTTTTTTAATGGTAATTTATTTAATCTTATTCAAGTGAGAGACAGTTTTCAAGAAATAAAGGATGATGTGCTTTTGCCCCTCTAAGAGATGTTCTGCAGATAGGACAAAACAATTTAAATTTTTTTGCGGTCAAAAGGCAGGTCGTGCAAAATATATGACCACATATTGTGGCAGAGACGGGCTGTTTTCCAAGATCTTCATAACAAATGGGACATGTAATTTTTAAAGATTTTCGGTTTCGTTTATTTTTCGCCTGAAAAATTTAAGTTGTATAGGATGCATTTTAGTAATAGTTTTCGAATTCTATAAAAAAATATCTATATTCCATTCCTTTCTTCATAGAATTTGGAATTTTTTTGTTAGACAAAACAAAAAATCTTTTAAACACCGCTATTATTACCTGATAGCGACCTCGAAATCAACACTTTTAATTTTAAGTATAATATTATTTGTTGGATAATGTTTTCTTTTGCTTTATATAAGTCATATAATACAAGTAAAAGTTTATTTTATATTATAAATATTAATTTATATTAAAACAACATTAGAATACCTAGTTGATGTATTCGGAATGGAGCTTTTAAGAATTTAGATATATATTTACTCACTTTTGAAATTGTTGTTTTACTTCCTCTTTTTTTATTTTTATTCTTCTTGCCCGATCCTCTAGTAGAAGCCATATGTTTCAACATAAAATGTATAAAAAGAGCATAAATAAATAAAGAGAAGTAAACAAATTTTCTGGTAAAAAGTACTATATAAAATTTAAATTAAACAAGTAATTTCGACATCGCATAAATATTATCAATGTGAGGAAAAATTTCTTCTCAATATGTAAACATAAAGATGACAATCATATAAATAGAACTTTTTAAGGAAACCTCCTTATAGACATTTGATTTAACGCTCCAAAATGAAGCAATTCGAGGAATCGCAACGCTTTACAATTTTAAAAACGCACGCATACGTCCGGTGTCAACGTGCACGGTCGATTTACACTAATATTATGAATATCTTTAATAGATTGGATAGTACATGGATATAAAATACACCACAGAATAGTGGACAAATGATGGTCAAAATGACGGAAGCTCCTATAGTCATATTGAAACATAAATCAGAAATAAAGTGACTCGTGAAAGTGACATGAAATTTGGGAATATAAAAACATTGCTGTTTTTTACTACTTTTATTTATCTGCAAATCTGAATTCCAAAACTTATTAGGTCACACTTCAATAACAGGCCGCGCAAGGTAGATGGCTGTGGGTCTAGGGAAGCCGGTCATAAGCTATGTTTATCCTTCACCAAACACTGGCACCCTTTTGGACCATTTTAAATCACTTCGCATTGCCATCAGCCTCCGCTTAGGAGTGCCCATGTGTACTCCCAAAAAGTGTTCCTGAGGCTTTGAAGTAAGTAGCATTGGACACCATGGCCTCCATTGCCAAAAGAATGCAGGTCGTTTTTCTCGCCAAGCAGCGCTCAATGACATTATACGCCGCTCTCTTGCCTCCGTCAATGTTCCAGCCATTTTGGAGCCAACAGGCATCGCAAGAGACGATGGCAAGCTGTCGAATGGGATGTCATTGATCCCTTGGAAGATGGGACGAGCTTTGGTATGGGATGCTCCTTGTGTGGACACGTATGTCCCGTCTCACCTCCCTCGGACAAGCAAAAATACTGGGGGCCGCAGAGCAGGCGGAAAATAATTAACGGCTCGCATATGAATATTTCCTTCCTACTTCGATTTTGTTTACTAATTAATTTTGATGTGATTACTAATTAAGTGACACATTTTTAAGTTAATGTTATATAATCTTAGTTTTAAGGCTCGGTGACATGTCGCTTTTGAATATCTCCAATATTTATACAGGTTTGCTGTATTCTGTGTTAGCCGCCAAGAAAATACTATTTCTCATAATAAATAATAATACTTCTTCAAAGCCTTTTATTCCTTTACAATATTAGGTCTTATTCTAGAGATATAATATCTAACACAAGCTCCTCATCCATTTCGCTTTTATTGCGCCATCACGTTTATAAATTATCCACGTCGTCATGTTGCAAAAAGCGTGGTAGAGGACGACCGCATAAGCGATGAGATGACATATTGATCAAATAAATTATATGCGGTAATAGTAAATAATTAACATACGACATTTATCATATAACCCTTAGGAATTAAGGGTTAATTCATACTAGCTAGTATTATTTTCTATAAGTCATTATATGTGACTGATATAATTCTTTATATCACCTACAAGAGAAATTACCTTCGGCGTGTTTTTAATCTTTATTATTTTCTAAAAGAAACAGGAAGGTTCATTCAAATGTTGCACAACGCAGCAACACTTTCTCTTTTCAGCTTTAACGGCAACTAAATCTTTGGACTACATCTATATAATTATATATAAAGCTAAAAATTATTCAACAACATCGTTGAGCACTGCAAAAATTGAATATGCGTTGTAGAGCGCCTGAAAAAAGGAAAATCACAAGATTACCCTGTTGAGTAAAATCCTGAACTATAATGTTTAGTATAAAGTCGAACCCGGACAAAATGATAAAAAAATTATAACAGTGGACAAAAATTATAAATAATTAAAAATAAAATTAATAGTTCTCAGGAGTTTGAGCAATGCAACAGATGAGCCCGTAAAGAGAACCGGTGTGGCAGCTATATAAACTAGTAAAATTGTTACAAACTTTTAATTTCTTCATAATAAGTTTCAAGATTACTATCGAAGTATAATGAGATAACAGGGTTGTCGAAGAAGGTAATTTAGCACTATAGCGACCACAAATCCGCACAGACTACGACCGGATTGGTTAAGATGCGACAGTAAACGTGGATTTAAGTACCTGACTATAAGTTTGTATGCACATGGTGGCCATGCCTCCAGCGCTTAATTTAAGTGGCTTCTGCGCAGCTCGAATCACTGTTAATAAATCTCTCTGAAGATCAGAAGGCCATGATGTCCATGCACTCTCATACGCTGCTAATGCTATACCTTCGCTCTTTAAAAATAAATATCTTCTTATTAATTTATTCGTTTGATTTGTGATTATAGGAAAATAACTTCAAATTCTTGTAAATAATATAAGAAAGATGACGTTTTACGGTTTTTCAAACAATTGTGTACTTTTAACCATACTTTACGATATATTTATTACAAATTTGAATGTTTTTAATTGTGATATTAAGCTTTTTTATGATATTTTTCCGAGTCACAGGAATTTGGTTGGAAGAACAAGATTATATTTATCTTACCTTTTCAATTAACTTATCACCTAAATAACAAAATATGTACGCGTTTAATAACGCAACTAAAAGAAAAGCAATGAAATTTGCTAAGAGAGTTTTCTGTTCGCACCCAACCTGGAAAAGTATTTAAATTTAAATATAAAGGAAAATGTTTTTCACTTTGTACACATACTTACAATTGTAACCATTAATGCGTTCAGACACAATTCTATCGTCACAGCTAAGTTCTGTATTAAAAAGAATTCTTTGAAAATGTTCGTAAATGTATTTGAGTATCTGTAAACAAGACCAGGGTCATTAGACTGCATAAAGACTAGAAACACTTCTGGTTAAAGCGTCTTTAATACTTCCATCTCATTAAAAACATTACCTCATTAAACGTACATGCTTTTTAATTATTTGCGTAAACTCCACCCTCATAGCAATCTCATTATCCGCAGAATGGACCAAGCTCCTTATTCTTTGTTGTAATTCATCCAACTGATCGCAAAAGTACATGATTATTGTACATACAATCCCTTGCACAGCGAAAGCTCGATACATATGAGGTACGACAAAAGTGATAGCTGTTATTTGATTTGCCAAAATTAAATTCATTTTACTCTCCATGGGGTCGAACGGCACCCATAGTTCAACAGTCATTTCGCCGTGATATTGAGCCAAAAAACAAAATATCGACACAATTATAGTAGACAGAATGGTTATGAAAATTATATGTGCAGCCATAAACTTCACTCTCTCTTCGCTTACTTTATCGCCGGAGTATTTAATTTCGTCAAATAATTTTTGTAACTGTGATCTTTTTATGACAAAGAAGAATATTTTAAGTCCGAAATTGTATGCGACAAGTGTTTTATCTAAATTTGCCATCAGGACAAGTGTATCATCTTTGATTTGAAAGGTACCGATTCCGGTGATTATAACATAAATTATTGCTAATATGTGTAACGTAATTTCGTAAATTTTATAAACCGTAGAATTTCGTTTTGGCCATAAACCAACATAATAAAGATATTTTTCATTAAAATAAAAAAAATCTTCTTTGTCGATAAATAGGTCTAGCTTCAACATTTTTGCTAGAAACTGTGATGTGCATAGATATTAAAAAGCAATTTGTTTCGATCTGCAATAAGGGAATAATTGGTTGATCACTATTCATTATTGGTGAACTTTGTAAGACCCAAGTTTTATAACGATCTGTTCTACAAGCGCTTAGCTTGAATTATTGAAGTAATGAACAAATGCAACTAGTTATTTCACATTCAAAGAAAATGTAACTTTAATTAACCTTGAATATTTTTTAAGGTCTATGTTGATATTAAAATCAGATCAACTCAAATCAAAATCATTTATTCATATAGGTAACACAATGTATGCTTATGAACGTCAAAAAAGAAATACGTACCTATTAAATGCTTCTAATTTTACATTTACTGCCAGTTCCCAAATCAAGGGCGTAGAACAGAAGAGAAGAACTGGCAATAAACTCTCCGCCACTCTTTTTAATCGCTATATTTTGGTTTACACAATGTTTGTAAGGAGCTGCAACTATTACACCATGTTCCACACGACTTCTTAAGTACCTAATAGTTAATTAATAATAATAAAATAAATTAAAAACAAAGATTTTTCCTCATCAGCAGGAGGCATGATGAAATAGGAGCACGCACTTACATTTTCGTGGGATCAACACGCAAATATATAGTCGAAATAACTCACATCAGCGCATACACAAATTCAAGTCCGACCAGTCACCTCAAGTAGCACCCGGTCACGAGTATGACGCATGGCCAGCCATCGGCCCCCTTGCCATATTTTAGCGAGAGATACAACCCGACGCATGGACGCCGCCACAAGCAATGACGTACGTGTAACGTATGTCCTTTTAAGCCTATTTCATTTTTATTTATCTTTAATTGTATTGTGTGTATTAAATAAATTTCAATAAAAATATCAATTACCCTTTAGTGAAGAGCTTACTACTTAAGGAAAAACGTTGTGTAATAAATCTCTCGATGGTAAATGTTAAAGAATTTTCAAAATCGGCGCATGAGTTAAACTTAAAAAGTTACAACTTTTATCTAATATAAAAAATTCTCGTGTCACAATGTTCGTTCCCATACTCCTCCGAAACAGTATTCAGTAAGTCTAAGAATCGGACAACATCTTTTTTTTTCATCCCCCTAAATGTTAATGGTGGTCCCACCCCTAAATTTTTATTTTTTAGATATAACTTTTTGTTTTATTTTTTTATGATACAGCATAGAAAAACACATACAACCCTTAATTGTCACCCCTCTACGATCAACCCCTATTTTTTATTATAGTAGTTATTCTGATTAAACAAAAAAAATGTTCCCTGGATATAATATACATGGCAAAACAACGTTTGCCGGGTCGGCTAGTACACATATAAAATAAGTTCAAAATTCAGAGACATGCGAACTTATTACTTTGAGAACTCTCCCATCAGTCAAACACTCAAGGGAATTTCAGGAACGTCTAAAGCTGGTCGTAGACCTGTTCTACAACTTTAATAACTAAATATTTTAGGGATTAATAATAACACATATAAATAAATAGTATTTAATCTAAATCAGTCAATACAGAAGCAGGAATTAAGAAAAAGCTTCATGAATAAACGTGAGCTTTGTCTTCGTGTTCAAGGAAGTGTTCTTACATTTATTTCTTAATAAATTAACTAAATTCTTTGGTCCACAGCAGAATAGGTTGAGATGGTGTCTGTAAAATAATAATTAAAGTTAGACAAGCACAGTAAACCTTTTGTTTAGGATGGAAAGAAATATGCACTAGTTCGTAGTAGAAAAATCGTGAGGAAACCGGCTTTTCTTAGACCCAAAAAGTCGACCGCGTGTGTCAGGGACAGAAGGCTGTACGCCAACTTGCCTATTAGAAAAAACAAATGATTACGATACAGAAATCTGAGGCTAAGACCTAAAAGGTTTTCATTCAAAAGCACCACAAATCTTTGCTTTTTAATATGCATAATAATAATTGCAATACGCGTGAAATCCCGTACACAATGGGAAGCTGAACTGCATTGTAATCTCTTTGATAATTTTCCGAATAACATTAATAGAACAATGTTGACCTAGTTGTAAGCGAGACTTCATTATTGTAGTTGTGCGTTCAAACTCCTAGCCTGAATCTGTATTCCTATGGGCACGATTGATACTTTCTTCTAGTAAACATCGTGAGGCATGTGTTAGGCCCACGTCGAATTGTGTAACAGAATGTTTGCCCATAAAAGAAAAATTATCAAGAATGTTTGCCCATAAAAGAAAAATTATCAAGAATGTTTGCCCATAAAAGAAAAAATTATACATTAATCTGGGGCCCAGAACTATAATAATGTTATATAATGGGTTAGTATTTTTCAAGTATATTATACCGTAGTTAGAAGTATACCTTGATAAAACCGCAAATGGGCGGAAGGCTCATCTGATCTAAAGTGATACCGCCGCCCATTAAAAATCACACTAATACTAGGCAAGCAACTACGTTGCCTCTTAATAATGATTTTTTTTTCACTTACCCTGGATACAAATGTACCCAATATCCAAAAACTCGATCCCAATACGGCCTCCCCCGTCTAATCCTACAAGCAACGAGTGGATAATCCTTAATCAAATCTCGCTTTCCTTCAATTTTGATATTTATTTCTCCATTACTCATTTTAATATCAATTTTATTCCTTTTAACTTTCGTCAAAAGAGCATCTTCGTCATTTTTAGGTTTCGTAACAAAATCCTTATGAACTTTCACATCTATAAGCGTGTGTCTTTTATATTTTGGAGTCAGAAGAGATTTCTCTTCTTCACTCAACTTATCTCTTTTCAAAATGTGGGTCAAGTCTCCTTTTTTGTTTATTTGTATTGTATGTGTTGTAATTGGTTTAGAATGTGTAACGTATAATTCTAAGTGGAGTCTATCTGGACGATTTGCGTTTCGCAACTCGCTGATACATTTATTTGCAAGTTCTACGAGTTTAGAAATTTCTCGTTCAGTTCGGACTATCCATATTAAATGAATTCTTCCTGGATTACGGCTTCGTGGATTTCTAGAAAAAATATTTCGTTGACATATATAGTAGCAGTGTTAATTAAATATGGAAACCTCATATGCGTTCGAATCACGGTATTAATGGAATTTCTATGCTTTTTTTTATGGAACAGGGGGCAAACGGACAGGAGGCTCACCTGATGTTAAGTGATACCGCCGCCCATGGACACTCTCAATGCCAGAAGGCTCGCGAGTACGTTGCCGGCCTTTTAAGAATTGGTACGCTCTTTTCTTGAAGGAAGGTTAAAAATCGATGAGAAGTGTCAGACACAAAAGGTTTAATCACCTACTTATGGTTGAAGCGCAACTGGATTATTATTATTCTTTTTTTATGTAACAGAGGGCAAACGGGCAGGAGGCTCTTCTGATGATACCGCCGTCCATATACACTGACATTACTAGAGGGTTCGCAAGTGCGTTGCCGGACTTCAAAATCCTCTATCAATCTACAATATTTCTATCTATACAAGATAAAACACAATTATTATTTATTACATAATATTAAATACCTGCACAGATTATCCAACATAGCAATAAATGGGGTAATGCCAACACCAGCCGCGACACATATAGCTATCTCGCTCTTACACACTCCTTCCATGGGACTTGAAAAGGGTCCGTCTATAAGCACACTGGAAAAGGAGATTTAAAGTTAATCTTGTTACATATAACATCCAGGATCGATAGGATTAAATTTCCACATGAACTGTGAAGCATGTATTTGATTATAAGACTAAAAACCACTTCACTTTTTCTCTTAGTCCACTTTAAAATAGCCTAAATAAGCCTTAAACAAAACAATACTATATATTTTTTCCATAATTTATTTTCCCATCTATATTGTGTAATACCGGGATAAAATAAATGTATTTATTACTATTACTGACCGCGATAGTCAATGCGTCTAGACTGTCAGAAAATGTTTTAAATTAAAAATACAAAAGGAATGAATTTTTTTTTTAATATTTTGTGTAAAGAAAATCTAGACATTATTAATAAGAAATAATTTATTCGTTTTAACTAAATAATTAATCTATTTCAAAAATAATTGTTAATTATAATCCATGCTTATCTTGCGTAAGTTTTACCGCTGTAATGTCAAATCTAATCCGACTTTAGCTATAAAAATAAATCAGTCTACACCGTTTCAAGTATCTCTATCTCTTATTATTACAGCGTGAACACAATTTGGAACAAAAACGAAAGTGTGAACAGAGTACAAAATAAAAATGTTTTACCTAATTTTGTCATGTTCTTGCTCCAACAGCACCTTTTCTAAGGCTTCTGTCCAATCCCCCTTCACCTTGATCCACAGCTCAAACACTTTTTCAGTGCCCGGAATCTAAAATGCTAATCTTATTTTAGGACACAATTGTGGATAAGACTTTTTATTAAATACTTTTTTCAATGTTTGCGTAAAATTTTATCGTAGAAATCAAACTTAATCAAAAAACCTCACCTTCCAACAGCTACTTTCATATTCATAATTTTTTGTTTAGAGCAAGTAAGAGCAAGTTACAAATATTCTTATTTTAATATAAATTAAAATTATTTATATTTTAATATAAATTAAAATTATTTATATTTTAATATAAATTAAAATTATTTATATTTTAATATAAATTAAAATTATTTATATTTTAATATAAATTAAAATTATTTATATTTTAATATAAAATAAAATTATTTATATTTTAATTTATTATATATATTTAATTTCTTATATATTTATAACTGTTTTCACCCCCAGTCTGTTCTATCTGCCGATAAATAATCCAATAGAACGTTTATTATTATAGCGTTTGGAACTGTTCGATACCCAACATTTTGAAATGTAATCATTATTTCTAGATGTCGTTAGCATATTCATTTATTTCTCGTTTATTATAAAAGCCCTTAAGTGCTAATTCTGATCTCAATCATATCTCACCTTGACAACGGTGAATGGATGCCACTCAATCATAGACACATTTGCGCATTGTACCAGAACGTATTGCCCGATACGACAGGAGAAGTTCTCGAAACATCGAAGCGATAAGCTTATGGTTCTGCCGGGCATGTGTCGTACCTGAAGTGCATTTACGAAATGTTAATGATAATCAGTGGCGCTACAACCTGTTTAGGTCTGGGCCTCAGATTTCTGTATCTGTTTCATGATCATTTGATAATCGCACGCCTAAACGCACGCCGTCGACTTTTTGGGTCTAAGGCAAGCCGGTTTTCTCGCGATGTTTTCCTTCACCGTTTGAGCGAATGTTAAATGCGCACATAGAAAGAAAGTCCATTGGTGCACAGCTGGGGATCGAACCTACGACCTCAGGGATGCGAGTCACTAGGCTAACACTGCTCTACCTTTACCAAATGTTAGTGAATTAATAATTTGCAATGGTAGATCTCTTTCAGTTGTCACAGACTTACTACGATATTTAAGTTTTTACTTACTATATAAATAAAAATCTGTCGCAAAATTATTATCGCTATTCTGAATGGGCGGATAAATAGCGCCTATTTTCTGTCATTAATTTCTTTAAGAATCCCCCGCATTCGACAAGATACTCACAAATGGTCCTCGTCGGTACGAACACGAATAATCTGCGTAATTCGCCAATGTTTCGGGTTTTAGCTAACTACAATACAATTTTTGAAGTTGTTGACATTTACCACCTTACCAATGAGTGTGTGAGGAAATATTTAGGTAGCGAACGGACTCTGAATTTATTTAGCAGTAGTAACAATTTCTTTTAAAATAAAACAATATGTTGTAGTTTGTTTAATGTTAAATTTCAGTTTTCTTTTTTATTTATTCATGTACTAAATTGACTTATGTTGTCTGATTCGTATATTTTCTTTAACAATGTAATCTGTGTAGCTGTAAGATTGCTTATAAATAAATTAAATATTTTGCTTAGCTCAAAACTCGAAGACGGCTGGACTTACTTGACTATAGATACGAGGAAGACTTATACAAGTATACTTTTATACTGCATATAATATATAACATTACATACAATAGTTATTCAATTTACGATTGCGGCTTTTAGAAAGTATTTAATGAATGCGTTCCTAATAACATAATGTAATTAATGAGGTATGTGAATAATTAATCCCTATGTATGTACATAAGTCTTTGCTAGGCAAAAAGAGTGCGTCAATATATGAAATAGAAATGACATTTCGTATTAAAATAATGATTTTATAATGACAGAAAAAAATTAATCGCCTCTGAAAAATGGATGGAATTTTGTATGAAGCTTCCCAATACGTATAAAAATCTTTCAATATTTCGAAGAGCAACTTGAAAGAACTTCGAGAATTAAACATCTGACGCTTTTTAACGAAATAGATAAAGAAAGCGTGAACGAGTACACTTTTTCGTAGCAGATATAAAATTATACGCACTAACGTTGCGTGTACGTGAGTGGGAACGTATACCTCAAAGCGTTATTAAACTTGGAAAACATCCTTCTGGATTCAAGCTGTGATTTGGCAAGAAGAGGTTACATTTGTAACTTTATTAAATTTAAAAAAGGAAAAAAAATCTTGTTCTTATTGCCGACCACTTCTTATTGTTTAGCCGTGCATTTGTACAAAAGACTTTATATGATGACGAACCGGAACTTACAGAGTTCCAGAGAGAGACCAAAATATTATATTATTATTTGTATTATTGCATTCATAAGAGTATCTAGATTTTAACTGTGTTCCCCCTATATAATAGGTAGTCATTGGGTTGGGCACAGACTAGATATTCCTATAGTTTTTATGCGTGTGTGGGTTGTTGAAACTTATGCAAAGTCGCGGACACTGCCTACTCTATTTCAATGCCGACGTACGCCCTTACAATCCTATGCTATAAGCGGATTATACACAATCGGTTAGTGGGCCAAATTGACACGAATAGTTTGGCCTATATAACTCTAAGGCACACAACTTCCATTATGTATCCCTTTTACTCAAAACACCTAATAAAAAAATCCTTTTAAAACACTTAGCCAAGCTTATTAAATGACAATTTATTATTTTTATTGATTGGTATTACCAAGAGAATTAAATGTATTAATCCGAATCATTTGACACCTCGATTATCCCAATCGGTCGGATAACGGACGGCGTTGCTGAACAACAAATACTTCACGGCGAATTATTAACCTCTCCCTTCTATTTTAAGTCGGTTAAAAAAATAACACACAAAACAGTTACCGGCCCCAGTTGCCAAAATCGTCCGCACGAGTACAAAGATACACGTCGATGACTCTATACGGTTGAAAATATCTTACCTTTAGAAGATAAATATTAGTAAAGTATAAGATTATATATAAATTCGGTACATACTTTGACTATATCCACTTTTGACAAATTTCTTGTGAAAATCCTCCAAAATAAGTCCAAAAAAAAACAAGTTAATGGCAAAGCCATCCACAGCCAAGTCTGTAAAGGAAATTATAATATTATTCAGTATTCTCCAGGCTGATAGCTATTGAGACCTTGATTGACGCAGAAGATATCATAGGTCAGAAGTGCATTTTAAATTACCCTTTCATTCCGATGGGACGGATTTCCGCAAGGATCAGACATAGGACCGCACCATAGACTACAAACGTTTATTGCAGATAAAAAATCAATAACTTTACTCATGCAGCATATTGTATATAAATATTATTTATATCACATTTTAAGAAGTGACCTTTACTGTCCTTGGTTACTAATTTTATGTGATGATTTGAATATTTTTTTTTATTTACAGGAGGCAGACGGGCAGGAGGCTCACCTGATGTTAAGTGATACCACCGCTTATGGATACTCGTACTGCCAGAAGGCTCGCAAGCAAGCTTAAGCAAGCTTTCTTAAAGGACCCTAAGTCCAATTGGTTCGGAAATACTTTAGTGGGCTGCTGGTTTCACATAGTGGTGGTGCGCGGCAGAAGTTTCCTTAAGAACAGACACAGTGTGGAACGACGGACTTCAAGGTGATACGGATGGTATTTTGTATTTTGTCTTGTCGTCCGACGTTGAAATTTAGCTGCAGGTATTAGTCCGGACAACTCCTCTGAACACTCTACATGGTAAATGCGGTAGATGATGCAGAGAGATCCCACATCTCTACGCGACGCCAAGGGATCATGCCGCTCGGAAAATGACTGAAAAACCTTATTATATTCTATTGCATCTTTAGCTTAACAATATCGTAAACCATTATTTTACCCAAAGTATACAAGCTCTAATGAAAATGTACTATCAACATACAACTAAAAATACATCAAAACCAATGTCATGGCAAAAGGTCGTTCCCGATCATAAATTCCATTGAACGAAACATTTCATGATGAACACAATTAGAATTTACATACCAATCGGTCTCTTCCTTTATATGATTGATTAAGTTGATTGAATCAATCAATACAATATATGTTTAAACGTTTTAAGGGCGTATGATCATGGTTAATATTCATATTTAACGACCATATATTACAACTCCAGTACATAGAGGATAAAGTTACTCAACTGATTATTGATTTGTTTTTAGGACAACCAAATAGACGCTGCATTTCAGACAGTATAGTAAGCAGACGACGATTAATTAACAGTTGCTACATATAAAAAAAATAACATAAAAATACATTTAGAAAATTTGCTCCCGAATTACGGATTAGGTATCCCAAATGGATTATCCCAAATGCTGCCAGCTTTTCCTTGCTGTATTACGATGGTACATTTTTATTAGTTACAAATGAAACGAGTGAGCCATTGGAAAAATATCGAAGATGAGAGACAAATGGCAAGATTTAGAGGAGGCCTTCACAGTGCTCTAATTTGCACATCTATTTTGTGATAATATTTATAAGGTTTATTAGTAAACATAACCATCAAATATACAGTAATTACAAATTTCTTAGTTACATATTGATAATAAAAAGTAAATTAAAACAAATTTAAAAAGATTGGTCCTTGTGGCAGTGTACCTTTAACGCTGGCAAGCACCAGCTCTGGGGTCAGCGGTACTATCTACCAGGTGCAAACTTAAATCTTTGTGCACTTGAACCCCACGGCTCAAGAGTCTCTACTCCAAAAGGAACAACATCGAACGTATAACATATTTGAGCTGTTTATTATTTTCCGCCTGCTCTGCGGCCATGATAATTAGTTTTTTCTAATAGGCGAGTAGTGATCTCCCTAACACAAAGCGTGTTTTTAAGTCTTAGGCATGCCGGGTTCCTCACGATGTTTTCTTCACAGTACGAGCGACTGCTAAATGCGCAGATAGAAAGAAAATTTCATTGATGCGACGAGATTCGAACGCACAACTTCAGGGTTGAGGGTCACACGCTGAAGCCAGGTCAGCACTTGTATATCCTACTAACCGCCTCTCATTCATCCGTTATACATAACCAAACCACCTTAATCCTTTTCGTATCCTTGTCATTACGCCCTCTTAACCCTCACTGCTCACGTACCTCAACCATTCTATCACACCATTTCCACTTTATCTACTTTCATTCAAAATTCAAATTCAAAATCACTTATTCATATAGGTAACACAATGTACACTTATGAACGTCAAAAAAGAAATATATATGAAATGCTTCTAATTTTACATTTACTGCCAGTTCTCAAATCAAGGGCGTAGAACGGAAGAGAAGAACTGGCAATAAACCTCTGCCGCACCCAACATTCACTCCCCTATACGGCTACCGTACGGCCTTTTTTTTGGAAATGGGGAAATGGTTTGTGCATCCCTTAGCGCGAAGCGACTGCTTAGTGCGGGAGGATTACGTAGGACTCACTATTGTGCATACCCACTTATAACCCAAAGCGCCACCAACAATCGCCTCAGGCAGGATGCGGTAACAGCAGAACCTCATCGCGGTTGCGTCAGCCTCTCCACGCCCATTGTTGGTTTTTGAAGATACTTGACACAGCAGTCAGCAAGTATCCTTCGCAGACCGGGCCATACGCTTTTACAAATAGCTAGGGGATATCGGGACCAGTACGTGCAGGGATGGATCACCATCCCTTCGTCACCGTACATAAGTACGGCTCTCCTCGTTTAAGAATTCTTAACTTCATCATCTACTACTTGTATAAAAGAATGAAACGCTCTATCTCTATTCCCACCAAAGTGTAATTGTAAAATTTGGGTACTCACATAAAAGCTATTTTTATTTGTGGCTCTTATATATTAACGACAAATTTTAATAAATCGCGGTTAATTGAAACACTTAGCGCCAGGACAACTAATTAATTAATGTTATGCACACAGCATGTGCAATTGAATCATTTAATGGCTTGACGATTATTGATTTTACTCAAACGGAAAATGGATTATCAATTAACATTCATGCCGATTTATGTATGTAATTAAATGCCTATCCTGAAGGAATGTATCATACAAATTCGAATTAGTTTGTGTGGTTGATACAAAGTTACATATAAAGGGTCTATCTTGTATATTAAAATTAAAAAAATTGGCTTCGAAAGCATTAGAATATTTATGAGTTGTTTTGTTACATGTTGAAATCAAGAGCTTCAGCGTGTGACTCTCAACCTTGAGGTGGTAGGTTCGATTCCCGGCTGTGCACCAATGGACCTTTTATGTGCGCATTTAACATTCGCTCGAACGGTGAAGGAAAACATCGTGAGAAAACCGGCTTGCCTTACTCAAAAAGTCGACGGTGTGTGTCAGGCACAGAAGGCTGATACTTGCCTATTAGATTGACACATGATCATGAAATAGATACAGAAATCTGAGGCCTAGACCTAAAAAGTTCAAAAAGGAAATCGAGAATGAGGTTAGGCGTTATAACATCAGAATTATTTGTGTGCAGTCCAGTGATGTAATTCCTATCTTTATAATTGCGTTAATTTTGGTGCAGATTGAAAATATTTGGTGCTTATGACAACCTACAAAGCCAGACACCATTTGACCCCTTCTTGATATTTCATTAGAGTATTTGAATTTAGAGCTAATTTCAACTTCAACTTTACCTAGGATACATTAGGTCTAACATAACGAGACAAATTGGTACATTAAGAGCATTCCCCCATCAAGTTCGCCTAATGACGCTCTCCTTTGCTAAAAGCAAAACCATTTTACTGAGACGCGACGGGCCTAAGTATCATTTAACTAATTGATATAAATGGCGACAATATTTCATTAAAACAATATGAGCGGTATTAATATGATTTAAGAGGTAATTTGAATTTTATTTGTGCATAATATAGGGTTTTAAAATAGAAGTGTTTTGTTCTAAGCTCAAGAGAAATTCGAAAACTTCATACAAGTTGTCAAAAAACTTTGTATACTGTGTGACTCTGGTCTTGTCTAGTATTTCACACACTAAATGTTGCTCATATTTTGTTGTCACTTGCAAGATATTTCTTTTTTTTACACTTCGTTGCATTACATAAATATGTACAGTACAACTAAAATAATAATATAAAAAGGAGGGGCGGATAACTGGCGATTTTAGATCGTACTTAGACGAGAAAATAAGACAAAAAATTATGACAGAGGCCGATTGAACCATATTTTTCAATATTTTTAATTGAAGATTTTCAATTTAAAATTAATTCTTATTAATATGTTTATTGATTTTATTAAGTTTAACTGTCACTTTTATTTTAGTTTCCTAAGTATTTTCTCTCAATAAACCCAAATATAGTCAAAAATTTGTTTAATTACTATGAATATCCCAAAAGCAACTTTATTCCGCAAAACGTATTTTCTTTTAGTTTTTTTATAACTAACTGAGAAATCATAAAATACACTTTAGGACAAAGAACGAACCTTTTTTTGCAGTCTTGTTATAGTTGATTGAGCAATTGTAAAATTTTTAAATAAATCCTACACTTATACCTACCTAGGTTAAAATTACGTGTCAAAACAAAAAAATACTTTAAAAAGACATATAAACGCTTAGTTAAAAGAAAATGAAATCCAAGTTTATCATTAAGCATTATTTTAAGTGAACATTCACAAATTAAAATACGGCTTAAGGTTCAACATTTGTAATTAATGTCATTTCTGTAATAAAAGTATTTACAATGATTTTTATTTATTTATTGACTTAATCTTTCCGACCTAATTTATTAACATGAGTTAACATTCAATGTACGAATTCAAATCAGGATGAACATCCTATAATTCTAAATCACCTATGTAAACAAAACACTTATTTACTACTTCTTGATGTTGGATCTCTCTGTATCTTCTACCGCATTTACAATGGAGACTGTGCAGAAGAGTTATTCGCATTAACTTTCAGCTGAGTTTTAGCAACGGACGTTGCGGCAGAATATGAATTTCCACTCATAGCGCCTCGACGTCCGTCGTTCCACAACTGTGCGTTTATTAATTATCTCCGAACCAATACGACTTAGGGTCCTCCAAGAAAAGAGCGTACCAGTCCTCTGGCATTAAGAGTGTTCATGGGCGGTGGTATCACTTAACATCAGGTGAGCGTTCTGCCCATTTGCCCACTGTTCTATAGAAAAAATATCTACCATTTTTTGTCATTTGCATATTTCTTGCTTAACAAATACTCACCTTTGGTTTGATAGCGCGAAACTGAGGAACATGATATATTGTTTCATTATTCTCATACATTTGACTAGTACCAATACTAGAGTCTAGAATCTCTTCTTTCAGTACTCCACTGGAAAGAACATTAAATTAATAAACTTAATTAACCTACTTATAAACTCTATTGAAACTTATCTTGTCGTCGTTTTAGAAACCATGCTGTACTAATTATTTGCTATTATTATTATTTTCTTTATTCCTACATAATTATGTGTTAACAATATATATTGGCGGATGATTGACCCATGCGACTTTTTTAATACAGAGTCCCCTCGAGAGTGCTGATATTGCGGGCTACTCGATTGGTAAGGGCTGCGCCTTCTTAAGTTCTCATGTTATTTTTACACATGAATATGTGTGATTTTTGAGAGCAAAAATAAAATCAACTTCAATTATTTGTCAACCTTGGTTCATTACATATGTCCCATATCTCGAAAACGACAGGATATCTTACGGAATTCAAAATTAATAATGTTCTGGATATGAGTCATGGTTTCTGAGAAATTTCGCGAACAATGCGCTTAAGGTGGCGACTGACATTGAATTTTCGTTCGATGTGAGCACGTTACAAATCGAATATTCGGCATACAGCGAGCCGAGCAGCTCAAAATAAAATAAAAATATTAATATTACAGAAGAACTATAGTTACTGGAAACTATACAAAGTATTAGTTCGTAGAATTCTACGTTCAAAAGACGTGTATAGTTTGCGTTTGTATTTTGAGTAAAGGAACTTTTGTTTAATATATATCCTTTTTATCCATCTATTTCGTAATAGATAAGATTAAGTCGAAAAATGTCCATACCTTATCGGATGTATCATCAGGAGAGCCATAAACGGAAGATATAGATGGTGCGTGTACCAGAACGCGTTGTACAGTCTCCTGCGCACCACTCGTGTTGACGTCACTCCCATACTTATGATTATAAGTAACATCGACAACCCAGTTACGCCTGCTAGACTCATCAAGAGATTTAAGGGATTCTGAAAAATATATTAAGATTTTGTTTGAAGATTATTGTTTATAGAACAAGGCAGGAGGCTCATCTGATGTTAAGTGACACCACCGCCCATGGACACTCTCAATGCCTCAGGGCTCGCAAGTGCGTTGCCGGCCTTTCAAAATTTGGTAAAACAGATTTTAAACAAAGGTTGTTGATATGGTTGAATTATAAAATTAACCCAAAAGGGCGGACTTACTGCTAAAAGCAGTTTCTTCCAGAAACGCATAAAATATAAGAAGTTAAAAAAATATTTGGGCTCTCATTGGCTATTCTATGTATTTGGGAATATGCCGCTTGGTCAAGTGACTCATTTTCATATAAATTCGAACGATGTTAGTGTATCACGCCTATCGCAAAGTATGTTTGTCTAGAAATGATTCCTTACTGAAGCGTCCAGGAAAGAACTAAATCCGGTTCACGTAGACACGTGATCTTATGCCCTTGTTCATAAAAGTTTTTTTTTATAGAACGGGGGGCAAACGGGCAGGAGGCTCATCTGATGTTAAGTGATACCGCCGCCCATGGACACTCTCAATGCCAGAGGGCTCGCGAGTGCGTTGCCGGCCTTTTAAGAATTGGTACGCTCTTTTCTTGAAGGACCCTAAGTCGAATTGGTTCGGGAATACTTCAGTGGGCAGCTGGTTCCACATAGTGGTGGTGCGCGGCAAAAACTGCCTTGAAAAACGCTCAGTTGTGGAACGGCGGACGTCGAGGTGATACGGGTGGAATTTCGTATTCTGCCTCGACGTCCGATGATGAAACTCAGCTGCAGGTATTAATCCGAACAACTCCTCTGAACACTCTCGCGGTAGAAGATGCAGAGTGACCCCACATCTCTACGCTTAGTATTATCTTATCTATTTTAACTAAAACAAGTCTTCAGTCTCAACAAAATTGTGACTTAAAGATTTACTACAAAATTAAAATATAGAGCACGCCATAAACGAGAGTAAACTTATACGTTAAGGCCAAGTATAACTCCTCATTAAAACAGCAATTACGTATGCTTTCAAACGCACCCAAAGATTCACATTTAATCACCTACGAGCCTCAAGCAAGTTGTTCATATGCACAGGTGAAACAATAATACCCTGTCTGTACAAACGACAATACCCATCTTGACTCTACAAATGTGCTTCAATTTTCCAGCCAGCTTTTCACTGGCACTTCGCTTTTAATCTCCTGCATATATTCACTCAGAGTAAAATTAAAAACAGCGCTAACGTTGCGTTTATCTATTGTATTCGAAAATATATGTATTGTTGCAGGATTACAATGTAAAGTAATCATTGCTTCTATTAACACGTAGAACATTTTTATAATAAGTAATAACTTTATTCATGTCAGAGATATGGACGTGACAGAATTCATCTATCGCTAATCCCTTAGGGAGCCCCTGGGTGGGTAACTAGATAACAATTATTCCGTGGTGTATGTTTAAATTTTATAAAACGTTCGATGCGGGGCGGGGATTGAATTACGCGTTATTGTTAATATTATTTTTGACTTTCCAGTACTTTACTCCACATTATGGTAACTTTTTAACTATAAAGAGTCACTAGGTGGTCAAAAAGCGTTTTACTATACTTGGGTACAGAAAAACGTTACTGCGCGTTACATGGGGGGTCAATAATCTCCAAAAATTTCGTGACGTAATACTTGAACGCTCCCTTAGTAAAAGTAGTCTAAGTGTTACAACTAATCAAACATAAGTCGTATAAGACATTAAATATGCGTTCATTTAATATGATTATATCAATGGAGGTGTGAGCGTATGTATTTGAGAGTTGTAACATGCGTGCGCTGGATCTGTGTTAATTTTTGGATGTCATGCGTAGTAAGGTATTTGTAGACTCGAAACCAATTTGGCTAGCGTAATTTTTATGTATTTTGTGAGTTTGTATCTGGATATTTAAAGAAAAAACTTTTTAACCGGATTAAAGTTACGTATTATTATAAATTTACAATTATTTAACATAATTTTAAATTTATCCGACGTTTCGCGTGCTTTACAGCGTGCGTGGTCACGGTGACTGAAGACAAAAGGTGTTGGATGTCAAAAAGTATCACAGCTGTAGAGAAAGTTGCATTATCTGTATTTATTTCCCCGGAGTTGGTATCGATTAAAACATGGAGGGTTTTGGCAAAAATGGCTCACGGTGTCCTCTATTTTCGCGGATTGTTTTTCTTGAGATTTTAATTTGGATATTACATAACTACAATATAATAATACATAACTTTAATCAGGTTAAAAAGTTTTTTCTTTAAATGTCAATAAAAGACAATACTATTTGTATCTGGATAGTTTGACTATCTCAGAAGCCATAGAATACTAACCATTTATTATCGTAAAAACTAAACTATTTCGTCTTTTTATGGCAAATTGAGTTCACGCTGTGATGAAATGAGATCGATGAGTACGTTTAAAATGATGCCATTAGGCTAAGAATGGATCCAGTATGGCGGTAAATCTTAACTAATATTTAAAAAAAATTACACTTTAAATTTCACTTTAAAATTATTCCATTCTAAAATTTGATGTAATCTAAATCGATTAAATACTTACCTCATTCTTGTATCTAGCTAAATTAATTTCGATCCGCTCCTCATCGAAGTTGCGCGAAAAATTCCACAGATTAACAAAATGTGATACGGAGTGTGTCACTGAAACAATTGGGCACTTGAGTAGGCTTAAGGCTTAGACAAACTCTTCCTTACATCCTGACTATGTCAAGTTTTGAACAGTTAAGCAGTTCTGACATTGTATGCGGTATTTCATATTAAAATCTAGACAGAATAAACACTACTTATCCAGAGCTTGACATACTTGATAGTGAGCTGAACAATTATAAAAAAAAGAATAATCCATTTTAGATTTTACTAGTATTTTTTTATTGTTAAGTGCCTGTATCCGCTTAAATCTAAAATGTATTAGTTTTATTTTTAGTAACATTTATTTTTACCATAATAGTCATGTTTTTTAGAAAAGATAGCTTATAACATATACTGTAGATATAGTATTATATATGATGTGGTTAATAAATAAATAAATAGACTTTTAATTCTAGTGCATAAACATAACGTGGTCTGAATGAATTGTAACGTGAATCGAACTTGCGAACGCATTTAAGCAGTTAAATCAAAAGTCAAAATCATTTATTCATATAGGTAACACAATCTACACATGTAAAAAAAAATATATATTTATATGAAATGCTTTTAAATTTACATTTACTGCCAGTTCTCAAATCAAGGGCGTAGAACGGAAGAGAAAAACTGGCAATAAACTCTCCGCCACTATTTTTAATCGTCAAGTTTTTTGTTTTATACAACGTTTGTAAGGAGCTGCAACCATTGCACCATGTTCCACATGACATCTTAAGTAATAAATAATAATCAAATAAATTAAAAACAAACTGGGACTAAAACTTAGACTTAAGTCATAAATATTTTACGGAGGTAGATATCACACGATATAAATTGTCGATATAAAAATCAAACGTTCTCTTTGCTAGTGTAGGATTCTTATATTTTCCCTTGTTTCCGCACAGGACACTACACTGAAGTGTGTAGGGTATACCCTAATGCAACTTCCTCGTTTAAAATTGAGTCCTTTGTTAAGAAGGGGCCCTAATAAACGTCTAGGTACTTTTAGCCCTTACGGGTTTCGTATTAACTTTCTACGCTCAGAGCAATTCCCAAACGATGCCGTCATTAGCCTACGTCTGGAGGACTTAATGGTGTTCCTAGAGTGGTTTTGCTTTTTAGGAGTAAAAAAGATTCTGGGACCTTTGTCAGCAAAGCTACTTACTTTTTTCGGAATTAAGCGGTCGTCTAGACTCTGTGCCCAAAAAGTGAAAAACCTTTTGCGTGTTTGTATTGGCTCAAATAATCAGACGTCATAATAAACAAGAAATTTTGTCCGTATAGTATTAATAAGCCCTTGTCCCAATCAATATATAATTCACATAAATTACATTTATATTTATTTTTTCAGTACTCTTGACCGAGAAGGGGTCTCGGATAAAGGTCTTCACCAGCTTTTTCCAAACCTCTCTATCTATGGCTATCTCTCTCTATTCATTTCCTGCTATCGCTTATATATCTTCTACAGTGGCGTAACAATAGGGTGGCAGGGCTGGCAATATGCCATGGGTCCCCCAAGAGATATTATGTTCTATGGATAAATGTGAAGTCTCCAAGAAGACTACAGACCATTCCCTCTCGCCTAAGTGAGGAGGCCTATGGCCATTAGTGGGACATATACAATGTGTAATTTAATACTTTAAAAATCTCGTAGTTTATTAAAATTAAACTGAGTACATGACGATTTTTACTGATAGGTATCAAAAGCCCATCAAAAGAATTTGCCACGGGCCCCAGATGGTATAGTTACGCCACTGATCTTCTATACACATTTTCTAAGGTGCCTTCTTAGTACCAATAGGTAGATGGATAAGTTGAGATTTAGAATATCAAACACAAGCGTGAACGATAAATAACGAATCATAATTTTCTCACACAATTCCTGTAACCTCTGGTGTAAGATCATTTGTTGTAGTCGTGGGGCTTAAATACACATTGCTGATAGAATCGCGAGACGTCTTTGAAAAAAAAATATTTTAAAGAATTCCAACTTCCAAATTTGACAGCCCATAAGTCTTTTGGACCGTGGAGTTGAAACACAGGCGTTAATTAAAGATTTAACTTGGCGATACTGAACTGGTATATATTACCGGTACCAACAGCTGGTGCTTTCCTCATTCAAACGAATAAGTATCGCAATACAGCGACGAAATACCTCCAGAATTAAAGGCCACAGACCAAACTTTTAAAAAATTGGTTTAATTTTCTATTTATCCATTTTAAATCATTATTATTAGGTTAAGATATTATTTTATAATACTAATAATTATAGAATACTAAGACTGTTAATGAAATTACCTTATTTTAAACTATTTATTAATATACATAGTAGAAAATTAAGTCAACATAATATTACTTATTAGGAAAAATTAATCATGTAAAGTCGCACTCTTTTTTGAGTACTTTAATGATTATAAAAAAAGGGTGCGTGTAGTTATGTACGCGCGTAAGAAGTTATACTTTTTTGGCGTTACGTTTTTTTTTTAAATATGAAATAATTAAAAATAAATATTTAACGTTAATAATTTAATAATATTTAATATATTATTCAATTATTAATTAATATTAATAATAATTATTTATTATTTTATTATATTATTCATTCAATTTAATAACTACGTATGTTTCATAACCTTTTAACTAAGTAAGAATAGGTTTTTGTGAAAAAGCATTGCTAAATTTCTTTGAAAAAAATAATTAAAACTCCTTTATTTGTTTAAAATGTAAATGTCATTATGTTTATTCAAAATTCTTGGCATAGCTGCTAACTTCACGCATATTCTATTTCTTTTTACTTGTAGATTGCTTATTCCCATCTCGCTCGCGCACGCTATAATCACACTGACAACTTTGTGTCTCAGGTGCGCGCGCATCGTAAAATTTCACTCTCATAAATTTTTCATAACGCGCAAAGAAGTATAACTTCAAAAATTAGGTTAAGAATATTGTAAATACTGTATATTTGTGTGTTGGAAATAAATTTAAATATATAAATGTAATGTGTACCACGACGATGTAATGTGAATATCGTATGAAATCTTTTAAAGCATTACGATCTGCCTTGCGATTATGTAACTCAGAATGTCATCAGAATGCCATTCTCAAATCAGAATGCCAAATCGTAAAATGACTGCATTACGACTTGAGCGCGACCGCCACTGTGAAAACCGCTGTGAGAGTTCGAAAAGTGAGTTACAGAATCGCAAGGCTGTCCTACAAATGTTATTTGAATATTATCTTTTATCTGGGTAAATTATAGGAATACTAGCTGATCCGGCAAACGTCGTTTTGCCATGTATATCATTTATAAAAAAAAATAGGGGTTGATCGTAGAGGGATGTAAATTAGGGGTTGTATGTATTTTTTGCTTAATTTATCATAAAAAAATAAAAATAAAAAATTTATCTAAAAATTAAAAAAAAATTAGGGGTGGACTACCCTTAACATTTAGGGGGATAATATGCACACAAAATTTCATGAGAATCGGTCAAGCCGTTTCGGAGGAGTTTAACTACAAACACCGCGACACGAGAATTTTATATATTAGATAACTCAGGAACGAGAGTAAGTGCCAGTTTTGGATGTAGAACGGGTTAATGTCATCTCGTAACTTGCGTACGGTTTTAAGTTTGTACTATTTGCCTTGCAAAACTACAGTTTACAAATGCTGAACCTGCAAGCACTTCTTGTTCACCAACAAAACGAAACAAAAGAATATTATGAATGACGAAATTGTGTCCGGTCCGTTCTTTCGTAGTTCTTAAAGGGAACTTGAGAGGTCTCTTTGTGTAGTTTCAAATTAGGCTTTTATAGCTATTATATGCCACTCAATATATATTAGCTATTATATATTGAGTGGCATATATAATTTATTAATTATTTTTAAATATTCTTTATAACGTTGTGTTACATATACTAATTCATTTCCGACCAGATTGCGAAAAACATAATGGGTATATAACCAAGTTCCTTGTTGAAAGGGTAAAGGTTATGACTGTAAGCACCAAGTAATACAGATACAAAATTACTTACCGCCAAAGATGACCAACGTAATGCCAACTGTCATGTGAAAACTCTTCGCCTTCTCCAACCAAAGGAAAAATAGGCCCGGGCATAGTTTAGAAAAGAGGCGATATAATTTCTGATTCAACTTTTTACATAGAGGCAGCAAAATAATTGCGCAACAAACATTTAGTACAGTTGCCGTACCCCGAGACAAGCATAAGCCGACCTGCAATGCAAGCTTTAATATGAAAATTGTACTAAATAAATATAAATAAAAAATCATTTAATTACATAGGTAACATAATGTATACTTATGACTTGTCAGTAAAGAAATACATATTAATGCTTCTAATTTTACATTTACTGCCAGTTCTCAAATCAAGGGCGTAGAAAGGGAGAGAAGAACTGGCAATAAACTCTCCGCCACTCTTTTTAATCGCCATTTCACTAAGCATTCCTAATATCTTTATTATTAGATAACATTGGTTGGTTTAAATAATCTTTTAACGATTATAAACGCAAAACACAACTCGATGATATATTGATAATTTCGTTTAAGATTATATGAAATTGGAAAAATATATTAATGTTATTTGAAAATCTTACCCCTAATATTCGTCTTAAGTAGTAAAATTGTCGACTGTTGTAATAATAAATAAAAGTGTTGTAAAACAGATAAATAACTAATGAGATCCATGATATCTGAAACAAAAGAAAATCTAATTATTATTGCATTGTATCTCATAATGAATTAATAATTATTTGTTAAGACACTTTCTAATCAAATTTTATTATGTAAAATTCGCATAGTTTATGACCTGCATGGGGAAGTTTTTTGAGGTTTTTACCCTAAAAGGTGACACAATACTAGTGAACTAGAAAAAAAATCCAAACACAAATAATATCTACTCATGTTAAGAAATGTTAACTAACCAATTTTTGTATCGATTCATTAATAAAGTTCTAATACTTATAATAATGGGGTGGTTTTAGAATGTTAAATTCGATCATGATTAGAACGCAATTTGATTTTTTTATCATATAAGTTATTATTGATTGAATTGAATTATCTGGAGACGAATTATGCCGGTGTCTCGACCAGTACAACAATTCGGAATATTATTATTATATGTTAGTTATGATCAGAGCAGTGTTGGCCTAGTGGTTTCAGCGTGCGACTCTCAAACCTGAGGTCGTAGGTACGATCCCCGGCTGAGCACCAATGGACTTTCTTTCTATGTGCGCATTTAACATTTGCTCGAACGGCGAAGGAAAACATCGTAAGGAAACCGACATGTCTTAGACCCAAAAAGTCGACTGCGTGACCTATTCGCCTATTAGATTTAAAAATGATCATAAAACAGATTCAGAAATCTGAGGCCAAGACCTAAAGAGGTCGTACTCGCCACTGATTTATTTACTATTTTATAGTTCTTTTTATATCCATATTTCAATCATAGACAATTATACAACACGTGGTCACATCGTTTATAGCTTACGAAACATTCTACGCTAGACGCTAGAGTAGGTACTGCGTCGTAATAACTAGAATTATGATGTTAAACGAGAAAGCAACGTGGATATCAAGATGTAGTGTCGGATGCCTGGCTGAGGTGTACTAGCTTCCTATTCATGTGCGTAAAGTCTATTCAACTGCTTTGACAGCGCACCTCCATTGAATAACTGAATGAGTCTATGGAAACGGGTCCGATGACAGCTCGTATAGGTGTGGGCCCGCATTAATTATTGGATGTTGTGGAAATCTCATTTGCATGACAGCTTCCGTATAATCTATGGAGCGAGTATTAGTACACTTTGCTTAACCACATCTTTGATTTTTTCTAACGAAATACTGGTAAGAATGTCCCCTTGCTTGTGTTACTGATTTTTTGTAGAATTAATTGTTAATATAAGCTGTTTCGTAATCGACATTTTTTTATGAATTGCCGTTTCACTGAGACATCATTGAACGTTACGATCTTGCCTAGCTTAAGACTAATAAGTATTTTAATTTTTAAGTCTAACCTACTTTACTAACAAGGATATTTAACATATAAAAGTGTCGAATAACACTTTTTTTTATGGCTCTGGCATCTCTGGCTCTGGATTTGTGCATTAGCCAGCGTCAAGTATAGGATTTTTAATAATTCGTGCATGTCTTTAGAAATTCAACCGTGTCCTCCATGTACGGTTTAAGCACTCGCCCGGTACCGCACAACCCTCCCAAAGGCCGAGAACAAATTTAAATTAAATTAAAACTTGCCCTCGAACCGGGAATCGAACCCGGTACCCCTCACCTAGCTGCCACTTAATAAGACCGCTAGGCTATGAGGCCCCTCGAATAACACTAAGGCCCTTTCTCCACTGCTCCGGTCCGGCGTCGGATACCAGAATGAGTCATGAGAAAAATACCGGAAGGCCGGATTGCGCTTCTCCACTATATCCGATCCGACAATAATCGATACTTGTATATTTATCATGCAACACTTATATTAACTAAAACCCATATACTTTATTTTATTAATAAAACGTTCTTAATTCTAAATATTTTATTGCCGTGGCAAGTTTATTACTTTTTTTATATTGTCTATCTTAAAATATTATAATCTACTTAATAAATAGTTCACTAATACTATGATATAAACATATAAATAAATAGCAACATAATTTGGTTTGGTCCAGGTTATCCAGATTCTTTCAAATTAAAGAAAATTTAAATAAACACCGCGTTCCGATCTAGCAAGTTATCGGATCGTTAAAAACCGGATGCCGGAGTAGTGGAGAAGTACGTAAGTACTGTTGTGAGTTTCTAAATCGGATCGGTAATTAACGTTTGCCGGACCGGAGCAGTGGAGAAACGGCCTTACAGTCTCTATTAAGGGTTAAACACTCTGGTCATGTGTTCTATTTATTGATTTACCACTGTTAATCTCTTATCCTCCTATTACATTTAAAGAAAATGACTAACGTGCACTAACAATAATTCTAATGGTTTTGTCTTCTCAATCTTCACACTAGGCCCGTGGTGTCAAGTTTAATAGCCTCGACTTTCACGTGATGATTTTCTTTGAGAAGGCAAACATGCAGGAGGCTACCGGATGTTAAGTAATACCGCCGCCCATGGACACTCACATTGCCAGAAGGCTCGCAAGTGCGTTGCCGGCTTTTAAAAGTGGAGTCCGGTGGAGCCTTTTCGGATACAGCAATATTTTTAAATATTCTGTAGACGTCTTCTACATTAAGGTCTCGATGAAGGTCTTCATTACGAATGTACCAGGCATTGATTCACAGAGCACTTTGTTTTCGGATTATTTGGATTAAATGTTGGAAAACGTGCAATCGAAGACGGTACAGCTGTCGCAGCGTACCCGTAACCCCAAAGTAAACCTTGGCCTCCGAAACTAGAGAACGATATAACTAGTGAGAATGAGCTAGAATAAACAGATTATATTTAAACTTGTTAGTTCTCTTATAAATATTTTTATTATAAGAGAACCTGATTATAAACAAAGCTGAAGAGCGCGGCCGATTTGATACTTCGCGAGTTGAATATTTATAAAAATAGTTTACGTGATTAATTTTATGATAACTGGATTCTTTTTAGCGCATACTGTTTATTAATACGCAGACAGTGATCCATATACCTACATATGGATTAGGAGAACATTCTAGATACGTTCTATGATTCAGAATTCAAAATTTCGTTAGTTTCAAGAGTTTACTTTCTAACTGACGTAAGACTCTAACAAGTATTGTAAATCTTTTTGTTACTATTTAGCTCTCCTAGATATTTTTACCTATAGTAACATTATGAAGAAGGATAATTTATTTGTTTGTAACGAATAAACTCACAAACTACTGAGTAACATATATTTAGGGCTCGCGAGTGCGTCGCCCTTTTAAGAATTGACACGCTCTTTTTTTAATGGACCCTAGGTCGAATTTGTTCAGGTATTCCAGTATCCTTCAGTGTTCTCCAGTTCTACATAGTAGTGGAGCGCGGCAAAAACTGCCATAAGAAACACTCAGTTGTGGAACGACAGACGACGAAGTGATCTCCTGATGATGAAATTCAGCTGCAAGTTTTAATCCGAACAACTCCTCTGAACACTCTCCATGGTAAATGCGGTAGAAGATGCAGAGTTACCCCACATCTCTACGCAGCGCCAAGGGATCAAGCCGCTCGGAGAGGGATTGGTCGTCGAAGATTCGAACCGGTCGCTCTTCGTTTAATACAGTCAAGTGGAAGGAGCTGGTGCTGGGGAGCTACCGCCCAATTCAACATTTATTAAAAAAATAAATGTCGAAACAGGTACCTGGTCTTAGCCTGTACTGCGTATATATTTTGCATATTCACGCTTCTTTTATGTCATCATGTATAAAACAATTATAATTAGACCCTTGCAAGAAAACAATTCAATTAGCACATATTATCCCTAATCTTCAGAAATATAGGGCTCAGGTGAATGTCCTTCTATAGTTATTTGTATACATTATCAACCCGGCAGTGTTAATTAATTACATAGAATCACATTGGAGACACCTGCCTACGTAAAAATGTAAACAGAGTCAATGTTTACAATATGAAGTGATAAAAAAGTTGACGGGCGTACGATGGTAAAAAAAATGTACAAATTTTTTTAATAATTTTTCTTAAAAACATGTCAAAGAGAGCTGAAAAATATAGTTTTAAGAATATGCCTGGTAAAGGGTATTATTTCGAATAAGAACCTAATATCAACTGCGTAACTATATTAAGTGCACAGGCGCTAATTAAAGATCTAAGTTGGCGCCTGGTAGATAGTACCGGTGACCCCAGAGCTGGTGCTTTCCTCGCTCAACGAATAAGTATCGCAATACGGCGAGGAAATGCTACCAGCGTTAAAGGTACACTGTCAGGGACCTAACTTTTTAAATTTGTTTTAATTTTTAATTATTTTTATTATTCTGTAAGTGAAGAAAATTGTAAAGACTTAATATTTGATCTTAATAATTAAGTTTTTATAAATGATTATTATGATGTGTTAAAAAATATAAAATCTGAAGGAAAATAATAAACGGCTAAAATATAAGTCTTTCCTCCATTTGATTTTGTTCCCTTTGGAGTAGAGACTCTTGGGCCGTGGGGGAGCTGATTAAAGGTTTAAGTTGACGCTTGGTAGAGCTGGTGCTTTCCACGCTCAACGAATAAGTATCGCAATATAGCGAGGCGTAGCCACCACTTTTTAAATATGATGTATTTTTCTATTTATCCTTTTTTAATTATCAGTATTATGTAGGTTAATAATATTGCAATACTTTATATTTGTGTGTTATTAAATAAAAGAGAAAACAAAAAATTATCTGACGGAAATAAACAAATAATATAGCAAAGAAAAGGCAAGCGTAGAAAGATATATCTTCTGTATATATTTCATTTATTTTTTTAATAGGCAAGTACGTGATTAGCCTTTTGTGCCTTACACACCTTCGACTTTTTGGTTCTAAAGCCTTTTCTTTCCTCACGATGTTTTTCTTCACCATACAAGCGAGTGCTAATTGCATACATGGAAAGTCAAGTGGCGCACAGCCTGGTTTCAAACCTACGAACTCAGAAATGAGAGTCGCACTGTATCCACTAGGCCACTGCTGTGTAAATACGCTAAGGCAAAAAATAGATACAGAATTTAAAAAAAATATGTAGTAAGCATCTAAAGATGGTTTAAAGACGAAAATATATATTTTAACAAAAAGAAATACCTGTACCAAATATCCCTAAAGTTTAACCTCAAAACTTTGCTATATAGGAATCCGAGTACATAATTAAAGTATGTTGCGGGTTCATAGGTATTTGTGGCATTTCTGGCTAACCAACGCATGTAACAATTCGTTACTGTACCACAATAGTAATGTAATAATAGTCCATAAATCTGTATAGAATACTGTTTATTAAGCCGTTTTTAATTAATTTTATAACCAACCCCAATGAAATTAATAAACGTACATTATTTAATTAACCACGATAACTAATTTAGCTGTGCGATTCAAACTATGTTTAGTCCTTTTGTTTCAGGTTTATATATATAGATAAGGAATATTTAAATCGTTCGTAATTCTAGTTACGTATCAGTACAAAAACCTTATTAGATAACAAATGAAAAAAAAACACGTTATTCTAAACCATACTGTTATTATTTCCCTATTTACATTGTAAGCCATCGTTTTCATATCATCGTAATCATTCATATACCTAGAGCAAAAGTTTTTATTTATTGTATGAAAAAAAAAATCGAAAATGTTCTCGATTTTTTTTATTACAATGAAATTTAACCTATATCAGATATTTTGTTTTAAAAATTATCAATTTAATCTCTGAAGCGACTTATTGTATTTTAAATACGTATTCGCAATTATTGGGAATGAATTAAATTTTAAGGCTATCGCGAAATCCTTCAAAATGCAACAAAACGAATATAAACTCGCCCATAACTCATTTAACTAAAACCATACGTTACATGTTGCAAAAGCACGCTGTTCACTGCCTTGAAACAATGCATCATTTGCATGTCTTTATCACTTTAGCAGTAATGTATAAAAATAGTCCTTTGCTTGTCGCGAAACGTTGACATCATCTGGACTTCTTGGAAATCTCAGCGAACTTGAATTCATTTCTACAGTGATAACGTAACAGGAAAGTGGAGTTTAGGTCACGTAAATAATCACTTTTTTAACATCTAATTACTGAAATATTATTACTTACCAAAAAGAACCGCTGTTTTAAATAAACACAACCGATATTGATAAAACGTGCCATTTCACATAAATTTAAAAGCACGATTTGAATGTTAATGTGTCATTTAATTTGATAAAATTCGCGCCTATTTTATATGTCGCACATGTTTTGGCGCGAACACAGTCGCGGTGTTGCTATGGAGGCCGGCGTGAGACTGCCACTACTAGAATGGCGAGTTCACGCTCGGAGATAGGTCATCGCAGCCTCCCTTTAGCCCAGCTGTTGTGTAAATTGCCTGAAGACTAAAGCGCTTTAACGTTGAACAAGAAAGTTTTTACGTAAAATTTGATTAATTTTAATTTTTTATGTCATGAATTACGTCATTAAAAATTTAAATAAAATATTGTTTTCGCTTGTGTTCTTGTGAGGACATGTTTCTGACTGATTACGTATTTCTGGTGACCGGTGATTTAAAAGTAAATAATTTAGAACCTATAAGCTATTTTTATAATATAGAATTCACGCAATAGACTTGTATTTAGGTTTTCTACATTTTTTATAAATAATTTAGGAAAATGTACAATTTATATTTTTATGGGCCAAACGTGTGAAATTGTGCTTTCCGCCGCCCAACGCTACAAGGCTTGCAAATGAGTTGCCGGCCTATACAACCAGTACGAAATCCGCCTAGTTCAGTCTTCGTCCCACGCTGGCATGTTAAAGTACACATATAATACAGAATTACCAACGGTTTTACTATGTATCGATGGAACACAACAATCATACCAAAACTATTTAGAACAGAATATAATGAATCATGATCATTTATTGGACAAAACCGAAAATTGTGTGGGCGAGAACAGTAACTGAATATAAATAGCTCTGTGGCTAACGAATGACAAATTTTATATGAAAATCTTAGCCTAGCCTTACTATAATTAACCTACTTGAATCTTGAAAATACACATGAATTTTACAGTGAGTTTTAAACCGTGAGTTCAAACGATCCCGGTGAAATACTTCGTAATCATAAGTCGGTTAAAATAGATACAGAAGAATGCCTGCGGACTATCAGAACGGCTACAGGATCACGAAAACATTTCAACAAAACAGTTATTAACATTATATTATATTATATTATATTATATTATATTATATTATATTATATTATATTATATTATATTATATTATATTATATTATATTATATTATATTATATTATATTATATTATATTATATTATATTATATTATATTATATTATATTATATTATATTATATTATATTATATTATATTATATTATATTATATTATATTATATTATATTATATTATATTATATTATATTATGCCACACCTCACACACACTTTATTATATATAAAAAAAAATATTAAGTCGAATTTAAAATTTCATTCACTTAGAATTTCACTGTCAGCAATTAAATATGCTTTCTTTTAAAGATATCTTAATAAAATCTATCTACTGATATACTTTGTAAAATCAAGTAAGTACCTAAGTAATAGAAATAGTAACGAGAATTTTTCAAATTTGTCAAAAACTGTCGTTATCGTAATATCAATTATATTTATTAGGTATATAGTTTATAAAATTGATAACTATTGTAAATTTCAGGTTAAGAGAGTTAACTATTTCACAGCCTATTATAGCACGTAACTAATGCATTTAATTTGATACAGATTTAAATTTGTTTGATAAAATTTTTCATACTTGTCTAATTTAGCATAGGTAAGATAAAGATATTGATAAAGACATTGCATAATTTCCAGAGATCTTAAACAATGGAAATGGACGTACACACACATAAAAGCGTCAAATTGTATCCCTCCTCGATTTTTGGAGTCGGTTAAAAATTCACAGATATGACAAGAAATTACTAATTATTAGTTTAATGTAAATGTCAGTTTTCCCATATTTTGTATTTGTTATTTGTCAAAGTTAACTTTTAATTCATTCATCAATAGTCAATTGTCATCATTGTTATGACTACTTTTTTTTTTTTTTTTTTTTTTTTTTTTAATTTATTTATTAGCCGGATACAATAGTCAATTGTCATCATTGTTATGACTACTTTTTAAAATGTGTTTACATTTTACAGTTTAACTTAAAATTTATTTATTTTTCAAAAGAAACTTATAGAACTCAAAGGCTGTGCTCAAACTTGCATTAGAATTATACATACTTGAAAAATTGATTAATATGGACCCGCCATCGCCATGGAAAACACCAAACCAAGTTATGCAGATACATAAACTAAAAAAGCGTAAAAAAGCTTTACAGGTATGTTTATCGATAATATGTGTTATTTATATATCGTTGTAGTGTGACTATAAACTAATTTGAGTTAAGTTTCCCATTAAATAAAAGCATTTACAATATTACAGGAACGTATGAAACAGTCCTCAAACTCGATTCCTACAGAAACAAGTTCAACAAGCAAAACGTCAGTTAACTTAGATTTCTCTAGAATTCTTAACGGTGATAAAAGAAAAAATCCATTTTCCAAGTAAGTTCTAACAAAATATAACCTTAATTAACCTTACATGCAGAGCACACATTGCCTTATTAAAATGAAACTGGCTCACTAGAATTACTTACCTATTTTAAGCTGGCTTACATAATAAGCTTAGCTTAAGTGCTAACATCTATTTTAATAAATGCACAGAGGACATGTCCATGTTCATCCATGTATTATGGTGTCTCAATTTAAAATCAAAGTGAACAATCTGAACATGTGTTTGGTACAGAGAAAGGCTTTCATTTCTTTATACTGCTCTTATATATGTAATTTTGCAATACAGGAATTTCCTCTAAAATTATGTTTTTATAGGACAACTGCACAACAGAATAAAAAAGTAAAGTTAGATGATACTATACAACTAGATGAATCAAATGATAAAACTCTTTTTGCATTATTAAATTTACCTAAAGTAATTGAGAAACCACCACATGAAGTTGACACAGAAAAATTATCAACATTTTCCAATCTTCTACAAAAATTCACTGCTGAGCATACAGTAGAAAATGTAAGTATAATAATATAATAGATTTTGTATTTTTATTTGATCAAATAAATAATCAGAGACACTTATAAAACTTCATAGAAGCTTTTGGCCACTGACCGGAAGTTTTTCCTACTAAATTCATTGTCATAACACATTAATTAATTCATGTTTTATATTTTTACCTATATCATTTCTACTTGCAGAAAGTAATAGAGAAGAAGTACAAGAAACTGCCAATAGACTGGGCTCTGAAAACAAAATTAAGACTTATGTCAGCTAAACCATTCCCATGGACAAATAAATTAAAAGCTAGTGAGGAAGCTTCAGGAATAACAGGGTATGTAATTTACTTTACAATATTTAGTGTTGTTAATTGAATCAAAATAATTTAGGTAAAAAGAATTTTAAAACACATTACTAAAGATTTTATTTATTTAATTTAAAAGTGACTCTATTTCAGTTTCTTTACATTACAAACTAATTTAAAATATTTATAATGCAGATTTGTCCGATGCTTAGACACAACATCTTCATCTACATTAGACACGTCGCCGAGAGCGCGTTTTCATCAGACATGTTTATATTGGCAACATCCACACTTGCCTTGGTTAAATCTCTTTCCGCGGTCTGGCAGAGTTGCGGCCACCAGCTTCCTGGCTACCAATGAAGAGGTCAAAAAAGCCCTGCTTACAGAATGGACAGAGAGTTTTAGATCCTTGTTTCAGGTAACTATTAGAGAACTTCCATTAAATCTCTGCATAGATTATTATTATCTTTGTTATTTTATGTTACACACAGATTCTTTCAGGAAAATAAAATTGTTTTTTTCATATTTTATATAAAATATATACTAAGACTGTTTAAATATAAATTAAAGTACTAATGAATTGTAATCAAATCTTAATTTTACTTTATTACTTTAGTACTTAGCACAATAATTTTGTTTAAAACTAAACCCTTTCCTGATCTAACTATTTTGTATTACAGCTATTACGTGCACTACACTGCCCATATTTCTATGTCTGTGGCAACACATTTACATGTCTGTTCCTAGCAGCTGGAATCTGTGGAATGACTGAACCCACAGCACTAATAGCACCCACAACTAGGGGCTTCAGACAGACCTTAAGGCAAGAGGGTGAGTGATAAAATTAACAACCTTGAATCGTATTTGAACTTACCTAGAATGTGTAAAAAAAATCTAATATATAAAATTCTCGTGTCGCGGTGTTAGTGGTTAAACTCCTCCGAAACGGCTTGCCCGATTCTCATGAAATTTTGTGTGCATATTGGGTAGGACTGAGAATCGGACAACATCTATTTTTCATCCCCCTAAATGTTAAGGGTAGTCCACCACAATTTTTTTTAATTTGTAGATAATTTTTTAAATTTTAATTTTTTATGATACAGCATTAAGAAATACATACAACCCCTAATTTTCACCCCTCTACGATCAACCCCTATTTTTTATTATAAATGATATACATGGCAAATAGACGTTTGCCGAATCAGCTAGTAATATATAAATATCTTTAAGTTTATATCATTAAAATTTCTTAAATATTTAAATATTTTTTTTTTATGGTTCATTTTACGCTTGTAGAAGCTAGACTCTAGAGGATGTTCGTCCACATTAGAATTAAATATTACGATGTATTAAAAATATCATGGATCATATTAGGTATATATTTAGTTAAAAATTACATTATGATTTCTTGCGACAAAATAATAAAGTAAGACGAAATATTTCCAGAAACACAGTTTTGTATGTGTGTGTAACAAATCTTTTCAAAATAAAGGCCGAACTGAAAAATTCCTCCACGATTAGAATGATTAGATTCCCCAGTAACATAACTGTGGGATACTGTAGCATTCTAATATATATATTTCCAAATAAAAAAATTAAATGTGCTGCCGTGTCGGAACAAGCGGGTAGAGTACATGAAGAAAGATCTACCCTAGTTTCAGGTTTAATCTTTTTCTATCCCCAATTTCTAGATGTGGAATACACGATGCCACTCAGGCCTGATCAAAAGAAGAAGATGAATACCTCAGAGGAAGATCGCAAGAATTCCTCCCACGATAGTTGTTATGACACAATGGACACAGGGGAACATGTTTCGGGGGATGAAGAGGATCCTCATGAGTTCCTTTCTCAAATGGGATTGGAAACTGATGAAATTAATAAGATAAATAATGCGCAGGTCAGTATTAGATTTCTTAAAAAAATGCTTTGGAAATTGTGTATACTTAACTTTGTGTGTATTCGTCGAAATAATTTGAAATTTTTGATTCCCGCCGAAATAATTGTTTCGGGAATAGTGAGATCAATGTATGTGCTCTTACGAATTGGGTTGGGACAACATGTTTAGAATATATATTAAAAATAATATAATATAAAATCATCTCTAATATTGTACAAAATAGAATATATATAACGACAGTTCTTTTTAATAAACGAACGCCGCAATTAGCTAATTCATGTTTTACCTTTGTCACTCTTATATCCCTTTAAAATTGTTGTAAAACAAATATTTTTCATCAAAATTTATAGTCAATTAGCCGTCCGTCCCGGCTTCGTACGGGCACGGGCAACCGTGACCCGTAAACCTTGAAAAATTATATGGCTAAACCTTTCATGAGTCATTCTAGATATTGGTAAAAACATCAATAAATTACGTACGTAATTTTTAAGTTTATCGCGAACAGATGCGACGAAGGACTTCTTGTATTAGGTCCTAACATATGAAATTGACGATTTGTCGTACTGGCCACTTTGACTTCAAATTTTTTTACAGCTATTTACTCGTGTATTTATTTAGAAAACCATGATTCATTTCATTTTCCCGTATTATTTTTTTTCTTTGCGTCAATCTATTTATAAAAAAAGAAAACATAAAATATCGCTACATTCACGAGTGCGACCTCGAAGAATTTTATGGCGGCGGTGTCGCATTATAAAAATTCAACTCTGATTTTTTGAGTGAAACATTATAATTAATATTAATTTGATAAAGTAATAATATATTTTATATCATCATCATGTTATAATGATGATATGATTATGTGTAACTATTATGTAAAATTCTACCTTTTAATTATGTTAGTCAAATTTAGACGCTATTATGTGTGGCAGAATATGCTAAGTTTAGCTTGTACCACGATAATATTTTTCTTTAAAATAAATAATTATTATTATTACCTTCTAAAACTTCACAAACTTTAACTCTTCATGATAATAGTTATAAATGACCGCGACTTGCAACAAGTAAATAATTATTTATAGGCCCGACTAGCCCATACCGCAGAAAGCACAGTCGACAATGCAGCCGAGTCTTTAGTGGCTGTACGAGGCGTGGATGCGCAGGCCCTATTTAATTTCCTTCTCAACTGCAAGTCTTTAGTCAGCCCCAATGGACCCTTCGCAGGGGTCCCACCCACTTTGTTATCTCCTACAGCCTTTCATGGAGGAACGCTGCAGTCTTTAAAGGTAATTTTTTAATTTTTTTATTTATACACTAGTGGACCCCACAGACGTTGTCCTGCATGATATTTAAAGCGATTAGGATATTAAGCAAAGTATGAAAGTACCGACTGCAGTGCCATCTGCCGGGCTGATTTGTGAATCTAAACCATTCCCAGATCCCCTTGAACACACACAAAAAATTTCATCAAAATCGGTCCAGTCGTTTGAGAGGAGTTCAGTCACATACACACGCACAGAAGAAATATATATATTAAGATATTTCGTCATAGTCGTACAATAGTCGTCACTATCGATCGATCGGTCGATCTGACAAATAGTAAACTTTATAGGGCAGCCATTTCAAAATAATATAATCATGTTAGTTTTTGTCATAACTATTCTAATTCATATTATGTTACTATGAAAATTGGTAGGTATACAAGCAAACAAAAGGGGTTTTTTTTAAACAAAATAAAAATAATAAGTTTTCTAGAAAAATCACATGCTTCTATCAAATCCGTCACTTTACCGACTGATTAATTTGAAATTAAAAATTCATGGTTTTTTTAATGTAGGTACCTAGCCGTAATATTTAGTCAATGTAGCCAAATATGATAAAAAGTGGATTTTGGATTTTTTTCATATCCGACATTGTTCTATGATCATGACGATTTGAATTATATGAAAATTTTATTGAAAACCTCTTAATCAATAGAAGTAACCAGTCGAAAAACGTATAGTACAAATCCTGGACAGCATAGGACAGACACATTTCTGAGTCTGTTTTATTCTTTAAAGTGTAAGGCCGTTTCTCCACTGCTCCGGTCCGGCAAACGTTAATTACCGATCCGATTTAGAAACTCACAACAGTACTTACGTACTTCTCCACTACTCCGGCATCCGGTTTTTAACGATCCGATAACTTGCTAGATCGGAACGCGGTGTTTTATCGGTCCAAGTATCCAAGAGGTTATAAATTATTATTATTCACAGGTTCTTTAATTTGAAAGAATTTGGATAACCTGGACCAAACCAAATTATGTTGCTATTTATTTATATTTCTAAACCATAGTATTAATTAACTATTTATTAAGTAGATTATAATATTTTAAGATAAAAAAGTAATAAACTTGCCAGGGCAATATAATATTCAGAATTTAGAACGGTTTATTATTAAAATAAAGTAAATGGGTTTTAGTTAATATAAGTGTTGCATGATAAATATACAAGTATCGATTATTGTCGGATCGGATATAGTGGAGAAGCGCAATCCGGCCTTCCGATATTTTTCTCATGACTCATTCTGGTATCCGACGTCGGACCGGAGCAGTGGAGAAAGGGCCTAACTGTATTTACTCGGCCAAAATATTATTTCGAACTTTAAAGCTTCAAAGTAAAAATTATTTTGAGAGCCATTCAGAGACAGCCTTTAGTCCCATAGTCTAAATTATAGTTATAACAAATAGGTAAAAACCTAGAGCAAAACGATCCTAAAATATGTCTTACGGGGTCTTTTTTCTCTCTCTCTCTCTTTCTCTTTCACTTTCAAATAACATAACAAAAGATATTCGGTGCGCAGATATTTCTCTAAGTACCTAACTTTACCCTATACTTCATGCGAAAGTTAATTTGATTGTTCTGGAAATTATTATTTTACTTCAATATATTAAATAATAATATGCGGAATTTATATGTTTACTGTTGATTATATAATTAATTAAAATAGCATTAACCCTTATATTATACAGGCGGATTATATTATAGGCGCGGAAAGAATTCTCCTACCTCAATGGATTATGGTTTATATTTTTCAGGTCCGTGAAAACGTAATCCTATCAGATAGTAAAAAATATTACTCAATAGAGTTAAGAGGTCCACTTCTGCCGACTGCCCTTCACTCAATATTCAGAGTCTTAAATACCACATCCAATGCCCAATACAGCGCCACTTTCGCACATCATCAGCCAACGCTGGCCTTCTCTTGGGCAGCAAAGGTCATTTCTGAGGGTAAGATTTGAATTTTTTATTTTTTACATTTTGGAGGACAACCTTAATCTAGTTTGCATTATTAGTAAAGCTAATTTCATTGAAAGGTTTTGATTTTCAACGAAATCCTTCTATTAAATATAATTTACAACACAGAAACATCATCTTGCAAATAAAAACATTTAATATATACTCCAAAATTCAACCGAAAAATATCTTATAAGAGATTTTGACTTTAAAGTCGTATAGCCTAACCATATGGAAATCCATAAATTCACATACAATTATTTATTTATAATTATGTATTACTATTTTTTTTAGTAGACCTAACGTTTTCTAATGATACAGCTTTTATCTATAAGGCCTTACCATACCTAATACAAATATTTAAGAAGAATTGTATGTAGCAAATCGAAATTCGAAATTTAAACACCTACAATGATATTGATTTTTATATTAAAAACAGAAAGGTTGGCAACACTATATAATTAATCTAAAACTATCACTATCAATGGCTGTTATATTTTTTTTAGATGAATCAACGAAAGAAAACGAGCCCAATCACTTCGCCAAAGCATTTAACAAGGAAAACCTCTCAGACTGTGGTATAAGTGAAGATTTATTAACACATTTTTGTTCCTCTGAAACGAATAGCATCCTTTCTTTAGATAGTGTTAAATATAATTCGGAAGATGATACGTTTACGTGGTGATATTATAAGCTGGCAACACTAGAGGTTTACCTTGAGCATATTGAAAAATAATTAAATTTGACAGATGTTTGAGAATTGACAATTAATTGATGTTTGACCGTAGAGACCAAATAAAATAAAACTATGTACTACTATGAGATTGAATGACCGTTTTTTGACCATTTTCAGCCGAAATAGATTGGTGAATTGGACACTCATACCTGTAAAATATTTTCGTGGGTATAAATATGATTAACTTTTATATGTTTAGTGATTATTTCTTGATTTACTTAAAAATTACGTCTCGGAGAGTAAAATCTGTACTTAGATACATTTTCAAGGTGACAATTGATTTGCGCCAGGAAAACTAAACTAAAAAATTATTAGTTTAAACTTGATGTGTGAATTTTTTTTTATAAAATTTCTTTGATGTGTGTGTACATAACTGACATAATATTTCAAGAGATGCAACGCCTGTTTAAGTCCTGTATAATTTTTCGTTTCTAATCTCATTAGTTTAATTATAATAATTAAACCAAAAACAATTATGTCTAATCGTAACCTTTCTTCGTGTTAATATAAGTTGCCAGTAACTTCTATTATCTCATACTTATCCATCCATTTAACATGGAACAATCAGATTATATTTTGATATAATTATTTTACTATTGCCATCATTTTGTTGATTAAATTTAAAACTGTCAAACAGTTCTTTGCATTTTAGACACATTGTAAATACATATATTGATAAGACAAGTGTCCTTGATATTTAAATCAATTTATTATTAAGCTATTATTTATTTTGTGAATTAAATAATTTGTGAATAAATCTTTACATAAATGAGTTCCTTTAATTGTCTTTAATCCAATATTTACTAACCCATCAATTACTTAATGTATCACAAAAGAAACACAACAGGTAAAATAAAACGTCAGTATACTATTATAATTGTTTATTAATTTTTTTCATTTTTGGTAAATCAAAAATAAAATTTTCATAAGTCCACATATACTTATGCATAAACAAGATTCATACACATAAGAGGAAATAAATAAATTCATGGATTCGGGATTCCACTTCAAAATGACCTTATCAAAATGTTACTTAACATAACAGTACTAAATACTAATTATCACTTTCAAACCCAAGGTGGAACAGGAATCTTGGAAAGCTTATAACTAAAATATTCGTCTAAACGCGTTACACCAAAGGCTGGAACAAAAATTGTTTATATTAATCATGCATCCATCGATGCCCGGCGTTAACTTTATTCCGTTTGGAAGGTACAGAAAGCTGGTAACATTTGTGTTCTTTTTTACAGAGCAATGTGTTAGTCTATGCTTGTCTTTGTCTTGTCATTGAAGGAATTCACGAAAACATAAATATCCACTATTGACAATTCGCATGAAAGAAAACAACAGCGAAAGATATTTTTGTAGTATACAGCAGATCTTTCAAATCTCAGTCATAAAACATTTTAAATATATACAGTGTAAAACTCTTTATAACGTCATTCGATATCATTAAACCTCCCTCTAACGCAAAAATGAGATAAATTTGTTTGGGATAACACAAAACCCATACATTAATTCACTTTTATAACGCAACAGACATTCTCTATTAAGGAGAAATATTTTCATATTTAGACAACAACATACTGAAGAGTAATTGTTTTTATAATCAACTTACGAAATTAACCAATTGAGGTGCCCAAATTTCTAAGACACCTGACGCCTTTATTACTGTTAATTGCATTAACACTTTATTCTTAGATTACATTGACTGTAGGAATTTTTGGTCTTAGTTACTAAAACGTCACCTATCTATTATATATATATGAATTATTGTAATTGGTTAAAGTTGTTTTTATTCTATTCCCTTTGTATAACGAAAACTCTGTATAACAAAAAAAAATGCTCAGTCCCTTGAAATTCGCTATAAAGAGTTTACACTGTATTAAGTTACATATTAACTAGTCCAGGTACTAGAATACCGCATGAACATTTATATATAAAAGACAAACCTGTCAAAAACAGTGTTCAATATCCGGCAAGTACACTACGCGTGCTTATGATTTCTGCAAAAAGAAAACACAAATTATACAACCTGTGGAGTGGACTCCCGTATGTCAAAATCCAACACATTTTTGACGTACAGGAGTAGACAGTCGCGTTTCCGAATCTTACACTTCATAATAAAATTGTCATAAAAAAGACACTGTATTCATGGTAACAAATTTTAGTTCTACTATATTTATATTACGTTGGAGCAAGGCATATCGGTACTCACGTTGGAGGAGGGCGTGGCAGGTTGTCCGGGCACAGAGTACTGAGGCCGGAAGTTGGTGAAGTTGGCCGCCGTCGCAGCCGCCGAGAATCCTGGCAGAGTGCCGGTCTGGAAGCCCGCGGGGAACTGTGGCATTTGGCCTGGAACATTTAAATTAATTTTAGAAATACCCAAATTAATTTATAAATATTGCAATTTAATTGTCAATCTAAAGCTATTAATGTTATCAATAGGAACGTATTATTTACTAAAATATCTTTATTTGCGTATTACATATATACATATTCACTTTAAAAAATTATTCATATTTATATACTGACCGGCGGGTACTGGGTTCCCAGCAGTAGCGGCGAGTCTCGAAAGGATAGACCTCTCGGACATCTGGAGACGCTGGGCCACGGGGGGGATGCGAGCCAATGTGGCTGGCAGACGAGACACGTCTGACTTCATGTCTGATAGGAGTTCCTCCAGCTGGTTCAATACCTGGAATTAATAAAGCAGAATATTATGAGCCTATAGGGTAAGTAAACAACATAAAAATCAATGCTTTACTATGTTTTAGATAAATTCTAAAATATAGAAGTATCGCAATAGTTGCAAGTAGATCTTGCAAACTAATGTTTTTGTACATAAGCAAAGGGTCATTTATAGGATTTTACTGATATGATTATATATTAATAGGAAGTTTAAAACAAACAAGGAACACAGTTTGTATAGAACAGACAAACTAAATTAAATTAGTATCCAATTTTAAAATATTAAAGGTTTTAAGAAAGCGGTTTGAACATCCAGATTACTTGTGGATATTTTTAAAAATACCTTATGCAACACGGCATTAGCAGGTTTGTTCCCAGCAAGAGATTCCTTGCTCAGGTGTTGGTGGGACTCGGCGAGGCATTCCACTTCGGCGAAGCGTGCGTTCAGCGACATGGCAGGGTGGTTCGGGTCCTGGGTCAGGTTGAGATAGGCCGCCCGACGGAGTTGCTCTTCGATTACCAACGCTTGCTCTAGCAGCTGGAATTAAATATTTTGATTTGTAAGTAATATTAATCGGAGATATTTTTATTCGAAACAATACTTCAGATAGGAAGACAAGCTTCATGTCTATAAAAACAAATAGACAGAGAAATATATTTGGATGATAGCCCTACCCAATATATTAGAGGACGCCAAAGCTTTGTAGATTAAAATAAGTTAAGTAATTTTAGTGAAAAAACATTATTAAAATAAGACATGAATTATTTTTTTCAAATTCTAGAAAATACGTTTATCTGTAATATTTAAACTGTTATATTCTAACATTACAATTATTATTAAAAATTGGAAACAACTTACTTTGAATCGTCTCGCCAAAAACTTATTCTTGATCTCAAGGAAGTTGCCTTTACCGACGTCCATCTTAAACGGCTCGTTAATTATGGCAAACCGTAGGTCATTTTGTATGTCCTGCCACCGTCCGTAACCGTGCGTGACAATACCAGCCAGAAGCCAGTAGTCGTGTCGTCTGTGCCATATTTCATATTCTCGACCCGGTGCCGCCGCCCTCTCCTCGTTCAACCACAACGTGTGAAGCTCTGTGAAACCTCCATCAGCAATGTTGAACATAAACTTGCGACGCTCTACCTTCAGATCCTCCTCTTCTTTCACGAGAACCACGTCATCGTCGTCCTCGTCTTTTTTCTCTTCTTTAGGTTTCTCAGAAGCTTCAGACTCTGCTTTCTCACTCTTGGCGTCGTCTTTCTTATCATCATCCTTCTCTTTCTCATCTTTGTCTTCTTTTTTATCATCGGAATTCTCCTCGTCTTTAGGCGGTTCCTCGTCAACGGACATTCGTCTTTCCTCTTTAAGTTCTTCCTTGATCTTTGTCTCTTTTTCTTCGGTTTTAACTTCCTCCTTTATGTCGCTCGTGTCCATGGCTTCTTCCTTTTCTTTAGCGTCCTTAACGTCAGGCTTTTCTTCTTTTATTTCTTCTTTGTCGTCCTTATCTGAGCTGCCAGGTGTAGGTGCTTGTCCCGAAGCCTGGGCGGCCTGCGTCGGGGCGGGCGAAGGTGCGGCTGAAGCGCTGGGAGTGGCAGAAGACGGTGCCGGACTAGGAGCTGAACTTTCTGCGCCTGCTATCTTAACGGGTTCGACCGGCTTCCTTATCAATTCCGGCATACTGTAATACCCATTAATGTGCTCAAATTCTTGTACTTTCTTTCTGATGAGACTCATAACACCAATTCGTGTCAAAACGTGTTGCCGTGAAAGACTCTCTCTGGGCACGCCGTCTGCGAATGTTTCTGCATTATCTGCACCCGGTTCACATAAATGCCGCATAAATAGCGATACGTAGGCTTTGAAGTTCCTCTCCGATTTACCTCTCAAGTCTCGAACTAACCACTGCGAATTAAATGCATCTTGCGGCGGCATTCCGTAGCGCATGATCGCGTTGAGGAACGATTTTCTCTGCCTAGCGTTGAAGCCAAGTACTTCCATGTTCCCTCCGACTCTCGCAAGTAGAGGCGGAAGAGGTCTGTCTCTTTCTTCTCGTCTTTCAAGACGTCTCTTGCTTCTACGGCTGAGATCACCATTATCATTCTTTTCATCAAAGTCGTCATCTTCTTTGTCATCTTCGCTACCTTGCGAAAAGTCGGAATTGTAATCTGAACCATTTTCTTGCCAGGTTGAATCTTCCCTGTTTTCTGTTTGAGCGACACTTCCATCGTTATAGTTAACTTGTTTACGAACTCTTTTGCCTTTTCCGAGTGTTCTGGCTTGATCTTCCTGGTGTTGTTCATAGTGATGTCTAAGCAATTTAATCCAGTAGGCTGGGTCGGTGTTCTCCGCTTCTTGTTTAATAATTTCAGTATCCACTTCTTCCTCGTTGTCGCCTTCTTTTGTAGAATAGCTGGCCACTTTGAAAGAACTAAGATATTCGTTAGCCCACGATTCCTTCTGTTCAATACCTTCTTTGGAACGATCGAGCAACTCCCCAACAGCTCTATCGTCATAATGAATAGCCTCTTCTTTTCCTTCTTCTTCCTTAAACAATTCTTCAGTACCGAATCGTAAAATGTCATCTAATTCCTGTTTCGTAAAATTCGCTCCTTTTCCACCCATTCCGGGACGCACGACCAAGTGAGTCAACATCATCTTTCTCTTGGCCACCTGGGTCACTCTTTCTTCTACACTGTTACGTGTTACGAATCGATAAATCATAACTTTGTTGGCCTGACCGATACGGTGAGCTCGGGAGAACGCTTGGATGTCGTTGTGAGGGTTCCAGTCAGAGTCATAAATAATGACAGTGTCAGCGGTTGCCAAATTGATACCCAAACCACCGGCTCGGGTCGACAACAGGAACACAAACTGCTGGGCACCAGGTGCATTGAACCTATCGATAGCCTCTTGACGTATCGTTCCCGTGATACCACCGTCGATTCTTTCGTACTTGTATCCCTCTCCTTCTAAGAAGTCTTCCAAAATGTCCAACATTTTTGTCATCTGTGAGAAGATTAGCACTCTGTGTCCTTGTTCTTTAAGCTGCCTCAACATTTTCGACATAAGAACTAGTTTTCCCGACGCTTTCACCAAGGCCTGGGTGTCGTAATTACCGTGAGGGCCTAAAGGAGCCTCTTCAGCTGCAACGGGAAACAGGTAAGGATGGTTGCAACACTTCTTTAAATCCATCATGACGTTGAGTAGCGAAACTGTCTGACCACCGCCCTTTGGATTTAGCGCCTCGTAGTTCCTCGTTAAGATGTACTTGTAGTACTTCTTTTGCATCGGGGATAACTCGACACGCACGATAAATTCTGATTTCGTAGGCATGTTCTTGAGCACATCGGCCTTGAGACGACGCAGCATGTGCGGCCCGAGCATCTCGTGGAGCCTCTTCACCTGCTCTTCCTTTGATACATCGGCGAATTCGTTTTGGAAGGCGGCTAAGTCGTTAAATTTATCTTTATTTAAGAAGTTGAGGAGATGGAACAGTTCTTCGAGGTTGTTTTGCAGGGGAGTACCGGTCAGGAGAAGTTTGTAGTTAATTTGATATCCGGCCAAAAGCCTGAAGAATTTCGACTGGTTACTCTTCAGCCTGTGAGCTTCGTCGACGACGAGGACGGCCCACTCTATGGAACCCAAACACGTGGAATCAATGGAGATTAGCTCGTAAGACGTCAGCAGGACGTTGAATTTAACTTGGGACTTGATCTTCGAGGGTCTCCCACCTCTGTTGGCGCCGTCGTCGAACGTCAACTCGTTTTCGCGAATAACCGCTCGAGAATCCTTATCACCGACGTACGTAATACAATACAAATCCGGAGCCCAAAGTTCAAATTCTCTCTCCCAATTAATAATGGTAGATAATGGGACAGATACCAAGAAGGGGCCTTTACAGTGTCCTTCTTTAAACAGGGAGTTCAAAAATGTGACTGTTTGAATAGTTTTTCCCAGACCCATCTCATCGGCTAAGATGGTATCGATGCCTTGGCCCCAAGAATATCTCAACCAGTTGAGACCCTCTAACTGGTAAGGGTGCAGCTGCATTCCCGTTTCATAGACGTATGGCGGTTGATCTTCGTATTTCTTATTCAAATTAGTTGTTGGCCGATCTGGAGGCGGGTTATATTTCCTACATCCCTTGCCCTGAACACCACTACTATTTTCATCATCGTCAGTGTTTTCTCTATTTTTGCTCTTTCTGCCGGCTTTTTTGCCCTTGCTGCCCTTAGATTTTCCTTCGGACGTAAAGTAGGCCCGCATGTCCTGGAAAATAAAAATTGTTTATTAAAAACAATTAAATTTTAATATATATAGCTTAATTTAGATTTTCATTTCATGGCGTCTTACCTGATAGTAGTCGACAGCGTTTTTCAAACCAGCAATATCCGCATGTTCAGATTCCCAAGTACCCTGGTCGTAAGAAAGATCTCGCCATTTCACCAAGTAGTAAGTGGTGCCATCTCGGGATGTCCGGTGGTTTATCACTCGGTGGACTATCAGCCATTCAGGTTTGACACCATATCTGTAAAGCGTTTCATCAGTGTCATTTTTATTGTATTACTAGCTGACCCGGCAAACATCGTTTTTGCCAATGTATATTATTTTTAGAAAACATTATTTTCGTTCAATAAAAATAACTATCTACTATAATAAAAATAGGGGTTGATCGTAGAGGGGTGAAAATAAGGGGGTTGTATGTGTGCTGTATCATAAAAAAATAAAAACGAAAAAAAAATTTCAAATAAAAAAATATTGTTTTGGGGTGGACACCTCTTATCACTTAGGGGTTTGAAAGATATATAGTAGCCGATTGAGAATGCATTTCATAAGAATCGATCGAGCCGTTACGGAGAGTATGGGAACGAACATTTTGACACGAGATTTTTATATATTAGATTTGCATTAAATATTAAATAAAAATACATACTCAAAAATATTTTTACCTGTAATACTGCTCATCCAACATTTTCTCATTCAAATCAGATTGTTGTACATGTCTACTATTGCGTCTCCGTCCTTCTCGCTCCTCCATGCCTTCATCGAGCTTCGGTGGTTCTTCAGGGTCCGATTTACGCATGTAGTAGCGGTACACTAGCGGGTGGAACACGTCCAACTATATCAAATACAATCATCATAGTGTAATCATATATTCCGCGGTTGCACCCTGGAAGTGCTGTCAGAAGGGAATACGTGAATATTAATATGGTACTTTTTTATATTTTGGAATGGTTAGGGAATAATTCTGCACGAATTTCTTTAATTACTAGTATAAAAGTACGGTGTTAAAAAAGAGAATACAATATTTATTTATTGCGCCATCATACAAACAAGGAAAATTTATATTACTTTTATATGTCGCGCCAGCTGTCTACTCTCCATCCGTCTTACGAATTTTTGATCAGACTACGGTGTCTGACGCGAGTTTAACATTTTTTATCAATTCCAAAAAAAGTGTACAACGCCGCTAAAAAAGTTTTCACTTCAAAAAATAAACCAACTTCGAAAACTGGTCAACATTTAACCAGCTACCAATATTATTCCTTCTCCTCTAGAAATGTGAAGATATCCATAACTCGGAAACTACTGAATCAGGAGTATAGCTCACAGCCTGCACTCGAAGTTTTTTAATTAGCATTTGTTTAATTAATTTGCTAATAATAGTTCTATTAAGCTGACAATTCTTGAACAAACCTGTATCTCTGAAATCCAGCTACAATGCCAATAGGATTTTTCGTGCCACTTCACGAAGAACTCTCGAGAACGAGGCGCTTTAGACTTGCCCGTGTGCTCCTTCCAACGCCATGTTAAAATCTTTGCCACTTTACCATCCATCGGCGGACACTGTAAGTGAACATGTTTTTTTATATGGTTAGCTCCAAGTGCGATAATACGTCCTTGGAGAGAAAAACCTTTGAGAAAAATTATACAGTTGCAAGAAAAAAAATACGTTTATAAAATAAATAAAAATGGTTTAAATAGATTAGATTTGGGAACCTTTTAAAGTTAAAAATACCTGTGTCTGGTTCCCAGCTCCATAACAAATGCATATTGCGTCTGGTTTACGTATATGGTAACCCATAATAGATTAATAATTGGATTTTTTATTACATATATTACAATTAGTAATATACAGAATCTATTTAGTGCCTTTCAATATACATAATGCAAATTGTGAAAAGGTGAGAGTTAAAGCGACACTAAATAGTTTCATGAATAGCTTTTTACATAAAAACAAAACCTTTTTAGCGTGGTAGTAAAGCGCCATAATCGACAATTACAACAATTTTAAGATAACTGTAAAAATAACCACACATATTTACTTAACCTATCTTTTGATTTAAAATAAATATCCCTGCATAATAGAAAAATGTACTCACACTGCAGCGCGGACATTTCCAATCTCCATCTGGTACTTCATCCAAGGGCGGGTTTAAACAGAATCGATGATATGCCGAAGGACAAGAGTCACAACAGAGCAGTTCACCGCCATCTTTACAAATCCTGAAATTATATTTATTAATTAATATTAAAAAATGTGGATTGAAATCTTCGTTCTCAGTCTTTGTTAATATTACAAAGGTATAATGGTAAGGCGTAATGATCGCTCAATTCTTAGAAGAGTACTAATTATTCAAGACTTTAAAAACAAGTCAATGTTTAGCTCCAAATGTATTCCTTATTTAGGCTAGTTTATTCTATCGTCGTCATTAGTAAAAAAATACTTTTTTTACTGTATCTAAACGCGTTAAATATCGAAAAAATAATAATAAAATATCGACATTCAGTATTTTGCCTGACATTTAAGTTCTAATAGTAATATCTGACTGCTTGTATAGTGTTGTTATTTATAAGAACACATTTCATATTAATTTGAATCATATACATTTGATATTATTACTAACCTACAGAACTCCTGATGTTCATCATCATCATCCTGGTCCTGAGTCCCTTCAGCCTCGCAATGAGGACAGGACCAGCGGCCTAGCCTCCCAGTTCTGGTTCCAGAGACACACCAAGTGGAAAAGTGCACGAGGGCAAGTGTCGCAGATAATTTCACCACCTTGTTGACACACCTGAAGGAGTATTTTATTATATGATAGTAAAAATAATGTAATGACTGTAAGTTTGTCTGTAGTTATTACTAATTCATATTTATTCTTATATAAATATTAATTACTAATTAAATAAATATTATTGATTTTAGTTATTTATGTTTCATTCTAATTATTTTTTTTATATGTTTTGATATAAATATAATAATTAGAATCTTAGTCTATCAAAATTGTGGCTTCACAGATTAATATACAAATTTGTTTCATTGATTAAGAACACTATTTATTTATTTATAAGTTGTAAAAATATTAGAATTACATAAATTAAAACAATTGAAATCATAGAAAATGAAACTCAAGTATATCAAGAGAGAAATATAAATACGAAAAATAGTATAAATAACAGCTTCATTTTAATCAGAATATTTTGTGACTGAAAATTTTCATGAATTCAAAATTCAACCTATAAAAATATGATTGAAATCTCTTCAATCATATTTTTATATTCTTAGAGGTTAAATTTAACAAAATAACCCACGATCACTATGTATATATCAGCCAATATTACTCTTTGTCAAGTCCTATTACCTCACAATAATCTTGATGTTCATGTTCTCCTTCGGCACCATCTGGGAACTTGTTTGTTGTCTTCAATTTGTTCCTCTTCTTCTTTGTTTTGTTACCAATTTTCGTCTTTGCTTTCTTCTTGGGCTGGGGCTATAACAATTATCATGTTGAAAATTATTATTTTTTTGTTGGGAGGGTAGATTTACAAGAAATGTCTACATTGGAATATTGAACAAAATTTAACAATGTTCAAAACAAACAAATTAGTTGTATTGAACAATTTTTTAATGACCTTTAAAGACACGCTCTTTACATTAAAGAAAGAAAACTTATACAGTAAAACATACTCACAGGTAAATTGGGATCCTCCTCTTTCGGTGGAGAGGTTTCTTCAGCCACACTGGGGGCAGGTTTGGGTTCTTCGGCTTCAGCCAACATCTGTTCGAACTCCGCGTCCGAGTCAGAATTCGCCCCTGCGCTGTTCTCCTGGTCTTCTTCCTGTAATTATTAAATATTCAATTTTGAGTGCGATAATAATTTTACATCACTTGTAAGATATGTTTGTCAAATTTAACACTATAATTATTTCTTTTAATTCTTAATAATATTATTCTTATTTAATGGCAATCCTAAAAAACAATACTATCATTGCTAAACTTAGGTCAAAACATAATTTATCTGCACTAATAACTAAACCGATTAACAGTACATATATGGCATATAAGTTCTGGGTCAGATCTCCAAGGACTAAATGATTATCAATGAAACAAAGACAGAAATGTGTCGATCCCATTGGAAGCTTAAATATGGGACTGAAAATAAGAATTGATGCACTGAAATATTTAATAGTATATATATATATGTAATTACTATCTATTTGACTAGATTCTCTCTCTTAGGACATTGAATTACATATTTTTAATTAAAACAACTTACACTACTTGTCCGTTTGCGCTTGCTGAACTTAATTTTGAGCGTGGGTACTTTGGGCTTGCGACCCGGCTTTCCTCTAGGCGTGGACGTATTGCCATGTTTCGGCTTCCTGCCGCGTTTCCGTGGCGCTGGTGTGCTCTCATCACTGATCATGTCGTCTTCTTCCTCTTCTGGCTCGTCTATCGAGTCTTCTATCTGCTGCAAATATCAAATATTTATTTATACATACGAAACAAAAATTTGTTAATAGAAATTAGACCAATTAAGTTATCACTAATACTTTCTATTAACCACAAATACAAGGGTCTCTACTGGCTAACGGGACGAAATTCGAAACTATCCATTGATAATAAGTTGCTTTTATACAAAACCATTCTAAAACCAATATGGACATATGGAATACAGCTTTGGGGATCTGCTAGTGCCTCAAATATCATAATAATACAAAGAACTCAAAATTACATACTCAAGCAAATATCAAACACCCCATGGTTTTTTAAAACAACAGAAGTCCATGAAGTTCTTAATATGCCCATGGTAAAAGAGGAAATAATCACACATGGGTATAACTACAAACTAAGACTTCAAAAGCACCCCAATCAGCTAGCAGGACAGCTAACTATACCAGAAACTACTCGACGACTAAAAAAGCGGCGAGACATTTTTGACCAGGACAACCCAACAGACTGAGTTTAAATAAGAATAGACAGGCTCCGCTGGGAGTAGCGCCTAACACGTCAAGAAGCACTCAACGTATCTACTTATAGTCGCAAAGACTGATTGTATGATTAATATTTAAAAAAAAAATACTTTCTATACTTTTTGAATATGTTACCTTTTCTTTAGGCGGACGTCCACTCCTCTTAGGCGCATAATCTGAGGCTGTTGAAGTGTTTGTATTTTCTTCAGAACCACCAATATTCTGATTATTTCCTCCGTCCAAGTGAGGGTTTGTCTCACAAAATAGTCGCCACTTAGCTGCGACCAACATCATCAGTTTTGACACTGGTACCTAGAAAGGTTAATGTGGTACCAATTTATTAGACATAAGGATTAAGGAAGTATGCACTGTACGGCGTAATCAAAACTTATACACTAACGTTTCAAGGTGAAGACTCAAGGTTAGACAAAGTGCTGTCTGTCCTTGTGGCGATGCAGCTGAAGAGACAGTGTTGCATGTTCTATCCGACTGTCTCATGTATGGATACGACAGGTATAACACTGAGCAAGCTATGGGCATGAAGGTAACGGAGACGAGTTTGAAGGGAATAATGCTCAATGTTAGGTTGAGGGGCATCTTTTTGGGATTTGCTGTGAGGGTCATGCAGGGGGTTGTCAAAAGAAATAGGTAGTAGTAGAAATAGTAATATAGTAATAGAAAGTAAACATTCGGGTTACTAATACCATTTATGTAAGCTTTTTAACACCTCCGACGACTACATAGTCGGGGAATTATCTGGAAAACGTTTAAAAAAAAAGGTGAAGACTCGCCAATTCGTTTATAGCGTTGATTTTTGCAAAGGCTGTAGGAATGTATGTGACTTGTAATAATAACTAACACGTCGAGAGTTACTAAAATACAGTTGAATAAAGATTTGAATCATATTAGTTGTATAACTTTCCGTCCGGTCAAAATACACGGTACGTCAAGGTTTCATAATCCTAGTTCTGTAGTCTAAACAGATCCCAAGAATACAAATTAGTAAATTTGAAATATTTAGATTTTATGAAAAAAGTTAAAGGATGAATCTAAAGGCGAATCTTAGTCTCGACTTTAAATCGCGTTAGTGTAAACACTTTTTTTGTATGGCTCTATAGAAGTACTACAAAGAGGGAGAGAGCAGTTTATAGAAGTGTTGGTGTATTACAGAAGTCACTATAAATTAACAAATTGTGTACCAAAAATTCAATGCTAACAGTCGCGGTCTTTTATACTCAGTAGTGAGTCCATCATTTAAATAATCGATGCGCTTATAACTAAGAAACAGGCAACATTTAAAAGAATATATGTTAATTTTCCTTTCATTTCCGTTAAACCCGCATACTAATCCCGATGAATACCAAGTTATTGTATATACTATATATCTGAAGAGACGCTTTCCCGCTTTATTGATAGTGGATTACACTTTGAGGTGCTTGTATTTTCTTAATATTTTATAAATTTTTGTTGTTAATGCAATGTTTAGCTTAATCTTACCTTTGGATTCTCCTTAACAATAAATGGTCGCACATGTTGCTGGAATAGCTTATAACTGGTTAAGTTTTCGAGATCTGCATCTGAATACTGAATATCTACATCTGTGAGACCAAATGATGAACACACTTCTTCCACGGTGGGCATACCTGGTAAAGGGCATCCAATAATTTTAGTAAATAACACAAATTATAAAATTTCGGTACGGATTTGTAAAAATACCGCTGAAGAAAACAAGCAGAAACAACTGACTGACGTATTTCTCTAAGATATAGAATCGATACTTAGCAATTTCAACTCCCATATGTCAAAAAAACATTAGATATGACATCTTAGTCTCAGTATCGATTTATTGATACCCGTCTCTTGATCAGGGGCAACGCCACTGTTGACTTTAAGCTAGATACAATTATTGCTTTGCCGGGAATCAAACCCTGGTTTTATAGACTGCGTGTTATGTTATATAAAGATATTTCTTCTACACTGTAGGTAATATTAAACATTAAACATATGCATTAAATTATTAACCTCCCCCTGCAGAATTTTGAAGTTGGTAAAAAATATGTAATTATTATCCTAAATAGTTTATCACAAATATCATAAATATGAAAGAGCAACAAATCTTCTTCCTCATAAATGCAAATTTAAGTGATTTGAAAACTTAACAACTCACCATCAAAATTACTAAAGAATACAAATTACAAATTACTGAAAACTAGACAATAACAAGATAATTTTTCTATTTTTATATATTTGTGATGAGTCTGTTTAAAAATATAATAAATATATAAAGGTACTGATATATTCTTACCAGATCCTGAATCAGAAGCGACTGGAGTTGATGTGTTGTGCTTGCTTCCACGCCCCTTGCGTGACTTCTTGCTGGATGAAACTGCACTCAATGCATAGTCACTGTCACCTTCAGCCTCCATTTCCATACCAAAATCTTCATCCTTGGGGGTAAATATTTATAATTATAAAATTTCTTTATCAGATACAAAAGTAAATTTATTACTTTATTACTAATTTAACAGTCTCTCAGTGCTTTTCAGCAATCAAATTGATTGGCAAAGCACTATAATCTTTAATGTAATTTGTTATGTGAATAATGTAATAAATGCACTAAAATCTGTTTAAGAAGATTCACTTAAATGTATTATTTATTTTTAATTACATATGCATATTTAAAAAAGGTCCCAGGTTCAAAAAGGAACATTCGAATATGAAACACAGCACCACTGTCATCATATTTATTAGCCAAAAACATGCCCCTTACTACCCTTATTTAAAGACACTTATAAAAGTGTGTACAAAACTAGAAAACTTACTTCTTCACTCTCATTCTTTCGCTTCTTTTTCTTCTTTCTTCCTTTCTTTTCTTCACCCCTGGCTTTTCTTTTCTTTCCCTTTTTCTTCTTTCTCCCATCTTCTGGAGAATAGTCATCATCCTCCTTACACAAAAAAATTCAGTTAACACTTGTGACTAAAATACAACAATACAAAAACATGGTTTTGAATTGTTTGGGCATATAATAAAATTTTAATCGATCAATGTTTTCACTTTTTTTATAACAGTAGTACTGTGATGTCAAAGAACTGTGTGTTGGCCGCCTGACCTTTGTTTTGTTTTGATATTTATACAAAGACTTCACAATGTTATTGTTTTTTTATAATAATAAAAATTAAATTGATTCATCATGATTAATGAAATAAAATTACAAATTAAAATTTGATTGTTCACTTCTTACATAAGAAATGTTCCTAAGTAGCCAATATTATAAACACAAGAGTTATTTAAAATATATAATTTAAGTTCTGGTTTTCCTTATCAATAATATTATATATTATTATACCTTCTTGAAGGTATCTCTTCTGGATCTACAAATTATTCCAGAAATTGATTTATCATTTAGAACTATAGTGCCATGGTTTAAAATTTTACCTTTGGTGGAGCTTCATCACTTTCTGCAGAGTTCTCATTCTGGCCTTCACCTTCTTCTACATCTTCGTCCCCTGAAAAGTTAATTCCTCTTTACCACTCATAATATAACCAATATTTCACTTATCTTCTATAACACCATTAAAGCTTTTTTTAATTTCGCAAATATCATACTGCCACCGGTAAGGTCACTAATCCCTTTGTTTGGCGGCGTCCATTTTGTTAAGTAGTAATGAGGGGATAATGCATGTTCTTTTCTGTCACAAGTGCCACATACAAATATTTACAAATGACCCAGAATGATTATACCATATCAAGACTTGAAAACGCGAAAATATTACCCATCATGGACTATGAGAGTTATTTAGAAGAGTTAAGATCTAGTCGAAAATTTTTCAAATTTTAATTGCATACCGCAGGTAAACAGATGATACCGCTATTCACATTTTAGCTATGACATGCTAGAAATTCATCGTTTACCTGCAAAAGAACCATCTACTTCTTCGTCTGATGCCATTTAAATCACGATTTAACACAATTTAAAACTTTAATCAAAATTTTAACCGTAGAAAGGCAAAGGACGCGCAGTTTTTGCGACAAATGGTTTAATTAATACAGAAATTGATGCCGCCGTCACTACGATGAACTAGCGTAGCTAAGAATGAGATAAAAGATAACTTTTCTCGCTCATTCAAACCAGCGTTCTATGGCACATTGACTTGTTATTTTTTATCAATACTAAGATAAAAGATGGCGTTTTTAAGATTTTTTTCGTTTGTTGCCAGATGTAAGTTACATTGTTTTTACTTTTATATATTAATCAAAAATACGTATAATGATTTATTTTCACATAATTTTGTGGTAAATTATAAACTCAAAATAAATTACATATGTATGATTTAATAATTCATAGAGTCTGGCTAATGAAAGTTGATACTGAAGAAGCGCGGCAAATTTAAAAAATATCAGCATGGCAGCCCTAAAGTAAAAAGGAAAGTTGGAACAACTCACTTTGATACTTTGACATTCATTTTTATTCTACTAGTGGATGCTTGCAATTTTGTCCGCGTTATGAGGAGATTAAAAGTAGCTTGTATCACTTGTTAACTCTTTATTAACTCCATACCAAACATCACACGGATACGTCACTCCAATGTGGCGTATTAAAGGAACAAACAGGCTATCAGACACTATCATGACTATCAATATTATCATGAGTTTAAATATTTGTAAATCTATGTGAGTATGTATCAAAGAAAACAACACCATATATTTTTATACTGTTTTTTAATCACTATAATCAAAATCTGAATCTTAAAATTCAACATGGAGTGAATCGTCAGAATCACTGGAGTCGCTGCTGTCTCTTAAATTGATGATGAAGCTTTCTAAATTATTTTCAGTTATATGGTTCTTCTTTTGTACTTGTCTTCCACATGAATGACATGGTCTGTAATTTTTTTCCAATTATCTGCTGTTATACACTCAAAAGATTGTTTTATGAGATCCTCGAACTCTTCTAAGTACTGGTTCGGCGATTTCATCATATCTTTTTAATCTAAATCTGTGACCTTTTCAATTGCTTGTTTTACTTCAGCAGTTCATGCATATCCTCAAGACTATCTGAAAAAGAACAATAACATTATATATAAAGTAACTAAAACTAATATGTACTTATTTAAAATAAAAAAATATCAAGACATTTTGACCGTACTAACTTTAGTGTCGTCATATAAAAAGTTTGCAAAAAAATCCAGTATCTACTTTCGTTAGCCAGACTCTAATTCAAAATTGAACATATTAATTATATGAAAAGAAGGGCAACTGGCGGCCTTATCGCTTTTGAGTGAACTCTTCCAGGCACTGTGAGAAAAAATGTACCTATTAAATTAGATAAGGTAGGCAATATTATATTGATAAAATATATATAAAATAATAATCAATAAATTTATTCAAAAAAGGTAAAATATGTAATAGACTATACTTAAAACTAGATCAGCACACTACTTAAAAAAACTTTTAGAAAGGGAGACAAGAAGAAACAGTATGAGCTAATATGTAGGTATATAATATCTTTATTTATATATAATTCTGCTGAACGTGTTTATATCACTGAACTCCTCTTAAACGGCTGGACCAATTTGAATGATTCTTTTTGTATGCGTTTGGGAGACTCCCTGGATGGTTAAGATACACAAATCAACCCAGTAGATGGCTTTGCATTCGGTACTATCATACTTTGTTTAATATACTAATCGCTTGAAATAAGTATCATGCAGGACAACGTCTGTCGGGTCCGCTAGTGAAAAATAAAAAGTAAAAATTGCACATGAATCACGATAATTTAAGATCAGTCTCACGTCAGTTAGTAGTTAGTACGAAAGTTCAAAGTTAGGGATACGATGTGGACAGGTAATTTTTGTACAGAAGAAATTTAAAGGAAGATAGAGAAGGAGCTAAGCCAATAGGACGGGAAATGAAATCCATAGCCTAACTGCAGAGACCTTAAAGGATTCGCCAAGAAAGAAGGAGTTATAAGATGGGATTTCAAGGATATAGTTTTCGGAAGAGTGTAAGCTATAGTTATAGGCTCCCAAAAATTTGAAATCATTTTTGGGGTAGGAAGGAGTTTTAGGGTTAAACAGGATGGAATACAAGAGATGGAGAACGTGAGCATCATGACGAATGGGTAACCAGCCTAGCCGTTTACGGAGCGCAGAGATATTTTAATTTATGTAAAATAAAGCACGATCAAATTATTGAATTCCATTTATACGCATTAGAATAAAAAGGACCAAAATATTACCCCTTTGCTTTCTATTTTAGCGAGGTTCTATGCTAGGTTTCTTCTCTCTTTTATCTAAATCTATAAATTATTTTAGCTGAACCAGTCAACTCTAGCGCTTTTTAATATTTTCAACGTACTGCGTTTCAGGCCAAGGCCAAGGTATAGAACCACTTCAATTTTCGTGCACTTGATAACATTGTGATATACGTATAACTTGGTCTATCTTATACCTTCGTCAATCCCAATATTTTTATAAATAATAAAAGTAATCTGTGGAGTATATTGTAGACTATGGTCAAGTCGCAAACCGAAACGCGAAAACCATAGAGCATAGAGTGCATTATATTATATTGCTCGGGAGTCGGGATGCTTCATGCTTGGGAGCGGAAACTTTATTACAATTTAATTAGTGTACCAAAACAAAATGTAAATTTTGTTAATATATCTTGAAAATAAGTATTATTTTTAATTTATAATAATTGTCTTAGCTAGATGGTATATAATATAAAAGACGTTATTGAACATTAATTGAATTACTGTGGTCCGTGCCCTTCCTCGTTTATAAGCATGAATGCTCTTTTGGACTACGGTTCATCATCAAATGATTCCAATACTTCTGACAGCAGTGACGACGAAAAGTATGTAAAAGCTTATAATACTACTGTGTTCTATGGTATCGTAGTTTTAGAGATTTTTAAGATCAGGCTAACAACAAAGGATAATAATGATTTACGGAAATTTGAGGATATAGTTTACTTGTTGTGTACTCCTTAAGTTCACAAAATTATAGTAATATTTACATTGTTTAATAATGATTCTATTAATTTAGAAAATATTAAAACCCCAGAGCATTGTTTTAGTTATCATTATGCAACATTTTCAGGACACTAAATGAAGAAAGTAAAGATGTTGAGAAACCAAAACTGCCAAAACCAACATTGGGTGAGAACAGTCTTCAAACATCAGTATTTGCAAACCCGTTTGCGCAAGCAGAAATGGCCAAAGCAGCTATCTTGGAGAAGCATGTAAAAATGGTATATGTTGACTGTCCATTTTTTTAAAAAACTTTGAATAAAGATCAATAGAGTTAATATTTAATCAAATTTGTAAATTATCTTTAATATGCACCTTGTTAAATACAATTCTAGTCCATTGTGAATCTGCTAAGCTAATTTCAGTATTTATTACCAAAACAAAAAACTTAAGGTTTTAATTTTTGTTGGCCCAAAAGTATGTCCAATTTTATATACAATCGTCAAGTACATAGGCCATAACTGTTAAGGTTCCAGGTAGAGATAATATGCAGATGATCAATGGAAAGAAAATCTGCTGGAATTTTCGCAAGGGTAGATGCAGATTTGGACACAATTGCAAATATGCTCATGACTCTGACCTACAAAAGACTACGGAAGAGTTAGAAGCTGAAAAACAGGTATAGAAAGAAAGACTAGTTACTTTATTTTAACTGTGTCTTTGGTTTATTAATATTGTACTTAAATCTTATTAGTTATTACTCTAATTTATAGATTACTATGGATTTGTCTTAAAAATGGTAGTAAAATTTCACACCTCCACAGTAAAGCCATAATTGTTTGCTGGTATCTAAAATCCTCCTTAAATATATTCAATTATCAAAATTATCACTAAGTCTTTGACCCATATTCTATAACATCACTCAAACTTAAATCCAGTTTCAAGAGCTGTCAAGTAAATTTTTCTAATTGAACTTTAACATATTTGACAGTGATATAAGTTTCATTAAAGTTATTTAAAGATAAAATTTTTCAGAAATTAAAAACTGTTGTATGCGAAGGAAGTGGTACAATGACATGTACAGTTCCACCAGAAATTGAAACAGAGGCTGTCAACTCAACTGATGACAGCATATGGGAAGGAGGGGTTAGAAAAAAGAAAAAACGGCCAGGCTTAAGTGCAGGTCTTGTGCCAAGTCAAAAGGTTATTAAAATGTATAAGGAGCAAAAGATAAAGAATTCATATAAGTAAATAATAAAAATAATTTATTCTATTACTAGTACCCCATTTTATAATCAAAACTGAGTTACTTATATTTCAAAACCAGTGATGCATCTGTTTCTATTTGTGTCTAAAGCATGCGTTTCCTTACAAAGGTATTAAAAGAAAAAATTATAAGAGGGTAGTTTTTCACAACTGTGATTAATTTTTAGATAGGTATGATCTTCCATCATATGGTGATCTAAAAAGTACTTTTCAAACTGGCAGACTACACTTTTTTGGTCTTCTAATGATACTGAACACTTTCTGCCTCTTCATTTTCAAAACGCACTACTTTTATAAGATATGTATATAATAAATAACTGTTATCGAATCGAGTGAGATATTGTTTAAGCACACTTAATCACAGTTGTGAAAAACTACCCTCAAATAAAAAGTATAGCATCTTCCCCTTGGAAAAACACTAAGCGCCTGCAATGTTGTGATAAGTTATGCGTGCTAAACTCTTGCTTAACCTTCTGTAGGCGTTTTTAGACCTCTCATGGTTATATTAATAATAAAAAATGTATAGGCTTCTGAGACTTATTTTCAAGTTTGTTAGCTCAGGTAGAAAATACGTATAAAAACGCTATCACTCAAAGATTTTTAGAACCCAATTAAATGATAGTGGTCAGCCAACCTGACGTCAGAATGGCCGGCCACTTTATTTCTTTATTTTGTTCTTTAATGCAGAGGTAGCAAATGTGCCTTTGAAGGTAGCGAATAGTATCAAATAGGTAGAGAAATATGGCGTATAGTTTGATTGTGATATCAAGTTTGGTCAGACCACCTGACGCACACTATAGATTTTAGTTAACAAAATTTATAAGCCCTAGTAATACTGAGCCACGTTATTATTATTTTAGGGGCAAGTGTCACTAAATAATTACAACATAAATTTAAAACTGTTTTTATTTACGAAACAATGCTTGTAAAACATTTGATTAACATGCAAGATTCTTACGAAATCTTGCACTGGCTCTTATTAAAATTATATCTAAAATAATAGATAAAATATTATGCAATCAAACTTGCATGTTTTGTAAATATGAAGCAGTGATAGCTCTTTTAATAAAACATCTGCACAGCCATACACATTGTTTCCCTGGCATGATGCCAGTTACATAGCCTTATTGCTGTAAATATTTGTGGATATTCTAATCTAAAACCTACTGTTGTAGTAACAATGTGTCTAATACTAATGAGAAACAATTTTCATCGTGGCAATGTCTTTGCCACTAAAACATAGAGAAAACTATGGTGACGTCACAACATCAAGACATTTAAAACTTTATATGACGAAATTCGAACTATTCGTAATTTAAACTTTGCTAAACTAAACATTTAATTACTGCATGGCTTAATTTGAATTATTGCAATGTAATTACTAATAAAATATTTAAACATTAAATACTGTATTTTATAAAGGCAAGTGTACAGATATAATATACCCACTGTGGAGTAATCTACACGACAAATAGAAGGCACAGAACAAAATATTTCAAATACAGTTGATAATTTCATATGAAAAATATTCTACGGTATTATAAAAATATAATTATTTGGCGTTTACAGTCACATTGCCATGCATTAAGTACGCGTTGAATTTGGTGTATATTATCAATACAAAGTGGAATATTACAAAAAGATCTTACATCTAAATAATTTAATTTTATGTCTTAATAGCAACTTTTTTCATCTTTGGTGACGATACATGAATAGTGTTTGTCTTGAGATGCTCCATATCACTATCATGGAGACTTGAAATTCCATTGATCGGTCCATGTCCACTTATTTTAAAAGGTCCGTGCCCATTCATTTTGCTGTGACCATTTAATTTATGATCAGAATGCCCATTTATTTTTTCTTCACATCCACTTATTTTTCCATGACTATTCATTTTAGTGTCGCCATCGTGAAGTTTATCAGCATGTCCATTTAGTTTCTCTTTTCTTCTAGCTTGTCCTATTAATAAAAAATGCATTATAAAATCGACATCCATTATCTTAAACTGGCGTAACCGAGTTATGAGCGTAAAAATTATGAAGGTGGAAAAAATTTCAGTCATAAATAAAATTCAAGACATTTTGTATCAATATTTAAAAGAAATATCAGTTTCCATATAGTGCGATATTTAGGCTTACTACAGCATGTCTAGCTCAACACTCACTACTGTGCGCAATGCAGTGGCTAACACAACATAGACACACTAAGGCCACATTTACACTGACAGGTAAAATTACGCCTAAAATTTAACTTGTTCTAAATTCAAATAAGTAGTTTATTTTCCTGACTAATTGTACTTATTTTTCAAGCCTTTCTATGGTCTATGCTAGTGTGAGCCTTTAGGCGTTGAATTTGTCTGTCAGTGTCAAGTAACCTAAATAACGAGACTAGCTATAATAGACAACAATGCAATGGGACTAGGTAACGCAATTACGCCAGTTTATCGAAACGTGCAACTTGTACATGTACTTAAAATTTAGACCATATTAAAAACTACTCATTTATAAAAGAACCTTTTTTGCTGACTCTGAATGCATGCAAGAATAAAGATATCTTTACATGATGATGTATTTATATTAAATTTGGCACCAACTTGGGTAATATTTAAAAAAAAATAACTTTGCAGCTCTTTATGAACCATTTATTGTTAAAGTTATTTTATTACTCATGTAGGTTGACTAAAAGAATTGTTGGGCTGGACTCACCGTTTGCGCCAGACCCGGCGTAGTACCTTTTTGATGTTTTCCAATCTTCCTTTAATGACAAATTATACATAGAGTATGCTGGGTCACCCGTAACCTCCTTCTCAATAGTCAAAAACTTAGGCAAAGTTGCCAAAAGAGCGTCTTGATCGTACGCAGCGCTATACGTTTCTAGCAGAACCATTCCGCGACATCTGAAATAATTCAATCGTTATAGATACAACTCTGTTGAAATAACTTAAAATCCCGAAGGCCTAATTACCTGAATAAACTGCTTTTATATAAGGAGAGAAATAATAGATATATATCGCCCAATTTATTTATACATACATAAATACAGATATTAAATGCGCTAAATCACCTTGGATGCGTGGGTTGTCTGTACATATCCAGTTGGTAATACTGGTTGTTGTAGATAAAGCAGCGGCGTTTCTTGAATATCGTGAAGTGCGCGTCATCCCGTTGCGGAAGCATATTCAGGTAATCTCTGTGGGTTAGCTGAGTCCTCACTTCCACCGACTGGCCATTCTGGTGGAATTTCCTCATAGTGTGGATATAAGACCAGTGGCCCTTTTGCCCGCGCTTCCTTAACCGCACCTGAGCTTTACGGAAGTCGCTCTGTAAGTAGTTGTGTTCCACGTCGAAGTCCTGAAATTTCGGGAACTCTGCATCCACAGGTAGTGGGCATTTGACAAGGAACTTCCGCTTCTTGGCGTTGACGTTGAGTCTGTCACCGGTGTCTATGCCTATACGTTGGCAGACGCAAGCGATCAGACGATTCATCTTCTTGTCGAAGTCTGTGGAGTTATCGATAACGTCGAAATAGGGATGTCCAACCCACGATGCAGCCGCGTTGTAATCCAGTTCTCTGGCCAACTCTACGCCTTCGGACCGACATGCGTGTTCCTGAAGATGTATAAATATTACAATTATTAGTTTTTTTATTATTATGAGATTATCCTAAACATGTTGCATTGGTACCAGCCAGTTATTATTAATATTATAAAATATATAATAATCATAAATATTATGCTGTATATTTTTATTATTATTTAATTTAAATAAGATGATGATTTTTAGGACCACTATAAAATTAACTTTCGTTTAAAACGTATCATACATTCGGATGTCAACAAATCGGCAATGATTTGTGATTAATCAATCAAATGTAAAATGCATAATTTAGTAACTGGCAAAACGCCTATTAAGATTGATCGTTTGTAGTATCGCAGATACATATCTCAATATAGAGATACATTATCGCTATATTTCTTGGTGACATCTTATGACTACCAATACCGGATCACGTGAATTTTTATATAATAACGAGATATCATCGCAATTTTTATGCGGCTAATTGACGAATAAATTAATTAAAGAACCGTTAATTGTCGAATAAATTAATTAAAGAATCTGTTCTGCGCAGATTGTTGTTATATTTTTAAAAGCCAAAGTCCATAGCTTTAATATGATTTAGGTTATCAATCATCAACACCTCGATAAGGCGTGAATTTTGATTGATATGGCATTATTCCAGGAAATTGACACTCAAGCTCATCCTTGTCCTTAAATTCCTTATTTAAATAGTAATAAAAAAATAACGTTTTTAACAATAAAAGTAGTTTAGAAAAATTAAAGCGACTTCAAATACGTTATTTATGCTATGTACCTCTACTAAACTAGAATCCGGATAGATGTTTCATGATCATTTATCAATCTAATACGCAAGTGATCAGCCTCCAGTGCTTGACACACGCCGTCGACTTTTTTTTGGGTCTTAGACATGTCGGTTTCCTCACGATGTTTTCCTTCGCCGTTAGAGCGAATGTTAAATGCGCACATAGAAAGAAAGTCCATTGGTGCACAGCCGGGGATCGAACCTACGACCTCAGGGATGAGAGTCGCACGCTGAAGCCACTAGGCCAACACTGCTCATTACTAAGTTTAAAAAAATCGATCAATGTAATACGGAGCAATGCCAATTTGTAACGAGATTAACATTGACGCAATAGTTGCAAACTAGATTTATCCAGAACGAGCCAATAATATATAAAATACATGTTACATACAAACTGTAGAGTTATTTATCAAACATAAAATCACTCATATCAAGAATAGTTTCTTTTATTTACGCGAGTTCTCGTACAAGTCCACATCCAAGTGCCTCACTAGTAATAGACATTTTATTTAATTGAAATTGTATGAATTCTACTACAAATTTATAATATTAGCATTGCTCATGAACCGTGGTGATTTCCCTTTTCGTGTCTGTAATTCCAGTAATAGCTTAATGTCGAATCTAGATACGAAACCCATTTGCTAATAGGCGATCTGTCGTATATATTATGCATGTTATCTGAATGCCAAGGCTACAATTATTACACAACATTTACGTACACCAATGTTGTTACATTTATGTACTATAAGGTATTTAATTTATCGGAATTGTTGGATATTATTGTTTTAAAGAATGGATTTTTTTTTGTTTTAAAGTTCATATTTTTTATAAAAAAAAATTATGTGTAATTTCTACAGTATTAAACCAATTCTTAAATAAAAAAAATACTTTTGCATATGTATATGTAGCGGAGAAAGATTTTTTAATTAAATTTAAATATTTTGTAAAAAAAACTCGTGTATTTTGTTTGTTTGTAGACCTAGACTGTAATCTGTATTTAATATTCTGTGCATGTGTATTTTTTCACCAAACAATCAAATTCTGTACAATAATTATTTATACATTATTGACAGCATATCAAACGAATATAATAATATTTTATCAATTAATTGTAGACAAAAACTGAAATGACGTCACGTATAAAAACTATCTTTGCACTGTACTTGTGTAAATATTTTTCACCTTTGTTAAATTTAATACAAAATAATGAAGAATTTTAAAATTCGAGAAAATTTGTTAAATTAACCTTTGATTGACATTTAAATGTTGGGAATTTCAATATAACTTTTTCAATATTACGTTTGAAGAGTTTTAGGTATTTTTTATAGCTTTACCTCAGTTGAATAGAAGTCTTCCGCACCGTTTGCTGCCGATACCATATGAACAATATGGTTATATCGGTTGTCGCGCAGTTCCACACAGTTCCAGTTATTAGCACTTAACATAGCCTCCCATTTTTCTTTGGAAATAACTGCGAAAAATATTTAAATATGAATCTAATGGACTAACATTAATTAAATTAAATGTAGAATTGTTTTACAAATTTTTAAAAAACGAGTCCTAAGCACAGTGGCGTAACAATAGGGTGGCAGGGCCGGCAAAATGCCACGGGCCCCCGACCCAAGAGATATTAAGTTCTATGGATGAATGTGAAATCTCCAATACGCATTGGGCTAACGTGTTGAATACAGAACATTCCCTTTCGCCTAAGAGAGGAGGCCTAAAGCCATTAGTGGGACATATACAATGTGTAATTGAGTACTTTGAAAATCTCAAAGTTTATCGAAATTAAACTGAGTACAACGTGACGATTTTTACTGATAGGGCCCCATCAAAAGAATTTGCCACGGGTCCCAAATGGTATAGTTACGCCACTGCCTAAGCAATATCTATGACGAGCAATAGATAAAAGTAGAGCAATGTCGGCCTTCAGCGTATAGACCAGTGCAGATAGCCTTCAAAATAAATAAAAAGTGAAAAAAATTACAGTAGGATGAAACCCATTAGAAAAGCAGGGGAATATGATCAAAATAATAGGAAAAATAAATTACGGAAGTAGGGAAGGGTATGACGGGTCTGGGCGTTACTGCATACGATGTTTTGCATTTTCTGAGAAGATTTACTATGGTAATATATATATATATTTTTTTACCATATGAAAGTAGAGATTTCAACGAACTGAAAGCACACCAACTTTTTGAAAAAAGCTGAAATTTTGACGTCAGAATTTTCGATTGAAAATTAGGGTGTTTTTTTCGATATTAATTCAAAATAAGGTGAAAAAATTAATATTTTTAATTAAATAAATTACAGTATATTTGGGACATAATAAGGTAAGTTTTCACCAAATTTCGTTAAAAAAAAAGAAATTTGTAAAAGATAAAAATTAAAAACCAAAAACTTGGTTTTTTGAATTTTTCACATAAATTTTGAGGTTATGTGAAAAATGTGTGAATACAAAAGTTTTAGATCTTTTTATAACCTACAACTTTGCCATTTAACTTTCTTCGATAGGACTTTTAGTTTTGCCGGAAATCGAGATAAACCGTTTTTTACCCTTAAAACTCCCCCCTCCCCTTCCCGACCTCAGATCGACCGTAATTTATTTTTCCTATTATTTTGATCATATTCCCCTGCTTTTCTAATGGGTTTCATCCTACTGTAATTTTTTTTGGTTTCAAAAATTATCGGCACTGGTCTAGTACGACTCTCATCCCTGAGGTGTAGTTTCAAACACCGGCCATGCCACTGGACTTACTAAATGCGCATTTAATACTCGAAGGAAAGCCTCGTGAGGAAACCTGGTCTTAGACCACAAAAGTCCACGGCGGCACAGACTGATCACCTACTGGCTTATTAGAAAATAAATAAAAAATGATTACGAAACAGATACACAAATATGAGGCCCACAGTTAGTTGCACACTGGCTGAATTCACAAGAATAGCATTATTTATAATTAGTTATAAAAAGGTTTAGGTTTTATGTTTTCTTGTATATTATTTTTTTAATTGAATTTGTATGTTAGTTTTCTATTGTATTAGTATTAAATTACTGTAAAAATAAAAAATAAGGAAATAAATGTGCTTAGAATACTCAAAATCATGGTAGTCAGCACCATTACATACTTTTACTTTTCAATAATATATCTAACGATGTAGGTTTATTGTCTTTGGCACTGAATAGACTAAGCTTAGCCAATTTTCGTGAAATGTACATTATCTTTGACCGGACACAAACAGTTTTTCTATTCGCCATTTATACCACACCGACTGAATTACTATGGCAAAAACGCAGGAATTTTAGATATAAATGGGTGAATTTTAATAAACTTTAAGGAGAACAATCAGACACGCCTTGCGGCTAAGCCGGACTCCCTCCAGTGCGTCAGAAATGTATTAGATTTTGACAAACAAAAGACATAGCTTTAGTAGCTGTATCTCACAACGCGTAAGGGAGCGTGTTCAAGTATTACGTAACGAATTTTGGGGGGGGTCCTTTTGTAAAACGTTACGATGCGGGGCGGGGATTCAATTACGCGTTATTGTTAATATTATTTCGACTTTCCAGTACTTTACACCACATAATGGTAACTTTTAGGTATAAAGAGTCACTAGGTGGTCACGAAACCTTTTACTATATTTCGGTACAGTACTGTACTTGGATACAGAAAAACGTTACGGCGTGTTATATGGGGGGTGTCCATAATCTTCAAAAATTGCGTGACGTAATATTTGAACGCTCTTCAACACGTTGATTTTGAGAACCATCAAACTTTGTTAAAATTGTGATTACAGTTGTAATATAAAACGGTATTATATTAATTAATGCCGTGGCGAGTACTTAAATATTGTATACAATATATGTAATACGTACTAACAAGTAGTTACATGATATCTTTATTGTGCCTTCATAAACAATCTCAGTCGTAAAGAGAATTGTTAATAAAGATAAAATTCATATTACGTCAATTGATTCCCAGACTTTTACTAGCAAATTTTTCGCCTGGATTTCACTTTGAAATTTAGTAATAAAAAAATGTATGTGTAAGTTTATACTTGAACTTTAAAATACAATAAGGCAAAATTATAAACATAAGTTTATAAATTTGCCTCGTTTTATTTCATGTCGGATCAGTGAGAATCAACTGTCAGCCTTATTGGACCTTCGAGCCGGATCGACGAACTCGCGACCTAAAGTATACAGAGGTCGCTAGTTCGTCGATCCGGCTTAGACAAATAAAGTTTTAATACAACCTCTAAACAAAATACCTACAGTAAATCAATATCTTTTGATGGATATGATGAACGTCATAAATGAGGCTTTTGTTACGAAAACAACGCTTCTTGTGATATGTACATGACAGTATAGAAACAGACAGACAATAGACAGTATACAACACAAAACAAATTAACGCTGTCCCACCGGCTATAATTTCGTCGTACATGTTGATGCCTAAACTCTTCCTCGGTAAATGGACTTTTGAATACAATCTTTTTTGTCATTGATGTCTATAAAACTGTAGAACATCACTTTGCTCTATTGTCAATGTTTTCGCAGCGTACGCGATATAGGTAGTGGTTAAAACCTACATTACCAAAGCTTTTTAGTGATCCCAAACTTTTTGATAATACTATAAAGCCATGTTCATCGGATATAATGTAGGATTCCCAGTGAAAGCATTTTTCAAATCGGTCGGGTAAAAGTGACAATTTTTTTTTTATGTAATAGGGGGAAGGATTTTTTCTGTAAAACGGGCAGGAGGCTCATCTGATGTTAAGTTATACCGCCGCCCATGGACACTCACAATGCCAGAAGGCTCGCAAGTGCGTTGCCGGCCTTTAAGAATTCGTACGCTCTTTTCTTGAAGGACCCTAAGTTGAATTGGATCGGAAATACTTCAGTGGGCAGCTGGTTCCAAAACTGCCTTAGAAAACGCTCAGTTGTGGAACGACGGACGTCGAGGTGATACGGATGGTATAATGAAAACAAACTGGAACGCACAATCAACTATTGTTTAACGGATATTTGCTGTTGTACTTACATGCACTAGCGTCCATGGCTCCTCGATCGCATATAATCAGACAGTTACGCTGGCACGTCCTGCCCAACTCAAAGAAGGTGTTCTCAATTTGTATCATGGTCTTCAACAAATTCTCTTGGAATTTGTTAGCTGTAAAAAACCATATTACATTAAAATCATAGTAAAGTCATATGTTCGAGACTTTTATTTATACGTCAGATATAAACAAATAAAAAGTGTGTGTATGTCAGCTACGACGCACGATTGGAGTTAACTCCTTACGAACGATAAAATGGCGATAATGTTCTGTGGCTGTCGACCATATTTTCATACTAAAGGTGGTAAGAATATATGTTTTTATAATATAAATGTTTGTAGTAGTAATAAAACGTACCTACATCATCTATGCCCTAATAAGATTTTCTTTCTGTGACCAAAGTTACCTTTATAGTAAGAGAAGAATAAGAATGAACAATCTTTTTAGTTTTAATTTCACTGACCATTACTATTGACAAAACTCTATGGCACGCTAGACAATCTACATTTATTTTTTACACCTGTCAACACTGACAATGTTGTAACGTGGCTGTCAAAACGTGAATTCAAAATAGAAAAGTCTGTGTAATGTATTCCATCTCATTCTTTTACACGTTCAATCCATTTGTCTCTTTCTACATAACGCCTCAACTTTTCGTGTTACACATAACGCCTCAACTTTTCGCGTTACACTTGATTTTACTCCTCATAAAATTTCCGTACCGGGCCTTATAACTCAAATCGTTACTTAAGCAGTAAACTCCAACAACAATAACAGCATAAATTAAATAACAATTGTAATTATTACCGTCATAAGAAACATTTTATATGGACTAATTAATAAGGCAATTAATATAAATTATTTGTATGTATTTGATTGTACTACACAGATACTTATGAATACAATTATATGTATATAACGAAACTGTTGTGGAATATTCTCGGTAAAAAATTTAGCAAAACGGTAATGTGTACATACAAAGTATGGCTCGTGTTACAGTTGACACAACTAGCAAATGTCCAAGTATTGCTACTTGATGCTATGAAATGGAGAATGGGTACGTGATTTCGTAACACAAACTAGATTATCTCAGTTCTCAATCTAAAAATACGTATATTATTATGAAGAATTTAATGTGTTTAAAATATTAGCTTTGATAGCCAGACATTAAACATTTTATGGACTATTTAGTACTACTCCACTATTAGGTGGTTTTTTGGTTTTTTTATTTACGCCATAGTGTTTTTATTGTATTAAATATCGTCACATTTAACGACGAGTGACGGAGACGCGTAGTAGGCGCGGCCGTGGTTGTCTTTTAATTTTAGCCGCCTGCCAACGAACTTTGCAGACTTTGCATACCCACACAGTCAAAGCGGAAAAACTAGATCACGGAAAACTATTGACGTACGAAATACGAAAAAACAATCGCTGGCCCGTAACCGAGGTTGTTGAGGCGACAATTTACGACGCGATGAAAAACTCACAAAACGTGAAGCGTTTCGTAACTATAATTACGAATAATTTCATCTTATAAATCCGTCTCTGAATGTATATAATTAATGCTTTTAATATACTCATTAACAGAAAAGCACAAATATTTTTAAGCCATTATAGTAACATTCAAATCAGAATCAATTTTTAATATGTATAATAGCCCAGACAGAGGTTGTAGCGCATAATACCAATTGCTTCTGTCTGGGGGCCTCAGATTTCTGTATCTGTGCCGTGATTATTTCTAATAGTAGGTGATCAACCTGTGCCTGACACAACGTCGGCTGGGATCGAACTTACGACCGCAGGGATGACAGTTGCACGTTGAAACCACTAGGCCAACACTGCTCAATAATAATATTTAAATACGTGATTCAAATAAAGAACCTATCTTTAATAATGAGCCTACAATGAAGACAGCATTAAGATAACAACCATGAACTTGATTTAGTACTTATTAACTTGCGCGTGCAAACACAATACGTCATATTTTATGTAATAACTTGTAGTTATCATGTGGCTTACAAAGCGTGACTTATTGTAAATGTACTACTTTGTAGAAATAAATAGACAAAGGAAGTTTTATGTAAAATAAAGATAATAAATAACTTTTATGATATAAATAAAACGCATGGTAATTCCACATCTCACTTGTTATTGTTCTTATCAGATAAGATTATTTTGACGATAGCGTCTGAGCACAATAAACAGCAAGATAGCATGACTATGTTAACGTCATTGGTATATCTACAGACCGTTAAGGTAGTACATTGTTTATCTATGGAAAATAGACAGATTGCAATGTTTTGTCGTACATAGCTTAGGCATAAGTAAATTTACAATACGAACCCAGGGACCGAAAATATAATCAAAATCAAAATACGTTTATTCAATTTAGATGCGTCTTAGCGCATGCTTATGAATGTCAAAAACGTTTACAAAATTCGCGAAAGAGCAAGACTACGCCATCCGTTCGCAAAACTACCAGGAGGCCTTGTTCTGAGAAGAACGGGCAAGAAACTCAGCAAGTTTTACCCTCCCTCTACATTACAATTATTCAAAGGAAAATGTCATAAACCAATAAAAACACTAAACCATGGGACTACCAATGGCCTGCACAATGCAATAAAGACGCCATTACAATCTCGAGAATTCAAAGTAATAAAAAAATGGTGATGGAATATACTGAAGTAACATTTCTATATATTCAATTATTCAATACTATTTCCTTATTAATAAAATACTAAAATGGTTGACTGCTAATCTGCAAAGACTACTATCACAAAGACTAAAGCTATCATTCGTCTGGTACGACTTCGCTTTGCGATATAAAATAATAAAAACATTTGTTATAATAAATAGGTTATCTTATTATTATCGTTATTTTACATTTATAATTAACTATAAGATAAAACTATGTATTTTAAAATTCTATTAAATTTTTACTAAAACCTTAGTCACCGATTCATTGTTTTAAAGTATTTCAATCGATAATTTGCTATTTATGACAATTTTGTTTATGTATAAAGCCTTATTTTACGACCGTCAATAAATTGAAAAGACGGAAGGAATTAATTAGCATATCGCGTGCCTATCCGAAACGACTCTGAAAATATTTCTCTTTTTATCTTTACAAGCATGCAGCCTTGTAAGTTTTCTTTTGTCTACCAAAACATTTCTATCATTTTCACCAACGTCTATACAGCTTTACCTAAAACGAAATGCTATAGTCTCATATTATTATGGAAATAAGTTCAGTGGCCAGTAATTTGGCAGGCTCTTCAAATGGACATTGTACTGACACGTCATCACAATTCACGTGAGGCGAAAACTCAAGTAGAAAATTCTACAGATTTAAATTTTACATGAAACTAAATGCTCGCTACATTGCAATCGACTAGCTGATACCACATAATGATATGTTCAAGGCCATCAGAAAACCATTAACGATAGCTTAAAACGATTAAACAAAACTTAAATGATGTTCGAAACAAATGACTATTTTGTTGCATAGTATTTAAAATTTATAGCCAGAGCTATCATTAGCGAACCTACGGTGATTTCGACTCACCACAGTCGTTTTGGTTGGCCAGAGCTACTGCCGCTGCGACGCATCTTTTGCAATCCTTACGGCATTTATCGCTCGATTTATTAAGTCGTGGTTCAGCTATAATAATTTGCAATAAAAATCTAAATGATACATTTTCTTCAAAGGTTTCTTTGTAATGAGAGCGGGGCCGTCCTAAGTTGATTTGTGACGAAACCAACTACGTGCTCCCAACGTAGACATTATTGTATTTAAACAACTGAACTTCAATTATCAAACTTTATGAGAAAAGTACGTATTTGTCTGTTAGCAATACAATGGGTAGCGCTATGAAACATCATGCAGCTTGAGGTTTTTGGAATAAACACAATAGTACGTGGGTGGTATACACATTCATGCGAGCGGATGTAAACAAATTCATTGCGTCAGCCGTTTGATGAAAACTGAAAGCACTTGACGAGAACAAGATAAAACCTATGTTAAGGCGACCATATCAGGTTATTTTCAGTTCACAATCAAGTTTGCTGCTGTTTAGTAATTGAAACGCCTCAATAAGCAATCAAGCGTGTAAAAATTACGTTTTAATATACATTAATATTCATAAATGCTTTTAAGTACTATTAATTATCTGTAAGGTTTCATAACGATTGCATTAATTAACTTCACAAACATAATTGTCCGTCTGAAATCAGAAGCTAATTAAAAGAGAAAAAAACTTGAAAATTTGATGTTGCAATACGACTGAGAACAAACAGCCAATACAATGTCGTGTATATTTATATCCAGATTCCAGGCAAGCCATGAACATGACCCTGATACGAATACGTCAAACGCGTGTAACCACCCGTGAAGCCCCATAAGCATTTTACCGTTTATAAATGCATTTCCAGTATTATAATACATTAATTATGATAAAAAGTAAATTAAAATACCGCCGAAACCGGTGTAACGTGAAACACAATTTCGTGATAAGACTTTATTCGAATCTTTCTATTTAAAATGTAATTTTGTGCTATAACCCAGTGTTCGCAGTGTGCGAATCAAAAATAGTCAGACACGTGACGTGATAAACTTGATCAGTTCAGAAGCTCTGTAAGCTTTGAAAACGAAAATAAACGTCATGTTACACGTGATTCCCGTCCGGGGCGAATCGGCGAGGACAAGCGGTGTCTTATTTAGATCAAACAATGTTAATGAGCCCTAACCGTCTAGGATTACAAATTTTTTGTTTTCGTCACACTTGTGTTTGGTATTAGGAAAACAACTAGCGCCGATCTTGTTAGATTTAGCATATTGGCATCAAGATATAGCAACCAACTACTTGTTAACATAAACATAGGACGTTATAGAAATTGCGTTGAAAGTGCATCCAGAACAATGTTGGCAATGAGATATCACTCAAGATGACAAACAGCTGTACAAACATTGACGGTAGATGATTTATAGCAAGATAACATTCTATGATCGTCTTTATTTGGAATGCTTTTTTTTTCTATTTCAGTTTACTTTCGTAGGTTATTTTTTTTGAATACGACAAACTTGAATCAAAAATAGATCACGATTGTTATTTTAATTAAGAAGGGCATAATAATCTAAAATAATTATTTGGCAATCGTTTCTTTATTTGACCTACCTCACGTGTTTTATCTGACACCTACATCTCGATAATTAGCGATCTAATAAATATTAAAGCACAGAATTTTGTGTCAGAAGAACAATAATAATCGCAAATAAATCATATTCTCTGATTCTATTACTTTGATACAACTACTTCTATTATATATTAAGTTGTGAAATATTTTCAAATGTTTAGTCAGATATGAATTCCATTCAAAAGAATTTCTTTTAATAATTTATGAATGCTAAATCAATATGTATTTATATCGATTTGGGTCACGTAGCGTTTTTTATTATTTATTAAATGAGTATAAAGTTAGTTACGTTTCTGTATTTATTAAAGTTGCATTATTACTTTATTCGATATCAAAAAAGTATGATATTTAGGTAACTGTGTTCAATATAAATAAATGACTTGTTATTATGTTATCATGTTCAATTTAATTTCTAAAAAATGCAATATCTAATCTAATTAGATTATAAACATAAATAACAATGATTAACAATCAAGGTTACAATAATAATGCAAGCATAATAACTGAATTAGACATACTTTAGTATACACATATTACATTATATGTACTGAAATGAAATCTAAATTTTACTAAAAAGTTAAAGTTGCAACTCACCTTCCTCCGGGCTGAGATCTACAAACTTCACACCACCACTGAAAAAGAAAAATACAGTTGCAATTTCGAAATAGGATAATTTATAAGATGGAATCTTCATTCAGAAAGTATCCATAATGTTAAATTAAATTCTGTTATTTTTAGTTAAATAAAACATAATTATTACGAAATGTAAAAGAGAAGAACAATATTATAGTAAGACCATAATGGTACAATAGATATTGGAAGTTTCAATTTGAGAGGGTCAAAAAGTGAACATTAATTTAATAAGTAAATAAATGTCATATCTATGCATTATGCACCGTCTTCATGATGGTTGCACTTCATACCTTAAGAGGACGGTAGCCGTTTCCGGCACCCGGAACACCTGGAAACAGATACAATGTGGAACCATGTCTTATCGGATCTCCATTTGGAGAAACCAAAACCCACATACATTATCTAACACTCATCAAGCAGAACAGGCAGTATAATCTAATTAAATTTTGTAATTGATTTATATATTAATAGTTGACGTACATTTTTCTACTTCACAATTTGTAGCAAAGTAGAAAGCTCAATATTAATTTAACTAAAAAACCAATTTTTCACCAGGACGAAAATTAAGGATGTCGACCAGAAAACAACATGCAAGTGATTAATGGTCATTTTGTATATTAAATTGTGAAATCATAATTACCTTCCATCCCAAGTTTTCGAAGAAAGTACTAAGACGTGACTGGCCGGTGGTTTTTCCGCCGCAAGGCCCTGTTTAGGTTAAAGCATTTGTATAATCAATGAAAATATTTAGTTGCCCCACGTGGTACAATGTATCTAATAAATAACAAAATATGTACAACTTTATTTAACAAGTTATTGAATCAGAAAGTCTTTTTTATAAGCCTTTTATTTTGACATAAATAATTATAATTATGGACTAAAAACTCACCTCCGGTCAGCACTAGCTTGTATACAGTTTTCTGGGACTGATTCGCCATTTTCAAGAAAAGCTTAGAAATAAATAATTAAATATAAATTACACTACGCGATTACGATGAAAATTAATTATCATAAAATTGATGAATAAACTATAGTGTGCAAAAGAGCCATCACAGTTTAAAATGCATCGCCCGATAGGCGTGCCGTGAAAAGAATGAATAATTGAAATTGCACAAATTTTAAAGCGCGACGTGATCGTTTATTAATGTCAACGTCACGCTACAAGTGTCAAATGGCAACAGCTGTCAATTTTTGTCAATCAGACATATTACAGACTACAATATCTTTTTATCTATAATATAAAAATGAATCGCAAAATGTGTTGGTAAGCGCATAACTCAACAACGCCTGGACCAATTTGGCCAATTCTTTTTTTAATATATTCCTTGAAGTACGAGGATGGTTCTTACGGAGAAAAATTAAAAAAAAATTGAGTGAAAAAGTCTAAAAACAACACTTTTCTATATTCCCATACAAAATATTCGTAATAATACTTAAAAGTCAATTTGCACTTTAATACCATATCATAAAGTTCAAGTGTTAGTGGAGGGGTTCCGGGAAGGTAAATTTTAATTTTTTGACATAATGTATTTGTTGTCTTAACAACTTTCTTTTTTTTTATCTTACTAGCTAGACCGGTGTCCCGAATAGCAGAATAAGTATTAAAAAAATAAATAAAGAATCGACTGTTAGGCGGTACGATGTTCGCCAGGCCAGCTAGTACTTAATAAAAATGAAGTTTTCGCGTAAAGTTATAAAAAAACACATCGTTTAGAACACCATACCGATTATATTGGCCAAAATCAAGTCTCAGCTGAATTCTATAGTATTAGGTACATTAACAACGTCATCGGCTGTTACGACTTTCGGTTTTACGACCAAATATGAGTACCTAGTTCCTTCGATGTCCTTATAACAGATATTGACAGTGACTGTATATCTATGATCTAGTTAGAATTTTGAAATATAAGCGCAACTTAAAATTAGTTTTATTTACACTAATTGATAATTGTTATTCCAACTTTAATTTAATCAATTCATTTCGTAAATATCAACAAATGAAAATATGTACAGATAGGCTTGGAATTCTACAGACAGGGCAATTCAAACACGATTATGTATTGTAACAATTATTTAAAATACTCCCGAATAATTTATTGATATTGGGCACTGAAGTTTAGAACATGGATTATTATAATTTTCAGCTATTACATTTATATTTATGCAATTTTTAGTCTCTGATTCAAACGCTCTTTGAAGAGATAACACCTGCACAGGAATATGTCGCCAATACTTTCCCAAACACCTATTTTTTATTTCGAAGTAAGCAGGTTCTCCAAAATTATCGTCCTCATCTGAAATAAAAAATAAAAAAAACTTAGCTTGGAAATGAACGCAACATTAATTGAGTTCATCCATAAAGAAATTTAAGTGAAATATCTTTTACTTTACTTACCATCTAAATCTGGTACTTGTTCTTGATCAACCCATCTGGTTTCAATATTAACACATATAAAACATGTCCTAAATTCATTACTAATACATCTTGCAAGGTTAACAAACATGTTAAGAAACTTCAAACCTAAAAGTAAATATTTATCATGCAATGAGAATATTTAATACTTAATATCTGTACTGTACCTAATACTGATCTAAAGAGTTTGTAATTTGCTTATCTCAAGGATTACTTACTAGTTTGAGTTACAAAATTGTTTTTTGTGATGAAAAATAAATAATTCTATAGATATTCAAGTTAACACAGGTGAAATTAATTATTAGGCACAACTTATAACAAACCATGTTTCAATTGGTAGTAGTAGTCAATAAAAGTAATTTTATTTTATTTAAAATCTCAAGTCCTATTAGACATTTTAATGTTATGTAGCATCTTACCAATTTTATTATTGTCGCCAAAATGCTGGAACATTAAACATGGTAGTGAATCTAATATTACAAGAGATAAACAATCAAAAACTATCTTTTTAGTTTTTATTGATTCTAATAAACTTATAAGATCATTCATTGAAAAAATTTGCACTATATTGATGTTCAGCATGATAATTGCCATTTCCTAAAACAAAAAGTTCTCAATAATGTTACATCTCCATTGAAAAATAATTAACATGTTGTTTTAACACTATTACAATAATTTTATTTTATTTTTTTATTAATAATTAGGATACCTCTTTTTTAATTTACATGTATCATAATTTCAATAGGTACCTTGTGTGATAGCCCATGAGCTTCTAAGATTTTTTGTATTCTAACTGCTGAAAAATCTCCTTTTGTATCAATGTAAATTACAGAATTAGACGGCTTTGCACTGTTAATTGCTAGTTGCATACATAACTGAGATTTCCCGGAACCAGCTAAGCCACACACTTCAGTTAGAAATCCAATTGGAATACCCCCATTTAAAATTGTATCCAATCTAAAAAATTTAATGTTTAGAAACAATTGAAAATAACTTATAACATTTTATAAATTTATATACAGTTGGAAACTTTTATAACAGTTACCTTTTAATACCAGTTTCCAGATATCTTTTTTCAGTTAAATATTTGGTACGTAAAGTTGTCCCAGCGATTGATGGGGCGGAATATTTTTTAAAAATAATATCTCGTATATCTAATATACAAACTACATCTAATTTTGTAATTTTTGATATCTTTTCAACATCTTCTTGAAGAAAATCTGCGATTGTGTTTATACAATTTTTTGTCAATTTTTTGACCAGCACAGTAGATAAAGCCGAGTGAATAGTTGAATTTAATTTTTCCATTTAATAGGGTAATTTAGAACTATTTAAAAATATAATTGCAAAATCAGAATTTTTGCAAGTAATATTAACGGCTATTTACAAGTAAAATTTCAGTATCTACTTCACTAGTCACTTCTATTTAGTGGAAAATTAAATTGTAATTGTATGTAATTATGTATATGTAATTTCACATGTTATTCTAACGTTCCACTTGTTTTCTTAAATGATCCCCACTGTATTTTTCGGGTTTCATTTAGAAATACGCCTGAATTTTATGATACTGATTATGTAGGTGTCTCGGAGGAACTTGATCCAAGTAATTTTGACTGATTTTGAGTGTCGGAGTTGCGTCTAAGTAAAAACTTAAATATAATTTTGTGTATTGTATTGAAATTCGTTAAACGAAATGTAGATTTTATACTTTTCTATTAATTATTATTATATTTCAAGCAGCGTGTATTTGAGAACATGTGAAACGAAACGTAAACCGCTATTTTGAATGTAGATTTTGACAGAAATTACACTGACAGATTCAATCCGTTACTAGTAACGTGAATGAGCTTCTGCGTTTATTTTATTTAGATATTTTGAAAACTTGGCTATTTTTTTTTTGGCTCTGGCACGGTCTGTGCATTAGCCAGCGTCAAGTAGGTATCGAGGTAATTGTTTTATAGCACTACTAGCTGACCGGCAAACGTCGTTATGCCATACGTATATTATTTCTAGGAAACATTTTTTTTAGTTCAATAAAAATGACTATCTAGGTACTATAATAAAAATAGGGGTTGATCGTAGAGGGGTGACAATTAAGGGTTGTATGTATTTTTGTATGCTGTAACATAAAAAAATAAAAATAAAAAGTTTTGCCTAAAAAATAACAATAATAATTTACAAGTGGGACCCTTAACATTTAGGGGGTGAAAAATAGATGTTGTCCGATTCTCAGACTTACTGAATATGCATAAAAATTTCATAAGAATCGGTCGAGCCGTTTCGGAGGAGTATGGGAACGAACATTGTGACACGAGAATTTTATATATCAGATTAATTAATATTTACTACATGTTAACTGTTACATTAATATTTAGGTATCTACATGTGAAATAAGACAAAACCTTTGAAGAATATAAAGGTTTTAATAAGCTAAATTAACAGTAAAATATTTTGGTTACATTTGATACATTGACAAAAGTTAGTGTCTAAACAGATTGACAATATCATCATTTTATAATAGTATCATGTAAGAAGTTTACATCAAAGAGGTTTACATCATTCTCCCGCACTATTTTAAATGTAATCTTTTAATAATTCTGGTCTTTTACGGACGCGGCCAGATCTACGAAGTGTTGGCTCCGGCGGTGATGATGATGGTAACTCGGTGCCAGATCTACGAAGTGTTGGCTCCGGCAGTGATGATGATGGTATCTCGATGTCAGATCTACGAAGTGTTGGCTCCGGCGTTGGTGATGATGGTAGATCAGTCTCTAGCTCTCTGCTATTATCAAGTACCACAGGTCCCATCTCATTAGATAAAGGAATTTCCAAGTTTTGGTCTTCTGTTTCCGTACGTGGTTCTGTGGCGTTATGATAGTCATTATTTATTCGCAGATCTACCCCTTCTGAACCCAATGGTGCTAAATGACGATTTGACACCGTTGTTTCTCGGCCATCTGGGAACCGAATGTATGAATAGTCAGGATTGCTGTGTATCAATTCAACCTCTTCTACTAATGGCTGATATTTATTTGTACGATTAAATTTCTTCATCAAGACTTGTCCAGAATTTGTAAGCCACGATGGAACAGAAGTGCCGTTAGTAGATCGTCTTGGGTGTCTAAACATTCATTCATGTGGAGTGCAATTTATGGCTGTACAAAGTAAAGATCGAATCGAATGTAAGGCTTGTGGTAATACTTGCTCCCAATTTTCTACCGAAAGATTCTTCGTCTTCAGCGCCAAAAGAATCGTTCTCCAAAGAGTAGAATTCAATTTTTCTATTTGCCCGTTACCTTGAGGGTTATAAGCTGTAGTTCTACTTGTGGCAATACCTCTAACATGTAAAAAATCCTGCACTTCGGCAGAGAGAAATGCTGTTCCGCGATCTGAATGAACGTAAGAAGGCATGCCGAATATCATAAATAAGTTGTTGAGGTGTTTAATTACAGTTTTCGAGCTTACATCTGAGCATGGGAAAGCAAACGGGAAACGTGAAAATTCGTCAATCACGGTAAGTATGAATTTATTATTATTGTTTGTTGGAACTGGTCCTTTAAAATCTAAGCTAAGGCGTTCAAAAGCAGCCGTCGCTTTAACAAGTTTCCTCTGGTCATCAAAAGTATTTCGGAAGAATCTAGGTTTTACTTCAGAGCAGGTTTGACAAGATTTTGTCATTGTTCTGACTTCTTCAATGGAATAGGGAAGGTTTTTAGAGCGAACCCAGTGAAACACACTCGTTACCCCTGGATGACAAAGAGCCTCATGCAGCGAGAAAAGTTTTGCAGTACGTGTTTCTACAGTGGCACAAACTCGGGATAGTGCATCAGCAGCATAGTTCTCTTTCCCCGGTCTGTATATAATATCAAATTTGAAAACAGCAAGTTCCAGTCGCCATCTTTGAATCTTTTCATTCTTTATCTTACTTGAATGTTTCATATTAAACATAAAAGAAACCGAGCGTTGGTCAGTTACCAACTTAAAGTGTCTACCGATAAGGAAATGTCTCCATTTCTTCAATGATTCAACAATGGCGTACGCTTCTTTTTCAATGGCGGAATGGTTTTGTTCGCTTGAATTCAAAGTTCTTGAGAAAAACGCCACTGGTCTAGAATTTTGCGTAAGTACTGCTGCAATGGAATGATCGGAAGCGTCAGTTTCGACTGTAAAAGGTATATTTTCATCAATTGCATGTCTAGAAGACTTTGCGATATCATTTTTCAGGCCTTGGAAACATTTAATTTGCTCGCTTGTGAGCGGAAAAGTAGTCGTATTAGCAAATGAGTGGATCCGTTCAGAAAAGTTTGAAATCCACTTAGAATAATGTGCGAACATGCCGAGTGTCCTTCTTAAGGTCGGTAAATCGCTTGGTGCAGGTAAATTAATCAGTGGCTTGAGTCGCTCACTGTCAGGTTTAATTATGTGGTTTTGAATATTATAGCCTAGAATATTAATTGACTCTTGAGAAAATTTGCATTTTAGCATACTCAGTGTTAAACCGTATTTCTTTGCGGCATTCATAAAACTTTCTAAGTTATGATCGTGTTCTTGAAGAGTACGGCCACAAATAGTTATATCATCAAGATACGCATATGTGTTTTGAAGCTTTTCTTTCCTTATAATCCAATCGATTGTTCGTTGGAAACTCGAAACACCATTTGTTACTCCAAAAGGGATACGCCTGAACTGGTACAAATTTCCGAGCGCTTCAAAAGCGGTAAATTTTCTTTCTTCGGGTAGTATAGGTACTTGATGGTACGCGCTTTTCAAGTCTATTAGGCTGAAAAATAAATTCTTTGCCACTTTCGAAACTAAGTCCTCAATGTTTGGTAAAGGGTACGCGTCGAGTTCTGTGTAACGATTAATTGTCTGGGAGTAATCAATCACAAGACGTTTTCTATGAGTTTCGGTTTTTGTTATTAGTACTTGGGCCCTCGACGGTGATTTACTTTCTTCAATCACGCCTTCTTCTGTAAGGTTTCTGATTTCCTCTTTAATAAATTCACTATCCTCTTTGCTGTGCCTTCGAGACTTAATAGCAATAGGTTTGCAGTTGGGAGATACATTTGCAAAAAAGCGGTACAGCTGGTACTGATGCTTCGGCTACGTTACATACTTGAAGTGGATGTTTTGGCCCACCGAAAGAGAACTCTAGCGATGAATGTTCTTCGAGGACGTCATGGCCGATAATTATGTCAGCACAAAGATTTATGATTTCCAATTTTCAGGCTTTGCAAAGTTTGACCTTCTACTTGTGAAGTATGATTAAGAGAGGCCATAGAAATAATCTGATTGCAGGATTTTCTTTTTAACCCGCATAGTCTTGCAAAACTGTCATTTATAAAACTGATGGAGCTGCCGGTGTCGAGAAGTGCCTCTGCTCTTATTCCTCGAATAAACACGGGTACAGTTGCTTTGTGTAATGAATAAGGTGACGCTGCTGTGATACAAGAAAGATTTTCAGTACCTACTACCATAAAATTTGTAGGTTTAGAAGAGCTTCTGCAAACAGTGGCAAAGTGCCCCTTCTTGTTGCAGAGCTGACAAGACTTTTCAAATGCAGGGCAGTTCTTACGAGGATGTATTTGTCCCCCACAAAAGAAACATTTTCGTCGTCGAGGATTATTAACAGAAGAGCAGGTCTCGTCGTGCACAGTTTGTGATTTGGGACAGACTAATTTAGGTTCTTCTTGAACGGCATTTAAAGACACAGTATGTAAGCTTTGAGAGTTGATCTCTGCAGTTTCTAGAGAGAGTGCTTGATTGTAAGCTTGGTCAAGTGTTAGATTTAAGTTTTCTAAAAGCCTTTGTCTGATTTTATGCGATGATATACCGGATATGAAAGCATCACGCACGCTATCGTTTTTGTTTGATTCTGCATCAACAGCCGCAAAGTCACAATCTTTAGAAAGTAGTTTCAAAGCTTGTAAATATATGTCGATACTTTCTTCTGATCGTTGTTTCCTTGTTGCTAACATGTGTCTAGCAAAAATCAGATTTTTTGGTTTTACATACAGTTTTTGCAGTATTGTGATCGCTTCTTCGTAGTTCGTGGCTTCGCTTATATATGTGCATATATTTGGTGATATATGATTTATCAAAAGCTGAAACTTTATGCTGTCCCATTTTTCTGACGGAGGAACCGACTGTGCATCTGTTTCTGGAGCGGTCGGTTTCTGCACGGAAATGAAGCTTTCGAAAGTCTTATGCCAGTGTATCCAAGCTTTCGTACCAGAGCTATTTGACGGGTCGATATCAAATCTTTCAGGGCGAAGATATTTATCCATGTTTCTTTTTATTTAGCTTATTAAATTGAAATAAGACAAAACCTTTGAAGAATATAAAGGTTTTAATAAGCTAAATTAACAGTAAAATATTTTGGTTACATTTGATACATTGACAAAAGTTAGTGTCTAAACAGATTGACAATGTCATCATTTTATAATAGTATCATGTAAGAAGTTTACATCAAAGAGGTTTACATCAACATGTAAACTAGATCTTGGTTAAGTTAGGTCCGCATTTATGACAACATCGTTTCAGTCAACCTCAACTTATGTGTTACTAGTCTATTCTACCCCTAGAGTGTTATTTTAAATCCGTGGAGGGACAGCAGCCCCCACATGCATTTCCCATAGCGCTGGAGCCTGGAGCTGTCCAAAAAACCTATTATTATCTATTGTAAGGTGAGGTTAGGTAATATTTTTTTTAAATCCTGTTTCCGGCGCGTGGAAGTGGTTGGGTGTGATAACCCTATCCCTCCTACTCCCCCACTCGCAACCCCCTATACGGGCGACGTATTTCTAATTTTTTACCCAAGATATTGTTATGCCTGACATATAGTATTCTGTTATTAAGGAGATCATAAATCCATTTACCAATTGTCCAGGTATACCAGAATTACTGGCGACTACTGACTTAACTGAGTACCTTCAAAGGTCAAACCGTACCATAAGCTTAACTCCACAGTGCATAAGTACCTATTAAGTAGAGGTGGGTGTGATAACTCATAACTTATGCGCTTGCTGAGAACTATATATATCGTTGTTTAAACGTTAAGGCGGCCATTCACGGGCGATCTATATGGCTTTCTCGCCACGATACCTTACGTCGCGCCGAGCCAAATTCATGCAATTCACGAACACGCCAGTGAGCCGTTCCATTTGATCATTTTGAGTGTAGGCGTCGACAGCACCGGACGTCTTCATAATGAACTTCGATTCGGAAGATGAGTTTTATTTGTCTACCATAGCGATTTGTCTATTTAAAAAAAAAAGAAAGTGGTGTAAGGATTGGTTGCTGAAAAGATCGCAACTCACTCACATGAATTTAATGAAGAAGTTGATTTTTTTTCTAAACTTATAAATAAATTGAATAACATAGTCACGGTGTGAACTCATTGCGAAAACGATTTATATTAACAATGCGTCACGTACTTCTCGTCCAACGGCTAAACGCTAAGTAAAATCAAAAATCAAATTGGTGTCTTTGGCTCGCGACTCGCGAGTAACACCATTCACAAACGAGCAAACCGTATGGCACGACGGCTCAGACCGACCGGACCATTGGTTTTCTGCATTCACAAGCGCGCCGCTACACCGCCGCTACGCTACAAATCGCTATGGTAGACAAATAAAACTCATCTTCCGAATTTACGACTACGTCAGACAAATTAATTTTATTTAACTGACATCGACCTTAGAACGTAAATTTCCTTAGGTGCCCCTTTTTATTTGCATAATACTATATTTATAATTTGATTTGATTCTATTGTTTAAGAGAAGTTAGCAAAACACTAGAAAAAAAAGACTGTAAACTAAAATTTTGTGATTGAGATATTTTTTTTCATAATTAATTATTGGATAGAGAAGCGACGCTCGCATAATCTGTAGTCTGTACACTTGCCAGTTGCGGTTCGCCTGCCGCCATTCTTGTTTGCTGTCAAAAATCAAACGCGAGAAACTGAAAAGCTTTGCCCAATGTCGTGAATCATTTAGAAGTTGATCGTAATTTAAATCGCATATATCGAGTTCTTCATTATTTATTGATGTTTTATTTTATTTTTCATCATGTCAAATATATCTCTTGATAAGGAAACGTTCTATCGGCGTATGAAAAGGCTGTACGCAGCATGGAAGGTGTGTATCAATAACCACAATAACGCTGTTGTGTGCATTGGCTTATATTCTTATTTATTTCAGGCTGCAGCAGCTGATACAAAAAGTGATGATATACTGGCCAAAGTGGATTGTTTGGTATCATGTGTTGGAGTTGATGAAGATACACTTTACAGCAAGTCAACAGCTTTACAGGTACCTATTGGAAATTAAATTTTTTAACGGTACAAATATTATCATTGTCGTTCTTTAATAAATTATTATTTTTTTTTTTCCATAGACATGGCTGTTTGGATATGAGCTTCCAGACACAATAACTGTACTTACTGAACAGAGCATGTGTTTTCTTGCAAGTAAAAAAAAAATTGAGTTTTTACGACAAATAGAAAACGGAAAAGAAGAAACAGAGCTACCTCCAGTAAAATTATTAATTAGAGACAGAGTAAGTTTACTTTTAGTCACAGTTTTGAATATGGTTTTGGTAAGGTTGATTCTTCCTTTTTTTCAACAATCAGCTAACAGTTTTCCTAGACAGATTTTAACAGTAACTATTTTGCTACATACTTTGTATTGGACCTGGATTTGACTAAGCCTAACATTTGGAATGTTATTATGAACTATATAATATATTATTTATTTTCAGAATGATAAAGACAAAGAAAATTTTAGTAAATTGATTCAAGAGATTAAAAAATCAAAATCAGGAAAAACACTTGGTGTATTTGCAAAAGATAATTATCCTGGTGAATTTTGTGAGAGTTGGAAGAATGTTCTTAAGGGAGAAAAGTTTGAGAATGTAGACATAAGTTCTTCAATTGCTTTATTAATGGCAACCAAAGAAGACCCTGAAATTATCACAATTAAAAAAGCATGTTTGGTTACTGTTGATGTATTTACTAAATATTTAAAGGATCAAATAATGGAGATTATTGATTCTGATAAGGTAACTTTTTTATTTCTAATTTATTTGCCACTTACATGATACAATGTCTCTTTTGTCTGCAATTCTCTTAGCTTCTTACCTCAATAAATATACATTTAGTGTCTCTACACTCTTAAACCCTAATTAGTGATTGTATGAATAAATCAAATCTGAATATCATTGATTCATATAATAAATAGACCAAAAATAAGTGTATTACTAATGTAAATTTTGTTATGTTTCTTAATATATGCGGCCAGTTCTCATATGATAGGCGTTATAAATGGCTTAGCTTCTAAGGCTTAGAAGAACCAACAATAAACTTAAAACAAGTTACAAAATAATACTGTTCACCAGAGCACACATATTTTATAATTATTTTGTCTTTCAGAAAGTTAAACATTCAAAATTAGCAGAAGGTGTCGAAGCAGCAATATCAGATAAGAAATATGTAACAGGAGTTGATACAAGTCAAGTTGATATGTGTTATCCTCCAATTATTCAATCTGGTGGCAACTACAGTTTAAAATTCAGTGCAATATCTGACAAAAATCATTTGCATTTCGGAGCAGTTGTCTGCTCACTGGGTGCCCGATATAAGTCATACTGCTCAAATATAGTCCGCACATTACTGGTCAATCCAACAGATGATATTCAAAGCAATTACAATTTCCTTGTCAATTTGGAAGAGGAAGTTATGAAACATTTGGTAGCTGGTGCAAAGTTATCTTCTGTTTATGAAGCAGGCCTGGCCTTAGCTAAGAAAGAAAAACCAGATCTTGTCGATAACCTTACCAAAAATTTTGGGTGAGTATATAGAATATAAATGATGGAGTGATTTTCCTGTTCTGTTATTTTACATTCATTCTAAATTTCAGTATTATCAATGCATCAGATTGCAAAGTTTACTTATATGAGTGATTTTCAGATTTGCAATGGGTATAGAATTTCGTGAGAGCTCAATTGTGATTGGTCCAAAAACATCAATTGTAGCAAAAAAGGGAATGGTGTTTAATATCAATATAGGCTTAGCAAATCTCAGCAATAAATCGGCATCAGATAAAGAAGGAAAGGTGAGATTTCCACTTCCACAATTAGTGTTATTTTTTTAATTACAAAATAAAAATATTTTAAATATTGCTATATACGCAAAAATATTGTCCCAAACAAAATCACAGTCATTACATTCTTATATATTCGAGTCCATCAAGCAGGTATATAATATTTAACATAAACGATTTCAGACATATGCTCTTTTTATTGGAGACACGGTATTAGTGAATGAAGAGCAACCTGCATCTCTTCTCACACAATCTAAAAAGAAAATCAAGAATATTGGTATCTTTTTGAAAGATGATGATGAGGAAGAGGAAGAAGAGAAGGAGAATAAGACTGAAATTCTTGGTGAGTCATATTACCTATTTTAATTATATAGACTTCATTAATATTGAGGTTAAGGATTGATTTTCAAAATACTCTAGAATTGTATGTCTTAAATTTTGTGATGTTTTTTACAATGATTCTTCTGAAGTTATCTCGGAACATTAATCTGATGTGGGTTTCAATGCAATTTTAAAATACTAATCAAATATAAAACTGGAAAATATTACTGGCGTTCCATGTGCCTGTTAAATATAATCTTATTAGTGATATACAGTCAAAATCTATTATAACAACATCGAAGGGATTACTCATATTTGGTCATAACAGCCGATGATGTTGTAATTAAGTGCCTAATACAATAGAATTCAGCCGGGACCTTTGATTCTGGTCAATATAACCGGTGTGTTGTTCAGAACGATGTCGTCGTAAACGCTTCTGACTGTATATGTTTCCCACACAATTTTAATAACCATGTAAATAATGTAGAGGCGATCTAATATCCATAACAATTAGACTTTAATAGGGGACTCAAAACTAATCCACTGTTTTTACTCAGGGACATTGTTTGTATATTGTGTTTTTTTTATATTCGATGCTGTAAAAACGGATGTGCTATAATTGATACAATTTTTTTACATGCTAATGTGGATGGATAGAAAATGGAGGTGAGTTTAATGTTATAACCGCTGCATGTTATGTCTTTTGTATATGCTATATTTTATTGTTAATTCATTTTTTCTCTAAAGTTTAATTATCACATTAAAATATTTGACATAATATTAAACAGTTCAATGCAAATTGGTTAATAATATGTAATAACTTATCAGGATTGTACCCTAGACAAGTTTATTAGGGAGCGTTCAAGGATTACGTAACGAATTTTGGTCCTTTTGTAAAACGTTACGATACGGGGATTGAATTACGCGTTATTGTTAATATAATTTTCGACTTTCCAGTACATAACACCACATAATGGTAACTTTTAGGTGTAAAGAGTCACTAGGTGGTCACGAAACGCTTGAAACGGAGAAAAACGTTACGGCGCTTTACATGGGGGGGTCAATAATCTCCAAAAATTGCGTGACGTAATACTTGAACGCTCCCTTTACCAGTGTAAGGGCTCTGCAACTTTCAATAGTGAAAGAGATCCCGATCCAAGATATCTGCGCTAGTTACGGAGATGCGAGACGCTATTGCGTTGGACTGTGTCATGAATCATTTTTTTAAATTAAATTCATAGATATTTTTTTAATCAACATATCATACTGTATAGTTTCATGAGACTGAGTTAACCAAAATAAAATCACCAATTTTGCTTTATTTCCTTAATATACGGACCTACAAATGGACATTTTATAAATAATGATTTTAGGGCGTGGCAAGAGAACAGCTGTTATCGAGTCCAAACTCCGAACGGAACATTCCTCAGAAGAAAAGAGAAAAGAACATCAGCGAGAGCTCGCGATAGCTCTCAATGAGAAAGCCAAGGAGAGATTGGCGAAACAGTCGAGTGGGAAGGAAGGAGAGAAAATTAGAAAGAGCACTGTCTCATATAAGAGCATCAGTCAGATGCCAAGAGAAAATGAAGTGAAGGAATTGAAATTGTATGTTGGTAAGTTAAAATATAGTGTAAAGAAAAACCATATGTGTATGGTCTTAGACTGGCTGTCAACCAGCTTCCCTCATAAAGGTTCACATGTAAATAATTATATACTTACTCAAGTAACCTGGTAATGGCATATTTCATATCTATAAAGAAGGGATGGATCTCTGCAAGTACTGGACCCGATCTCCCCTAGCTATTTCTAAAAGTGTATGGCCCGGTCTGTGATGGATACTTGCTGTGTCAAGTATCTTCACAAGCCAACAATGGGCGTGGAGAGGTGGACGCAACCGCCGCATCGCATCTCGGGAAGCGGATGAGACTCTGCTGTTACTGCATCCCGCCTAAGGCGATTGTTGGTGGCGCCTTGTTAATAAATCATATCTGGATTTCTCGGTCATAGAGTTTTTTTTTCAAGCATTTGTTTTAATATTGCACTTATATTTTTATTTGGTCTCTATATAACTCAATATTCACAATGAAGGCTTTACATTCCAAACAGCGATCACACCACATCATAAACATCGCAAACCTGTAAACGCACTTTCTTCGCCCAACGATTTTTCTCTTTAGAGGCCCTCTCGTCTTCAACCACTTTCTTAAAAACAATTTTCAATATCGATTTAAAACGTCATACATTCGCTACCAGTCCTATACAAGATCTACTCAACCTGTCCTATGCTTAAACCGAAAGTATTCTTCTTGTGCAACAGTAATCTTATATATAAATTTCTCGTGTCACAATGTTAGTTATAATACTCCTAACGACTCCTCCGAAACGGCTTGACCGATTTTTATCAAATTTTATATGCATATTCAGTAGGTCTGAGAATCGGCTACTATCTATTTTTCATACCCCTAAGTGATAAGGGGTGTCCACCCCAAAATATTTTATTTTTTGGTAATTTTTTTTTGTTTTAATTTTTTTATGGTACAGCATACAAAAATACATAGGTACAACCCCTAATTTTTACCCCTCTACGATCAACTACTATTTTTTATTAAATAAGATTTTTATTGAACTAAAAAAATGTTTCCTAGAAATAATATACATGGCAAAACGACGTTTGCTGGGTCAGCTAGTTTAATTATAAAATTGTAAATGTTATGCAGAATTTATTACATGCAGTAGCTAAAATAAGTATGTCAAATGGATGAGAATAGATGCCAACGACACAAGCAATCCTAGTGTGGGGACTAGTGCACTTTCTCTTTTAATTATATACCTTTTTTATTATGTGTAATAAAGATTTTTTTCTTCATTTAAATAATTTCAACCTTAATATTTTTAGATCGTAAATACGAAACTGTTATATTGCCGATATTCGGTGTCCCAGTACCATTCCATATATCAACGATTAAGAATATATCGCAGTCGGTAGAAGGAGACTATACATACTTGAGAATTAACTTTTTCCACCCGGGAGCCACAATGGGAAGAAACGAGGGGGGAAATTATGCACAACCGGACGCCACATTTGTTAAGGAAGTGTAAGTATGAGGATTCTGCATTTGCATAATTCCCTTATGATTCCTTAGAATTTTCATGAATCTTGAATATGATACAATTATATAATATTTGTTGTCTTCTGTGGTCAATTGTAAAATTTGTTCCTCATAGTTAAATGTCTCACATTATTTTCCAGAACATATCGTAGTACAAACACAAAGGAGCCAGGTGAAATATCCCCTCCATCATCAAACCTCAACACCGGCTTCAGACTCATAAAAGAAGTTCAGAAGAAGTTCAAAACGAGAGAAGCAGAAGAGAGAGAGAAAGAGGATTTAGTTAAACAAGACACATTGGTTCTATCACAGAGTAAAGGAAATCCCAAGTTAAAAGATTTGTATATCCGACCCAACATTGTCACAAAACGAATGAGCGGGTCCCTTGAAGCTCATTCAAATGGTTTTAGATTTACTTCAGTAAGAGGAGATAAAGTAGATATTTTGTACAATAATATTAAGAATGCATTCTTCCAGCCGTGTGATGGCGAAATGATTATATTGCTACATTTTCATTTGAAACATGCTATTATGTTCGGTGAGTGAAATTATAATAATCCTGTTTTTCAATATTATTGTGTCTAGCACAGCCTTCAACTCCAATTTTGACAGGTGTTTGTTACCAACAGACAGTTGACATTAGACAGCTGACATTAGGCATCTTTAAGCGATTCTTTGATGAATTCCTGTGAATTTATTTTACAATTTAGCATGAAAACTATTTTAAATATTTTTTTAACCAAATTGAACAATGTCTTCGGGAGAAAATTCTCTATTTATGTAATGATAAAATACGAAAATATATGTTTTTGTATTGGTTCAGAATAGTTTAATATATTATTATATTTTGTGATTCCAGGTAAAAAGAAACATGTAGACGTCCAGTTTTACACGGAAGTGGGAGAAATCACCACAGATCTTGGTAAACACCAGCACATGCACGATAGAGATGATTTAGCAGCGGAGCAGAGTGAGAGAGAACTCCGGCATAAGCTGAAAGTTGCTTTTAAGAGTTTTTGTGAACGAGTTGAAAATATGACCAAGCAGGAAGTGGAGTTTGATACGCCTTTCAGGTAGATTATTGTGTATGATATTTATTGACAATTGGGTAAACTTTGTAAATGCTTTTGAGTTTTGCAGAATCTGATTTTGAGTACTAACAAATATGTCAAACATAAAATAAGTTTTTGGACAGGTCTTGAAACTAAATGTTTAAATAAGACATACTCAATTTTTTTTAATGAAATCGTATCCATTGACCATCTTCGTTGGATGTAAACGTTTTCATATTATATTTTATGCGTTTTTTAATGTATGTATTTAAGTGTACACGCAATTTTGGTGGTCGCTGATATGCTAGTCACATGATCAATTCTTTTGTTATAAAACAAACAAAAAAACGTGTGGCATTCGGGGACTGCCGCGGTAAAGCTATTGCATAGCATTTTTATCAACTTGAGCAATTATTATTATTTATTTATGCAGTAGTTTTTTTCTTTGATATTAATTCAATCTACCAGACTCAGACTAACACGCCTATATAGTCTGTCTCACTCTAACGCGTACTGGCTGCACCGGCGGCGCTTACGCTACGTCACCGATATTGTCAGAGATGTGAATACGCAGTATGCGTTCTGTCCCACTCTGACGCACCTACGCTACGTCACCGATCACATTAGACCGATATGAGACGCAGTATGCGTTCTGTCCCACTCTAACGCGTATTGGCCGCACCTATATTACGTCATCGTGTGTTAGGTTTTTATTTTCGTTACGTAAATTCTTGATTGGGTCGCCGCCTTCAAAGCCCGCGATAAAATCCATGCAAATAGCTTAAAAATATTATTTTATCTTGTACTTGTGTTTGATTTATATTTCTTCTTACAGAGAACTTGGATTCCCCGGAGCACCATTCCGCAGTACAGTACTTCTTCAGCCCACATCCGGAGCCCTAGTGAATCTAACAGAGTGGCCTCCATTCGTCATCGCCTTAGAAGATGTGGAATTAGTTCACTTTGAGCGAGTCCAATTCCATTTGAAGAATTTTGACATGGTGTTCGTGTTTAAGGATTATGCTAAGAAAGTGGCTATGGTCAACGCAGTGCCTATGAACATGCTGGATCATGTAAAGGAGTGGCTAAAGTGAGCCCTTTTAATATTTTTAATATACATTCTGAAATAAGACCAATTCACACATTATTGAATTGTTTCATAGTTTTAGCAAAATGATAAAAACCATTTTTATAATACCTTTTTATGAATAATAGTAACCAATATATACATCTTATTTGACATGTCGAAATCTAAATTCCATTTACAGTCAAAATCTATTATAACGACATTGAAGGGACTACTCATGTTTGGTCGTAACAGCCGACGTCGTTATTATTAAGTACCTAATACAATTGGATTTGGCCGGGACCTTTTATTTTGGTTAATATAACCGGTATGTTGTTCTTAACGATGTCGTAAACGGTTTTGAGAGTGTATATGAAGAAAAAAACGCCCATAAAATAAGCTCTAAATTAATAAATAATCACAACGTAAAACTTTTAATCGATTTCCAGCTCCTGTGATATCCGTTACTCGGAGGGTATTCAGTCTCTCAACTGGACTAAAGTGATGAAAACGATCACAGACGACATCGAGGGCTTCTTCGATAATGGGGGCTGGTCCTTCCTCGACCCTGAGTCGGATGCTGAAAATGAACGCCAGGTTGGAAAATTGAATGATCTATGGATAATTATTAATAATTTTGAATGTTCAGACTTGAAAATATTTAACGATTTCAGGAAGAAGAGTCTGAAGAGGAAGACGACGCGTACGAGCCGACAGATGCAGAGACTGAGGAGGAGTCTGATGATGACTCGGAGTATGACTCCGAAGCCTCGGATGCTTCTGATGAATCCGGGGAAAGTGAAGGTAGGATTTTGAATACTTCAAATTTACCGTTTACTTCAAAATGCCTATTTATTAGTAAAATCTCAAAAGAAAGTTAGTAACCTAAAAGTAAAGACTTAAAATCTTTTGTGTCTGACACAAGTCTTTTTTGGACATTAGGGAGCGTTCAAGAATTACGTCACGCAATTTTTGGAGATTATTGACGACAAACCCCCCCGTGTAAAACGTTTCGTGACCACCCAGTGACTCTTTATATCTAAAAGTAACCATTATGTGCTATAAAGTACTGGAAAGTCGAAAATAATGTTAACAATAATGTGTAATTCAATCCCCGCCCCGCGTCGTAACATTTTACAAAAGGACCCGACCCCCCCCAATTCGTTACGTAATACTTGAACGCTGCTTTAGTTGGTTTTGACTAAGTCAGTCAATATTTGTATTATTATATCAGAAGAAGACGAAGAATCCGGAAAGGACTGGTCGGATCTAGAGCGGGAAGCGGCAGAAGAGGACAAGAAGGAACGTACATTCGATCGCGGAGACGAATTCGAACGGAAACGGAAAGGCGGACAAGCACAACCTTCGCGATATGACGAGAAAAAGAGTAAACACGATAAACACAAGAGTTCTAGCTCTAATCACAAAAGCTCCAGTTCCAGTCATAAGAGCCCTTCGAAGCATAGCAGCAGCAGGTGAGATTCAATACTTTACGAACCTCTTAGTATAAGGAGTTTATTTATTCATAAACCACACTGACATGACCATCAATTACAAGTTTGCACATAATCAGATATAAAACAACAGAAATAAAACAAACTCAAAATAACTTTTTTCGTATAGGTAAGTAACCAAGTACTCTTATAAACGTCAACAGAAAAGATGTTAAGTTCATTCTAAATTTAAATTACTACCAACAGATCATGAAATAAAATTATATTGCTTAAGTTAAGTTTGGTGTTCAAATAAATAAACACAGAGTTTGAAGCTAAGCGTCAACTGTATTTAATCGTTTATAACAAGGGCTTATAACATAAAAGGGGTAATGTGGTTGTGACGCTAGCCTAACAAAAAACTGTATCTCATTATGGGTTCTTAATACTAAGTGACACATCTGTTACCTATAAGTGATGTTGACCTATTGGACATTCTAGGAAACGAGAATGTTATATTACTATGAATGTATGACTAAAGGAGTAATTTAGTACTACCAAAACTGACGTTATTATTACAACTTATTTGCTACAAGTGTTAGATGATATGCACTTCATGACAAGTCTTTTTTCTTTTCTAAAGGCTAACGAGACGTTTGCTTGAAGCCTTATGAAAAGTTGTAAATAATAAGATTAAATGTGTTTTTTTTTGCATTACAGAATTTTTCTTTCAGGTTGAAATTTAACTAACTCTAAATTTATTTTAAACTTCTATTTCAGTCCATCGAAGAATCGCGATAAGCACCACAAGTCCTCCCACTCCGTTGCCCGTGGCCACAAGTCGTCCCACAGTGACCGTGACAGACACAGCAAGTCCAACGGTGACCACAAGAAGCACTCCAATTCTCGAGACCACAAATCTCACAAACGTTCACGTGATGACAGCAGAGAAGAAGGCCGTAGCTCTAAGAAATCTAAGTGAGTTTTTGCTTTTTAACCGACCTATAAAACTAAAAAAAGAAATTAACGTTATTTCTCCATAAATTTTTAATTCCGAGACCAATATGTTAAGGATAATTTTAAAATTGTTTTTTTTTCAGGAAATAAGGATATTTTTAAAGCGTTATCTGTTAATTGATACCCGGTGATCTTCGCGACGTTCGCGTCACACCCCAGACCAGTCCGTCTTTTAGTTGTTCAAATCTGTCAAACCACTTATTCATTGTTGGTAGATATGTTTGTCCCTTTCATACTAAGATAGTGAGAAAGAGACAACATATTAGTTATAATGAATGAGGTGGTATATGTTTTGTATGTATGTAGATTATAATTCCATGTTTAATTTAAATTACAATAAAAATAAGGTTTTTTAATTAGTTATTTTATTTGCTGTTCTGTTTAAATTAAAGGAACTACATAACATCAAAAATATAACTTATTTGAGTAACAATCTCTTGGATCGATTTATCTTACACAAGCTCTATAAATAAAATCATAATATATAGTCCATTATTTACAAAAAAATATTACATGCCAGTGCCTTTCTATAAGTATTAGCGTGTTAAGGACAATTATATAAAATAAATACCTAATATAAGATATGGCTAGAATATGGTAACACTCATTTTTATTATAAAGTCTTAGAGGATGTTAAGTTTTAAATTATTTTTGCAAAATGTAATGGCATAATCTAGCTTTTCAATTGAAAGATACTTATAAAAAAATTAACAAACATGTCGTAGATTATCTACGTCGAAAAACACTGGCAACATTCACTAAAAAAATAAATATTTTTTGCCATAGCAACATTATCGTATGTCTTCCGCCTCTTGCGCGGCCACAACTGGCCCTCGCGGTAAAACTGTTATTCTCTTTGGATCCAGTTTTAAATCTTGAGTTTTGAATTCCTTCTCTTGAGTTTCCGCTGAACTCCAATATTTCTTGTTGACGAGCATTAGTAACATCAGCGCGGGAAGGTGTATAAGTGAAAATCTAAATAATTTTCTTGAACTACCGCTATCTGATTTCTTGTAAAATTGCCAAGCTGTAATAAAAAATATGGAATGAGAAAATTAAAAAAAAAACATGTCCAATTATAAACATAGTTTCACTGTTTACAAGTATTAGTTTTTAATTTCATAATGAAAAAAGACGTCTTAATACATGGTTGTTAAGGTCAATGTTACAATGTACAAAATATTGTTCTTCCAAAATTTCCCTTTCAAAAATTTTATTTGAAATGTATATGACTTTATTCAAGAAAAATATTAACAAAAAAGGTTCCTAATGTTTTTGGTTCTGATATATTCAATGAGAAAATGATTTACAAAGCTTACCTAAGTACGAAAAATAAATATTAAGTGGTAACGATTCGGCCGCGAACCATACATTGGTAACACCGAGGTAGGGCGCGCCCAGACAAATGGCGGTTATTAAACCCGTGTGTCGTAACGCCACTCTGCGACATAGAGCTGTAAGAAATCGGTCATTAAAATATATTATATATATATATTTTATTTGTATCGCTAATGTTGTGTGGATTTTAGCCCAAGAATTCCCTATTTGTTTAAACAAACAATGATAAAATCTTGAATTCTAAAAAGCAGAAGTCATGATAAAATTTCGACCACCAATAATTGTTTCCTAATTAACCACTTATATAGAGAAGGTAAACATCCTGAAGAATGGTTGTGTCTTATCAATAAATAGAAAACATTGACGACTTGAATCCGACTTATTAAGTCCATAAAAGCAAATGGCCTTATCCTAACTTAACCGTATATGTTTTAATACAATCAATAAACATATATCATTAAGAATTAAAAAAAAAATTCTACTAACCTGGGTCAGTGACCGCCATCATTCTATAACCCGCGCGTGAATAGTCGGGTCTTAAGTTCCAAGACAGTGCGTTGAAATGTGGGAATTGCCATGAGTATAGTATGACGCCTAACACTAACGCACCCATGTCTAAGGAACCTGTACAACCTGCCCAGCCCATTAATGGGGGAATTGCACCCACTGAAAAAAATTATAACTAGAAGTAACTTTCAGAAGAGTTAATTACATATCATATTTCCTTTATCTGATTTACAAACAACTTTTCATCTAATTTCGGGTACATCAAATAAAAAAAATACCGATTAAGACTTAGTATTTTAAAGTTAAAACAGCTTTATGAAGGAAATATAGGAAACTATAGTCATATTCCCTTAATATAAATAGCTTATATCTAATGTAATATTGTAACATTTGTATAACTATTGACAAATGGAGTCAATGTCAATTAAAAAATTGGTCTAAGAAAACAATGATAAATAAAAACAGATGGCGCGCAATTTCTAGTCTATACACTATGGCATATTTCAGTTTAGGAATCATTCATGTTTTGTTTCATTAATTTATTAGGATATTCCCTGTTATGATGTAAAATAATTAAACTGTATATGATGTATACAACTTTTGTGATGGAACAGTTAAATTTATACACAATTAAAATGTCAAATTACAATAAATTAAAGCATACCAATAGATCCCAACCATGTATTAACAATGGACATTCTCTTCATGGGTGTGTATATGGATGTATAGAGCACTAAGTTAGTTGCTCCCAGGGCAGCAGTCAGAGGATTAACTCCTAAGTACAATATACTGAGTCCGGTAGCACTCGTAGCTGCCGCAAAACCTATAGCGTGCACTGGTCTGTAAGAGATTTGGGATCACTATATCAGCCACCAGTTTTATCTTATGGTTTACTAATTCCTCAATCAATTAAAATACTCACTCTAGCAAACCCTTAACAAGCACCCGATTTTTAGTTCTAGACATCTGAGCATCAAATGGTACTTCATGGTACTGGTTGATAGAATTAGCCGCTGAACTAACGAGACCTGTGCCCACAGCACAAAGGGCAAAAGTCGAAAATTCAAATGGAGCTGGTGCAAGAGCATATCCAGCCATTGATGTCATTACAACTAAGGCTGAAATAAAATAAAAATATACCTTATTTTATGGACTTTAGGTTCCTCTTTACATACCTGATCTACAATTTATAATAATACATAACTTAAATCCGGTAAAAGAGTGTTTTCTTTAAATACCTGATCTATTCAAAAGATTTGACTAAATTATACATGAGGGTTTTAGGGTATATGTATAAATGGTAAGAGCCATATTTGTTCCCATGTTTTATATCATAAAAAAATTACCATCAAACAGCAATATAAATTACTTAATATGAGGAAAATACATACAGAGGTTTAAAAATGAGTAATTATTTCTATTTATTTATCCTCAAAGGTTATATTTTTATACACTTACAAGTTAGTCGAAACTTGGAGAGCATCATACAGTAATGGACTAGGTTATTTTTGACATCATGAGTGGGGGTCTCCTTCCACACCCTTGTGTCTTGAGGAACATTTTTACTCTTCTTTTTTATCGTAGATTGAGTTTGACTTATCAATGGGTTACTATAAACATGTTTAGATGTTGATATTCTGGCCAGATGCTGTATTGATTGTCGTTTCTGAAATTAAAAATAAAATATTAAAGACATTTGTTTTCTGAGGAAAAGCCTATGTCCAAAAGTAATAAAAAATAATATTGATCTTCTTAAACCCAAATAATTATAACTCACACAAACTTTAAACAGCACAGATTGTGTTGATAACCCATGGAGACCATTTTTAAAACTCAAAGTGTAGCAAACAAGCTTAAAATATGTCATTGTATTAATTTTGGCTTCTGTTTTAGGTTAACATCCTGAAATGAATTATTAAATTAGTTTATTAAATTTAAATGACTTATTACTTAATTGAATTTTAGTTTGTATCTATAGGGAATAATCTTGATATTCTAATTAACCAATTTACGTTGAACAACAGAGGTTACATAATATGTTTGAATATAAAAACATAACATACCCAAAACATATTTTACAAAATCGGATTAAATAGCTATATTTTACATAACAAAAATAAATGTTTAAGTAATAAATAATCAGCCATTAAGCTAAAATAAAACATTTTTACATTTCTCATTTTAAAATAATATTTCCATTAATTCGTATTATTTTATCACTTACTTGAGAATTATTTAAGAAGCAAATTTCGGTATGGCAATTAAATTCAATTGTACTAAAAGTATGACAAATGAAAACAATCCTTTCCAAATAGAATTCAAAATCAAAACAGTATTTTTAGGTTATTTTCATTTAACCTTGTATCGTATTCGCTTGACTACTGACTTACTCTTTCAAAGTTCAAACTTCAAGTTCGAGCTGTTAGGCTTTTTTTTTTCTTTTTTATGGCTCTGGCACGATTTGTGCATTAGCCAGCGTCAAGTATAGGACTTTTTATAATTCGTGCTTGTCTTTTAGAAATTCGACAGTGCCCTTTATGTACGGTTTAAGCACTCGCCCGGTACCGCACAACCCTCCCAAAGGCCGAGAACAAATTTAAATTAAATTAAAACTTGCCCTCGAACCGGGAATCGAACCCGGTACCCCTCACCTAGCTGCCACTTATTAAGACCGCTAGGCTATGAGGCCCCCGCTGTTAGGCTTTCAACTATATTGAGTATTGACTAAACATCTTTACGTCAACAAAACAACCACAGAATATATAAGAACATAGGATAAAATGAACATTGAACATATTGAGAGGTAGTTCCGGTAAACATGCTTGAAATATCACGCTCGACGAACAAGCGTTTTAGTAAGGTAAGGACGTGGTTACACAGAGTCACCACGTTACAATACATAAATAAGTCGTTTCAGTTTTTATATGTGAACAGCTGGCAAGTTTTTCTTTCTTTTAGGGGCTTATAAAGTCTTAATTTGTATGAAAAATTGTCGACACGAACTGACATTTTCATACAAATATAGTTTTCGACTTTCTACATAGAGTCCTTTTCATGAAAGAAGTCCCCCAGACGCAGCGCTGCAATCGCGCGACATAATGTTGCCATTTATGAGTAAAAAATTACCTATTTTACATTTAGCATAATATGTAATTTATCAAATACTATTTTCTGCATATTTCGATGAAACAATATTTCTGTTATGTAAAAAGTATATTTTTATTTACTTATATAAGCGGTATATTACCTACTTACAGGGAATAGATGAGAAAATAGGGTAAAGAAAAGCATTAAAAAAATTTATACAGAGTTTTATTGAATAATTGTAATCAGCGGCCAAATGAACATCACTGTCTGAAGAGTGGATGGAAACAGAATCAGATTCTGTTTCAGTATCACTAACCGTAGATATAATTATTCTTTTTTTATATTGATACTCTTTCGGATGCGGGCGACTCATCCCTGGGGTAACAATTTTTTTCGAAGGACTCGCCGCTGTTATACCTTCTTTTGTAATTCTTGTTACAGTTCTCTCTGACACACCTGCAATTAAATAATGAACAATTAAAAATAATAGTAACTATAAATTTATAATGCTTATGTACTATGTAATATATGTTTTAATATCAGTTACCTAGTTGCATCACGCAAAAATTAATTTATATCATAAAAGTCCCATCAATACAGCAAAAAATTATTATGTGGCAACTCTAAAAAAGTACTTGTTATGGCGGCGACTCTCTTCCGAACATTGTTTAGTAGTATTAAACACCTTGATTCTTATGTTCCGCTTCACAAAACTCTTTCACCTTCAATATCATTTCTCGAGCCGAACTTTTTACAACTTTTGGCATTGTAAACAATCTTTAAAATGCACTAAGCTAGTTTAAAACTCACAAAAATCTACCGTAACAAATGAAATTGATAACATCGACGAACGACAACATGGCCGACCTGTCAAATTTAGTTCCAAAAATCTCCGCGGGACTTCTTTCATGAAAAGGACTATACACTATACTGTTAAGGCATTTTGACTAAGCCCGCAGCTTGCAAGTTACAATCTTAATATATATATTTCTTGTGTGCGTGTGTATGTGACTGAACTCCTCCTAAGCGACTGGACCGATTTTGATGAAATTTTTTGTGTGTGTTCAAGGGGATCTGGGAATGGTTTAGATTCACAAATCAGCGCGGCAGATGGCACTGCAGTCGGTACTTTCATACTTTGCTTAATATCCTAATCGCTTTAAATATCATGCAGGACAACGTCTGTGGGGTCCACTAGTAATATATGAATTCCTTATTACGGAACACAGAATAAGAAACCTTTGGGAATTCAAAAAATGTTAATATTAATTATATTATAACAATACATATTATGCCATAACTATATTTTTCTCTTTTCCTGACGTTGTGCATCAGCATAGGATGAGTCGAGAAAAATATAATTATAAAGACTAAAGAGGGCAAGTGAAGTGGTAACACTGATTCTAAACTTTGAAGTTTCTATAATTTTTTTGTTTTTATTTTGATTCGAGATTTAAACGCGGAAGTGGGTACCGTTGTCTGTAGCTTTATTTGTCTTTATACGTATTGCTCGGTTTTTTAAAGTTATAAAAAATGTCTAAATTATGGTAAGCAACAAATTTCCACCGTGGTACGGCTAATTTTCACGAAAAATGGCTTCCAGAGGAGATAAAGGCAATGGCGAGGAACAAATTGTCGAGGTAGGTAAATCGATTTGTCCCACTTAGAATTGACAATCTCTTAGCATGACACGATCTCATGGAAATAATGATAATCGTCTTTTCAGACGCTGGCGGAGGTCTTTCGATGTTTCATTTGTATGGAAAAACTCGTAGATGCCCACCTATGCCCTCATTGTTCCAAACTCTGCTGTTACGCTTGTGTCCGACGGTGGCTGACTGAACAAAGGTCCCAGTGTCCGCACTGTCGGGCTGCACTACACCTACACGAGTTGGTAAATTGCCGTTGGGTGGAAGAGGTCACTCAGCAAATAGAAACCATGCAACAGACAAACTCGGCTACTCAGAGAGAAAGCTTTAGAGATAGGTGATTAAGAATTTATTCTAGTTAGGACCTTAACAGAGTTAAAAAAGGAGACCAACTCTGATTTACTTTATTTATGAATTCATTTTACAATTATTTAGAAATTTGAATAAGAAGGAAACACATTATTCGGCCCTAATAAACCTTGAAGGTTTAAAGCTTACCTTAAGGTCAAATAAATCCATGAATACATGTCAAAACTTGCATTAACTGCTGGCATTCTATGCTATCTCCCAAATGCATTTTGTTATTATTTAGTTTATCAATAATCATTTACTTTTAAAATAAACAATGAATTTTGTTAATATGATTAATTTATTTTTGATGTTTTTAATATCATTATTATATTTACTAATTAATGGTAGCAAATCATGATATTCAAGTCAGTTTATTAATTAAGATATTAAATATTATTAACATTAGGCAATCTTGACATCAAAAATAATTCTTTAATATCTTTTTCTTTCTAATAACTATAATGAAATGACTTAATTATAGATGTCCATCCCATCAAGAGCGCCTAACAGTATACTGTTGGACATGCCGTCGGTGTATCTGCCATCAATGTGCTCTATGGGGTGGTACACATTCTGGCCACACATTTAAACCACTGGAAGAGGTGTATGAGCAACATGTGACCCAGATAAGAGATGAGGTATCCCAATTGAGGCGAAGACTTATGGAGCTTATAAGTCTAGTGCAAGAAGTGGTAAGATAATACTTATTTTGAAAAGGCATAGGCATACATTCAACTAGAAAACTGTTTCTCCTTAAAAAATATGCAATGAAGCTTAGATCTTATAACATCATTTTGTTTTTTTAATCTCTATGAAGTCTATTTGAATAATTTTTGTAATAAGGACGCCTGTAGGTATTTCAATATAGAACATTATTTATAGATTAAATATGTATCAAAATAAAACTCTATATTTACTATATGCATCAAATGTCTTGTAAATATTAATATTATGTAAATCACATGTTTCCTTATATGCTATAAATCTATATCTAAATGGATGCTACTCATTTTCATTCCACAATTCTTATAAGGGTATTTAACAACAAAGAGAATGTTAATATATAGTGTTACAAATTTCTTTAATGTTAACTTATTGGATACATATATGGATTTCTGAAATAATGTTCTAAAGAAAAGTAAATTTATTATTGTATAATATAACTAAATGTTTTACCCCTATACCATGGACCACAAAATATAATTTTGATAAGGCTGGTTTTATGTAGCTAGATTGCATTCTAGCGGCTAAACCTAATAGCTTCTTTTAAATTTCTATAGCCCTAATGGCCAAAATATCCTGGTACAAAACTCAATACTACAATTTAAAAGTGATCTATACTGATATTATAAGGAGGAGAGAGTTATATGTTTTAACGAAACACTAAAACCACTAGACCGATTTAAAAAATTCTTTCACCATTAGAAATCTCCCTTATCCCTAAGTAACATAGGCTATATTAATTTCAATAATATTTTGAATGCGGAACAGATAGTCAATGATACAGACATAAAAATAGTTTGTCTCTTGTTTTATATCTTGGGTTATGACCAGTTACGCCTCAGAAGAGAGCTAGCCTTGTCAGTGTATATATTTAAGATACTTACGGGTCGGGTTCATAATCTGGATATAATGGAGAGACTGAGTCTACGGGTACCAAGTAGAAACTTGAGGCGGAAGTCTCAACTTTTGGATGTACCGCGCGCATATTCCAACTTGGTTAGGGAAGCACCACTCACGCGAGCAATATATATAATAAATAGAATTTCTGTTAAGGTAGACCTATTTGTTTGTACACTGGCTGAGTTCACAAGAGTTGCTTCCTATATTATTAGTTATAAGATTTAGGTATATAAATATATTGTTTTTAATGTTTTTTATCTAGGTTAATTGGTGTGGGTATAAAGATTGTGTCGTTCTATCGAATTAGTAATTACTGTAAAGTTAGAATAATGATATGGAATAAAAAAAAAAAAAAAAAAAAAATTTTTTTCTTTTAGGAACGAAATGTCGAATCTGTTCGGGCGGCGAAAGACGAAAGAGTACGTGAAATTCGTAATGCCGTGGAACTAATGATCTCACGCCTTGACTCGGCACTTAAGGCTAAGCTTCTCACTCTCATGGGACAGAAGAACAGCCTAACACAAGAGACTGAGCAGTTGGAACATCTCCTTCAAGAAGTTGAACACCAGCTGCATGCTAGTACTAGGTCAGGATATACAAAAATACCAATTTATATATGTTTTTTGTAGGTCTTCTAAACTTTGTGTATCCAACAGAACTGATATATTTTATTTTATTATACAGTCTACTATATTGTATTGAAATATGTTTTTTATCTGTTTCAATTATCTTTGGAAAATATCGCGAGTCTACTTTTCAACTGACTTCAAAAAATCGAAGGAAGTTTATCAATTTGATGTATTTGGGTTTTCCTTTTGTAAATCGTTACGATGCTGGGCGGGGATTGAATTACGCGTTATTGTTAATATTATTTTCGACTTTCCAGTAATTTACACCACATAATGGTAACTTTTAGGTATAAAAAGTCACTGGGAGGTCACGGAACGGTTTACTATTGGGTACAGAAAAACGTTACGGCGCGTTACATGGGGGGTCCAATAATCTCTAAAAATTGCGTGACGTAATACTTGACGAAAATTGATCATCAGCCTCTTTTTTGGTCCATTTCTGGACGTAGGCCTCCTCTATTTTTCTCATACTACGTGCATACTGCACTGGCCTCTGCGCCCACTGGGAGCCAACCTCCTTGACGATATCGTTAGTCCACCTAGTTGGTCGGATTAAAATTATTAAGGTTTATTTTACACGATTTTTACAGATCTGAGCTTATCGCTAAAAGTGGCGACTTGTCAAAGATGATTCATCAAGTCCGCAAAAAGCCTATGGCTAGCTTTGTTACTGCGCCGGTACCGGCCGATTTTCACAGGTAACCAATTAATTAGGTAATTGAGTAAAACATGTTTTAAACCAAACGAAAATTAGCTTTTTTCTCAGAGAAACAAAATCATGATAGTAACTCTCTTTTTATATGTATAGTCTCGTTCTTTACAGCGAGAATTATTAAGTACAGATTAAAGTGTTAAATGTCATTGCTGTGACAGCTAAAGTGTTGCTAGCTTCATCTATTTTCCCGATTTCTATATCAAAATTAGTCCGTGTGATTATTTATTTTGGGGCCAAAAATTAAAACATAAATATAAATTGTTTTTACAGTGAAATCGTGCCAAGTTACGATAGTAGTACGTTCCCGCTGACGAAATTCACTCAACTTCAGCACGCGGCTGCACCCGTATATTCTGCCCCGCTCCATGTGCACGGTCTCTGCTGGAGGCTAAAGGTCTACCCTGATGGCAACGGCGTGGTTCGGGGAAGCTACCTTTCGGTGTTTTTGGAGCTGAGTGCAGGACTACCGGAAAATTCAAAGTAAAATGTTTTTTAAATTTTCTGAGAATCTAAAGTCGATTTTTTAAATTTATTTAAATATAGCAACCAACAATTAATGTTTCAGTTAATAATAATGTAAAATAAATATTTTACAAAGTTTTTAAGGTAAAAATTACTCATTTGAATTTTAAAATAATTTAAAAAATGTTTTGTTTTTAACTATTTCTTTGAAGTGTTGGAATCTTTAAATAATGATTTAATTTAATTTGTGTCCTGCAAATTTTGTATTAAAGTAAAGAAAATTGGTAAGACTATTATGTGCGATTCTGTAATGCAAGTATTTGATTGCAAGCCGTTCTCATATCAGTGTAGGCAAGAGGTGAGTTGAGTGGAATATATTCGTTAGTGGCAGTTTGTGGGCATGAGACTCTTAGGAAATGCTGTTGGAAGGTTAAAACTGAAATAACTTATGTAATGCTTAGGAGATTTTATGGCTCTTCTCCTATTAGAACTTTTAGGAGTTTTTAAGTTCTTAAAGTCTGTATACAGATACTGGCAAACTTCTTGACCATTAAACAAGGGAGTGGGGGAAAGTTTGCGCATCTCGGGAAACAAACGCAACTGATTTACCAATCACGCGATCGACACGTCACTCTCCCGCAGCCGCGCACCACCTCCCGCCGCCCCCAGTGATACATAAAAATCGCTTCTGCACATTCAAGGACATTTGTTCAAGATGTTTGCCGGTATCTGTACACGAGACGCGTTCTACAAAGTTATCTATTATATAAAAATTTCAACTGGGTTTATAAATTTAGAGAACCTATAGCCTTATAATTATAATATGACTGTCTCGTGAATTGAAATAATTCATCGTAAAAGCGTATTTTTAATCAGCAAATTGTTATAATTGTATCGGTTCATAAAATCATAGTTATTTCAGTTTCCCAACTTAGCTTATTTAATGTCGAGCATTGGCTGCTGTAAATGATCATGCCTCATATCTTCGTGCTTTGCTTATTGTCTTCTAGAAGTTTTGCGGGTCTTGTAATTCATAATCATTATAATCCAGAAAGCGAAATAGCTATTTTTGTAAAGTACGGAAATTTTAAATTCAGGGAAACTTTTGGAACTAGACTAATAGAAATCTCCTTAGGTACGAGTATCGTGTGGAAATGCTTCATCAAGTATCCCGGGATCCATCAAAGAATATCGTACGCGAGTTTGCGTCGGACTTTGAAGTCGGCGAGTGTTGGGGATACAACAGATTCTTCCGTCTCGATTTGCTCGCTAGTGAGGGATATCTCAACCATGAGACTGACACTCTAATTTTAAGGTGAGATCTCCAAAATATCTGATATCGTAAAGTAATAACAATATAAGTGTCAAAATATTTTCCTGCTGTGATAATCTTTTGTTTTGAAGCAGTTTTTATTGTCCTTACAAGTGTCTTTAATTAAATTATTCAGTACTATATAATTTCATAATGAATCACGCCACATCTTACAATGACGTCTTTAATCGCATTATTTTGCCTTTAATCTGGTTATGTTTATAAAATGGCTTCTTATTTAACATTGAACATCTCGAAAAATGAGATACATCACCATTATTCTCTAGTAAATGACATGGAAAACTCAGTGAACATTATTAAAATGACTTCCTTTGACATTACTTAGTCATAGATAACTAATTGGTTTTTATACATTTTATTTGGGTGGATTTAAATTAAGAATGTTTTATTTATAAATGCATAATTGCCATGGTTAGGAATAAGTAATAAGCCAACAAAGCCCACTGAAATATTTCCGAACCAATTCGACTTATACTCTGATTTTTAATTCCGTAGAATTCTGACAGCTATCATTTTTTGACATGTCAGATTACAAAACTTTTTGGCCGGGCACATTTTTCAATTTCAATACGAGTCTAAACATCTGAGTACATACATTTTATTTGTTAGTGAATGTATCCATTATATTAAGTGCGGTGCTCCACATTAAAAGTGGTTTTACGGCGAGTTGTAATTACGTACCTTTTCATCACAAACAGTAAAAAACGCACAAGTAAAGATAACATTTTATTTTATTTTTTTAAAAAGGTTTACTAAACCTGGAATTAGTAGGCAGTGATGCCAGCTAAATAATAAAATAAAGTAATTAAAGTTAATTAGATATATTGTTTGTATTAGGTCACTTAAGTAAGAAAATATTTAGATTTAATGGTCAAATTTGCCCCATTTTTAGTGGATAACTTTTTTAGTAGCAACACTTATGAAATGTCAGAATTCTATGGAATAAAAAACCAGAGTTTGAGTGAGTGTCCATGGGCAGCGGTATCACTTAACATCAGATGAGACTCCTAGTTTGCGACCTCATATATTTAAAAAAATTAATGAATAAATACCGCGTTAAAGGATATATGAAGAAAATCACTTTCAGGTTTCAAGTTCGTCCGCCAACGTTCTATCAACGTTGTCGTGATCAACAGTGGTACATTAACCAGTTAATAACTCTGCAGAATCAACATATTCTGCAAATTAGTGATCTCAAAGAGGTACTACAGATATTTAATATACATATTACAAATTTCTCGTCCAAAAATGATTTTTTTAGGAAACTAGCTGCTGCTGGCTTGGCGAACATCGTACCGCCTAACAGTCGATTCTTTATTTTTTTAAATACTTATTCTGCTATTCGGGACACCGGTCTAGCTAGTAAGATAAAAAAAAGAAAGTTGATAAGACAACAAATATATTATGTCAAAAAATAAAAATTTACCTTCCCAGAACCCCTCCACTAACACTTGAACTTTATGATATGGTATTAAAGTTCAAATTGACTTTTAAGTATTATTACGAATATTTTGTATGGGAATATAGAAAAGTGTGACTTTTTCACTCAATTTTTTTAAATTTTCTCTCCGTAAGAACCATCCTCGTACTTTAAGGAATATTAAAAAAAGAATTGGCCAAATTGGTCCAGGCATTGTTGAGTTATGCGATTACCTATTCAAACGTTGGTTGCACAAAATCCTTTAATTAGTTATATTCACTATATCGTTTAAGGGTTTGTAAAAGTCTCTCGAGAGCTTACGTGGATTCACAATTTCTTGAAATCTGTAATAAGTTATTTCTCAAGACACTCTTTTTGACAAATGTTTTTTTTACCGACGGTACGCACAACGGATCGAGTAAGAGTCTAAGTTACGAAACTGAGTCTACCAACAATACCGACTTTAAAAAAATGATTTACAGTTTGACATGTATTTTACCTTAGATAGATAGATAGCTTGCCATTTTTGCCTACTGCGTGGTTGATAGTTTTACTTATCTTCTCATAAACAATGTTCCAGCGTCTCAATTTAGAGATGTCTCGCAACTCAATGGCTGCAACCAGAGCCTCGAATGGCTCGGTGACGTCACAAAATCCCAATGAGACTGAAGGCCAGGCCAACCAAGTGGATTTGACTACCACAGAACCCTCGGTGTTAACCCAGTGGAAGTTCACACCGCAGACCGTCATCGCTGGTCCGCGATTGATGAGCCCAGGTTAGTTATACATAAATGCAGGTCACATACACAACGCAAACCTACCCAAAACCTTTCTTCGTCCATCGCTTTTTCTCTTGCAGGGATTCTTTAAAGCTTTTTCAAAAAACTAAGAATGCTAAACATCTTGTCATCCTGTCCTATGCTGAAACGGAAAGTATTCTTTTTGTGCAACAGTAGGTTAATTATAAAATTGTGAGTGTTATATAGAAATTATTGTCAAATCTGAAAAGGCCGGCAGCGCGCTTGTGAGCCTTCTGGCAGTGTGTACAATAAAGTATTTTATTATATTTTTCTAAAGGATTTTTTATTAATTCCTTTTTTGTAAAGGAAAACATCGTGATGAGGGTCTAACCTCTTGCCTTAGACCCTAAAAAGTCGACGTCAGGTCAGTGTGTCAGGCACAGGAGGCTGATCACCTACTTACCTATTAGATTGACAGATGATCATAAAACAGATTCAAAAATCTGAGGCCCAGACGGTTGTGGCGCCACGGATTTGTTTGTTTTTATTTATACTTAGCTTAGTATAAATAATATAGAACATATTTTATAGTAGTGTTAGCGTAATCTATTTTCTCAAAGAAAATTAATAATTTAATTGTTGAATGTCAAAGGATGTAGCGCCACTGATTTATATTTATAAAAATTCTCTTTCAGGTATTTTAAATAACTCGTTGTTTGAAGAGAGCTGCGCAAGCGGCGTGTGTCGTAACAGTATGAACTCGGACGCGTGTTTCGGCGACTACGCGCATCTCGGGCGGGTCAATCAGCACGCGTTGGACGCGTATAATCTACCCTCCACTTCGAGGTATTTTTAACAATAATTAACTACAGTAATTCCGAAATATTTTTAAAAGATTTTACAAAATATACGGGTCAAAGGTATCTCTCTCTCTCTCACTCCGCTGGCTCTGCGACCCAAAAAGTATCTTGGTCCTCGAAATGAGAAATTTCTAGCTCTGCCCGTCTTGTGCCACCTCCCGTCAATTGATGGCTTTCAGATGTAGCAAGTCCTTCTCCACTCTGTCATTTAATCTTCGTTCACCACCCGGTCTAGGCCCATGTGATAGTTCTTGTATTCGTCTATAATATAATGCTATACTCAGATTTTTCATTCCGTAGAATTCTGACATTTCATAAGTGTTGCTACTAAAAAAGTTCTCCACCGAAAAATGGACAAATTTGACCCATTTGAGTGCAGCAAAAAATAAAATGCTACGCATTTTTATGTTTTACCTTCAAAAAGGTAAATCTTAATATTTATTTACGCAAGTGACCTAATACAAAATAATTAAATATCACGAACAATATATCCAATTAACTTTAATTATTTTATTTTATTCTTTAGCTGGCATCACTGCCTACTTATTCCAGGTTTAGTAAACCTTTAAAAAAATAATGTTATCTTAACTTGTGCGTTTATTACTGTTTGTGATGAAAAGGGACGTAATTATCACTCGCGTTCAACCACTTTTAATGTGGAGCACCTCACCTTATAAAATGGATACATTCACTAACAAATAAAATGTATGTATAGACTCAGATGTTCAGACTCGTATTGAAATTCAAAAAGGTTTGCCATCTCTGACATGTCAAAAAATGTTTGCTGTCAGAATTCTACGGAATTAAAAGTCGGAGTATAGCAACTCTTTTATTTCGGACTCCATGACGTCGTCTTGGTTCTCCCCAGGATTTTACGCAATATCTTGCTTTTCGCCACCAGTAGCTTCTGCTCTTCTGTCATGGTTAGCGTCCAAGCCTCAGATATCTATATTTAATATATTAAAAGATGTGCGTAATAGTTTTATAACGTAATTCGCTGAAGAACTCTCTGTAACGTAAAAATAGTTACATTTGTTTGGTTTAACACAAATCCCATTCATTAATTCAGTTTTATAACGCAACAGGCGTTCTCTATAACGAAGAAATATTTTCATATTTAGACATCAACAACATACTTAAGTGTAATTGTTTTTATAATCAGCTTACAAAACTAACCTTTTGAGGTGCCTAAATTTCATAAACAGACGTCTCGCCTTTGTTATTGTTAATTACATTAACACGTGTGCCATCATTCTTACATTGCCATTGTGGTTACATTGCCTGTAGGAGATTTTGGTCTCAGTTACTAAACGCACCACCGTCACCTATCGTGTATTATCAGTCGTAAACAAACTTTGAAACTGTCAAGATGGCTAGTAAAAGAAAAGCGTTATGTATTATATGTGTTTAGAATAATTTAGCTATTGATAGTAATAAAACTAGAAATTATTTTAATTTGTTAAATTTGTTTTTTTCTTCTATTCACTCCCTATAACGAAAAAAAATGCTCGGATCCTTGATTTTCGTTGTAACGAGTTTACATTGTATGTTAAAAATTCGCATATATAATACATTTTCTACACTATAGGTTAGGTATTGTAAAATATATGACAATTACGGTGAACATAAAGTTTACGAAAAATAATAAAAATATTACGCATTAGGTAGTTGATAACAATGCTTTTGTTTAAATTGATCAGCCCACTACCGACTATATCAAATTCTGAATATGTAGTGTTAAGTCTGTTACTTAATTTTTGTTTAGATCAACAAGTTCGGTCCGTTCGTGCACACAAAGTCCGTCAGTGGCAGGAATACATTCAGCTTTATCTCCTGGATCGAATTCGCGGATCAGAAGGGAAAGGCCGGAAAGGGCTGATCGCTCCGATCGGATGGACAGACCTGACCGATTGCCCCCGCCTGATAAAGACACCCATCTTACGGGTAAGGTTTATAATAATTAAAGCTTTTTATTTCAGATACTTTACATTTTCTATTTCTATCATATAATTAATTCCTCCCCCCCAAATCCCGACATTACTGTCTACACTTTTCCACTCTCTACCATGTACTATCTGCTGTTTTCTTAATCCACCTTCAAAATGGTCATCGCGTTAATTGTAACTTGGGCACCAGTTTAATACTTTGTTGCTCCAATTTTCTGTTCCTCTTGCCCCGAATTCAAAGTTATTAAGAATTTTTTTGGGAATTTTTTAATTTACTAGGGATCTATATGGGTTTATATATCGGTAACTACTAAGCTGATTTTATTAAAACTTAGACTCAGAACGGAACAGAATTATTTATATAAGTAGGATTTTTATATTGCGAGATATCTATGAAATAAATCTAGTTTTAATATGGTTAAAGTAATTGTATTTGAACAGGTGTAGCGAGTACACCAATAACGGAAGCCTCGGGGGGATGCGCGGGCGCACTGTGTACGTCAATTTCTTCTCCCGAGTTGCACAGCGCTGCTCCGCCGGCCACTGCGCCTGGCAATTCTGAGTCCAGCAGTGATACCGGGGTAAATATGAATGTGTTATTAATACTTCCAGCATCATAAAGTTTCAATCAATTGTTGTATATACTTAAACTTTAAAAAAACTAAAAAATTAATTAGTTTTAACTTTCAGGAAATAATGTTCAGTGAATTGGACGGATTTGTAGACGAAAACAGCGTAAACCACATCGAAGAAAACTCCAACGAAGAGAATGACGTCGACGAAGAAACTATGTCTGGTAAGAAATTGTATTTCACTGAAAGCGACGCGACATTTATGAAACTCTGTAAACCTTACCTTACCTCTGTAAATAAATTCCCATTATACTAAAAATCAGGGCCGCATATAATTTTTCATACAAATGTAGAGCGAGACTCGTTAGAAGTGGTCTTAAAATAGCTTAGGGCTTCCTGACATCTAATTAAATAATAATGTATTGCCATACACAATAATACGTATAAGTCCCAGGCTCTTGATGGAGTATTTCAGGAGCCCTTGGCTTGCCAGTTACATTTCCTGTGTAGGAATATAATTCCATAATGATAATTTAATTTTATTAAACTAAAAATCCAGTAGATTAAAAGCAATAAAAACAGACGAAAATATTTGTTTCGCTTATAGTGAGTTACGCGAACAGACAAATGAGGCTTGAGTCGAAGGACCTTTATAAAGAATTCTTTTTCCACAAGATTCCATTAAAAAAAGTTTATTTTTTTGTGAAATTTAATTCTTAGAACTGTTGGTTTCAAAATGCAAATGGCGGAATGTCCTACAATTATCAATAGACCATACCACAGTTTAGTATAGTCTGTGGGGACTATTTTTTTGGGACTACACAAAAATTTATTCCCATAGATTAAAGTATTTTAAAACTTTACGCAGATCGCGATTAAATCAAACAAGATGTCTGCAAATCACTGTAATTTTTAAACTTTTGTACGAGCCGTATGTTTATTGGCTTACATAAATATTATATATATTTAATTAGACTTTATATATCTATTTGGTTGTGTCGCGTTCGCGGTCTGTATTTAATTATTTTCTTGCATTAAAATGTATCAGTACCTTTCTATCGCATTCCTTGAATCCTTCCAACATCCAATCCTTTTCCTCACACAGACGGCTCATCAGCGAGTTGTTCCTGGTGCGCCTTGGCTGAATCACCGACGCCTGGCTCCGCTCATTCTGCTCGCTCTGCGCACTCTGCTCAATCTGCCCGCTCGTACCCTTATCCTGAATTGGCTGAGTCGCCCCCTTCCCTTTGCTCCGATGAACCCCCTAGACGTCGAAGAAAATCCTTTTGCAGATCGCACGCAACGCGCGACACACCATATACACGTCCTTAGGCGATGAATTTTGTAAAAATAATTAAAAAAAATATTGAAAAAATTTGATCTCTTCAATTTAGTTTTTATTATAAATATTTTTTCAGTTCTGAAATTATAAGTGTTATGATGGCAGTGCTCATAATTATATTTTATTTTAGTCCATTTTATTAATGATTTGAATTTAGAGATTTTTATGATTTTTATGAGTTCATAAATAAAACCCTTTGGCACCTTAAAAAGTTTTTGGTACACGATTCAAGAAGTTGATTACAAAATCCCAAAGATTTTAAATAAATAAACCTAGTATTATTACACATATTTTCTTATTTATCTTACAAGAGACAGGAAATGTATTTTTTTTCTCTCTCTCATTCACAATTTTTTTTAATGACATTTAATTCAAATAGTATTAATTTCTATCAATTTTCTCCTATTTATATATGATTTATAAGAATGGCTTTGTGTTTTTTTCAAATAAACCTTAAACAAAATTTTAGTTTTATTCATACAATAGTACGTAGTCGGTCCCAAAGTTCTGTCATAAATGGAAATAATGATAAAAACAAAAGTACTGATCAGTTTGTAATGAGTGATATATCAATTCTTAGTACATTAATTAAGGAATAAAAAAAGCATAAAAATATTCGAAATAACCTCCCTCATTTTTAATACAGGCCCTTAAGCGTCGCGGCCAGTCGTCTATCGCAGCACGCACCATATTCGTGTCGATTTCAGTTACTGGTTTTTTTAAAGATGACTTCAGATTCTCCAAATTTTCATGAGGTTTATCACAGACCTTCCTCTCTAAGCCCTGTCATAATTTTCGGGTCCAAAGGATTAAGGTCCGGACTGGAGGAAGGCCAATCCTCATGTCTAATTAAGACGATGTTTTGACGCTCAAACCAGGCTTTAGTGGTCTTGGCTTTGTATGCAGACGCAGAGTCCTGCTGGAACACGAAGTGATGTCCCGCAAATAGGGTGCTGGACATGTCTTTGACAAGGCGATACAAAACCGTCTCTTGGTACACTGTAGCACTGGTTTTGACCCCTTTTCGAAAAAAATTAACCTCAGTTAGCCCGTAATAGGACACTCCCAACCAAACCATTACTGATGATGGATGATGTCCATGTTGCACCCTTGGAACTTTATTTTCAGCTTCTTCAGAACTCCTAGCGTACACTGTATAATTCTGTTTATTGTACTTCTCTTCAATATCGAAAAATGTTTCGTCCGTAAAGAGGATATCACGGTGTCGGTTTTTCGCGTACCGCTTAAACAACACCCGCGATCTCTTAAGCCTTATTGCTTTTAGACGAGCATTAAGTAAGTGCCCACTCTTTTTTGTATGCTCGTAGACCAAGATCTTCATTTAAAACCTTTTTACTGTTTTCCTACTGACACCCATCTGCAAATCCATCAACTTCTGTTTTCGGACAGGATTTCTTACTATCCGCGCCTTGATAGCTTTGATTACTGCTGGTGTTCTTGCGGAGCGTGGCCAGCCAGTTCTTTTCTTGTCCTCAACACTGGAGACTTCAAGGTACCTATCAATAGTACCGTACACAAACCTAAGCGTTATATTCAAATTTTTGAGCAACTTGAAAATGGTACTCGGCGAGTGTCCACAGCGGTGCAACGCAATAACAACTATTCGGTTTACTTTCAATGTCCACTCCATCGTGAAAAATTACGGAAAGTTATTGTTTTTTGTTTTAAAACAATAATCAAACATTCCAAAATAGAATGCAATAATTTTTTTATAAAATCCTGCCCGAAATGTAGAAATAATTTGCTAGTGACAGAACTTTGGGACCAACTACGTAGAATCGTTTAATAAATGGTAAATAATTTTTACATTTAAGTTGTTACTAAACACTCTTGTTATAGACGTTTTGAGGAAAGATTTTTACAATTATTTTAAAGGATTTTATAATTTTTTGTTACTCGATTAAATTGTAATGATTAGTTATTTAGTAGTTATGGGAATTAGTAGACTTATAGTAGATAAATATATATAGTTTAAGTAAAATTTTAAGTATATCTTAAAAATAATTAATAGTAGTGTTGTGCGTTCAAACCTTCGAAAGCATCGTGAGGAAATCGGCAGTTTTAGACTCAAGTTTCGACTGTCTGCGTCACTTAGGCTCGATAGAACGTCGATCAAAGTAAAATCTAGTTTTAGGAGCTGTCAAACAATTTTTTCTGTATGAAGTTTGACATTTGACAGCGGTCAAGACGAGATAGTGACTTAGCTTAGGTTTCCTAGAAAAGCGGTGCCGTTAACTAACGGCCGTCATTTTACGGTTGTTAATAACGGCCGTCTTTGCTGTTTAGCATAATCCAAAAAAAAATCCAATCATTTTCGCTCGTCCAAGTCACGTTTCCACTTATTGTATAAATTAGTAATGTTGTATAAAATGTAATAAAATATGGGCACAGCTACACGCGAGAAACGTTGAACTAGTGTTTATCACCGCTATGACGGCCGTCATGCAAATGACAGCACCGCTATTTGACGTTACGGTGACAACGTTCTCTAGAAAACCTACTCCGATTTTATTTATAGACAACGTATGGGTGACGTCACCCAACGTTACATTACGGCCGTTAGATAACGGCACCGCTTTTCTAGGAAACCTAAGCTTTAGGGACATTAGAAGCCAAGAGCCAATTGAAAAAAAAAACAATTTCACTTAAGTATGTTGTTGATGTCTAAATATATATCCGACGTCAACGTTACGTTACGTTTTATTCAGTGACCATGCACGCTGTAAAGCACGCGAAACGTCGGATTTTTTTTAAATACATAACTTAAATCCGGTAAAAAAGTGTTTTCTTTAAATGTGTAAAAGTTATTATGTTAATAAAAGACAATACTAAGTAAATTGTGTATTAAGGCGAGAACGACATTGAGGGTGCTGTGGGCGGTAGCTGTTACAGTACTGAGGCGGACATTTTGAATCGTTTACTCTACGCAGTAAGGGGCCGCGGGGTGACACCAGCAGGTAATTTATGCCGCATTATTTAGGGTTTTATATCTCTTTATTTATAAATCTCTTCGGTTTATTTCTACTACCCTTTGAATTGAATTTGTGGATCATTGAAGAGAAGAAGGGAAGTTAGATGATCATATAATTTTTGCTTTATTCATTAAATTGTGATTTTCTTTCTTTTGAACGTTTTGTGGTTGGCTGTTTGGCCACATGTTACTTGAGACATCACAAATTCTTAGTAAAAGTGAATCCCTAATAATCCCTGAATAATCATTAATGAATAAATAAACAAAGTTTAATGAAGTTTTCGATTGGCAGGTAGTGACGGCACAACCGTTGCAGTCCCATCCTCTAACCGAAGTGATGACCCTCAGCTGTCAACAGCTGCTCATACTGATATGCTGCTTCTGAATCTCATGAAGATTAATGGACTGACGCCTAAGACCACGAAACCACAAAATGGTATTTTTTATTATTATCTCGTAGAATTCCTTACTTGCATTTGCATAATATACAATTAAACTTATAAATTATACTGAAATCTTGTGATTAATTGTTTACTAAAGAATATTTTACGAAATATTTAAAAACTGAACTTACTTAAATGTATTTAAAAGCAGCACTTATCTTTTGGTTTGTACGCGAACACCACTAAAACTTATGTATCATTTGTATCTTTTATAGTTTTGCAATTTCTTTATTAGGGGCTGTTCAAGTATTACGTAGGCACTTTGATTGATTTTCTTATTTGGTGATTACGTCAACAGTAATTGTTTACTTTTTTACACATTGCTTGAAAACGAAATGCATTTTCGAGGATTGCTACAAAAAATTAATACGTTTATGTACTATTATTTTCGAGAGCTTTGCTTCGTTTAGCAATTACTTGATATGTCATGTGGAACATGGTGTAATGGTTGCAGCTCCTGACAAACGTTGTGTAAAAAAAACGGCGATTAAAAAGAGTGGCGGAGAGTTTATTGCTAGTTCTTCTCTTCCGTTCTACGCCCTTGATTTGAGAACTGGCAGTAAATGTAAAATTAGAAGCATTAATATGTATTTCTTTACTGACGAGTCATAAGTGTCCATTATGTTACCTACATGATTAAATGATTTTTTACCTTTTTTTTTAAATTATTTAGTTGACAAGAGGGGGATAAATTGCAGTAAATCTGTTTACGAAATAAGTATTTCGTTCAAGAGAACGGCCCCTAAATTAAACAATATATATGCTTAAAAATACATTTTACACAAAAGATATTAGATCATAGATATTCGTAAAATAATCTGTGTTTCTGCTCTTTCAGCAGCCAAACGCAACTGGTCGTCACGTACCCAATCGGCGGAAGAAGTGTGTAACCGCGGGGCAAGGGGAGGCGCTCGTAGCACGGGTCGCACGCGCACTTTGCGACGGCCACACCCCTCCACGCTCGCTGCTATCTCCTTTAAGAAGTCGTCTGGACAGATATTGCCCGATAATAGTATGTATTTTGTGTTTGGAGATTCAGGCCATTTATTTTTTTATTTACAAAACCTTGCCAACGCTCGGTTAACGGATTTATTTTTCTTAAGTACCAATGTATCAATGTGAATATATGAGATGATGATGATATGAGACAATTTAGGGGCCTCATAGCCTAGCGGTCTTATTAAGTGGCAGCTAGGTGAGTACCGGGTTCGATTCCCGGTTCGAGGGCAAGTTTTAATTTAATTTAAAATTTGTTCTCGGCCTTTGGGAGGGTCGTGCGGTACCGGGCGAGTGCTTATACCGTTCATGGAGGACACGGTCGAATTTCTAAGGCAAGGACGAATTATAAAAAAAATCTTATACTTGACGCTGGCTAATGCACAAACCGTGCCAGAGCCATAAAAAAATATACAAAAATTTAATGTGACAAGCACACAAGGCGAACGTAACAAACACGGCGAGAAAAATAATTTCTACCAAAATAATTACAAAAACTAAAGGTAAATTAACTTCAAAGTGTGTAACCCCTGCAATTATGGATATCCAGACCTAGCTAGACCTATATCGGTAAGTTGATACGAATGTTCAATGGTTGTGTGACAAGGGTTTCAAATTAAAGTTTGACGATTCGATTTCAATAGGAATACTTTCATAATTCTCAGATTAGATTTATGTTTCCATTATTCACAAAAGCTTGGAATTTTCAAATGTGACATTTATCATTCCGCAGCAGATATATTGCGATAAATAATATGCGGTTTACAATCTGAAAAACCAAAAAACTTGGCGATTAAAAAGAGTGGCGGAGAGTTTATTGCCAGTTCTTCTCTTCCGTTCTACGCTCTTGATTTGAGAACTGGCAGTAAATGTAAAATTAGAAGCATTTAATGTATATTTCTTTTTTTGACATTCATAAGTGTACATCGTGTTACCTATAGTAATAATGCCGTGGTCATCATTATTGTTTAGGGATCTTAAACGATTTGCAAAATTTGTCGTAGGTATTATTTTCATCCTATTATTCCTACCGAACTACCACTGAACTAGCAATGAGCGACGTTGCTGTTTTTCACCGTCGTCTTGTATGAATTAATTTGCAATGGTGTTAAATTTATTGCCCAATTTTAACCCAATTTGTTTGTATGCGAAAAACAAAAAAAAAAATGCATATTAGACCTATACCCTTGCACTAAAAAATGCTGTTATTTCTAACGTTGTATATTTTGATTTGTGGAATTGTATTTCGGTAAAATGTTTAATATCGTCATATTGTGAGAAGAATTTATATGGGTATCTTTTTTTTATTCGAAAATATTAATATTATAAGGAACTAGCGGACCGACAGACGTCCTGTACACACGTCTTAAATACAAATTTCAAACTTTTTAAAATAAGCTGTAACAATCTGATCCGCCAAGAAACATCTAACAAAAATATTCATCAAAATCGCTCCAGTCGTTTAACAATTACAAACACGCACAGAAGATGTACAGATACCGGCAAACATCTTGAACAAATGTCCTTGCCTGCGCAGAAGCGATTTTTAGGTATCACTTGTGCGCGGCGGCGGGTGAGTCGATCGCGTGATTGGTAAATCAGTTGACTTTTGTGTCCCGCGATGCGCAAACTTTCCCCCACTCCCTTGTTTAATGCTCAAGAAGTTTGCCCGTATCTGTATCTGTAAACAAATTTTTATTAATTCTTTTTAGAGTATAAGAAATTTTTTCCTTATTAGATTAGACATTAATATGCGATCTTCTCTTGACGTATTCCTTGATTTTTTTTTAAATTACTATTTATTGTATATCTTTGAAGCCTTTCACCAAAATTGAGGTCTCTAACAGTAAGATCGAGTCGTGGTTCTTCAAGTAGCCGCGTGAGCAGTCCGCCCAGTAGTCCCGGCCGATCGCCCACTCACTGCAATTGGCCCAACGCTGAATTAAGCGATAATGATGACGTCGAGGCCATACTTGATTATAATGTGAGTCCAATTATTTAATAATAAAACGAATAAAAATATTGTTGAAAAAACTATAATTCTTGAACCGGTTTTAATGAGACTTGAATTGTTGAAAATACATAAAAGCAGTGTTGGCCTAGTTTATTCAGCGTGCGACTCTCATCCCTGAGGTCGTAGGTTTGTTCCCCGGCTGTGCACCAATGGACTTTCTTTCTATGTGCGCATTAAACATTCACTCGAATGGTGAAGGAAAACACCGTGAAGAAACCGACCCAAAGACCCAGAGGCACTGGAGGCTGATACTTGCCTATTAAAAAAATGATCATGAAACAGACTCAAAAATCTGGGCCCAGACCTAAAGAGGTAGCGACACTGATTTTTTTTGAGTTGTTGAAAGTTGAAACGTTTAAATTTAAATAAAGTTTGTAGACCAACATACATTTACGAATTTTAGCTTCGTGCTTGAAGTCTAAATGGATCGTCTTGAATATTATCCAATTCCAACAATATCACATGCATGCAATTAATATCATCCTTTTTTATAGTCGGTTATAACGAGTTGCACCAGTTTTCCTCCTCAGGTCCTCGCTCTTGATATGAGAATTGACAGTAAACGTTAATTTTAATATTACACAGGTTTTGCTACCTAAAATAAATATATAGGTAATCAAGTCACCCAAGCTTTATTTTATTTCAATTTAGATTTTTATAATCTCTTCGAGTATTTACTTAAATTTATTAAATATTTAAAGTACCTATTCAATGGTAGATGACTTTTTAGCGAAAACTAAAATCCTGAAACATGAAATGTACCGTAAAATTTCTTATGTATGTTCAATATTTATTAAAATATAATATTTTTGTATTTTGGAAAACTTTATTGCAGTCCTGTGGTTGTTTGATTTCTTTTGTTGGTTCGCGATAAAGCTTAGGTTTCCTAGAAAAGCGGTGCCGTTAACTAACGGCCGTCATTTTACGGTTGTTAATAACTTTTTAACATAATGCAAAAAAAAACATAATTTTCGCTGGTACAAATCACGTTTTCACTCATGGTATTAATTAAATGTGTGTAATATACACGCGAAAATCGTTGAACCAATGTTTATCACCGCTATGACGGCCGTCATGCAAATGACAGCACCACTATTTGACGTTACGGTGACACTCAACGTTCGCTAGAAAACCTACTCCGATGTTATTTATAGACAACGTATGGGTGACGTCATCCAACGTTACATTACGGCCGTTCGATAACGCACCGTTTTTCTATGAAACCTAAGCTTAAGTCTAATATGCGCGTACGTTTACAGGATAGCCTATTCGATATGCTCCTCAATAGCCTGTCCCTAGATGGGACTTCCGGCGAAGAAGCTCCTCCCGTTCAGCCCTGGAGCCCCGCCAGAGACCCTCCTAATCACGATTGACGCACCCGCGAGTACCGGCACTAATGTCGGTACTATATTGACCGGTTTTACATGCATTTTGCAACTATAATAAATTAAATTATATTTATTTGCAGTTAGCCGTGACGCCACTGCCAAATCTGGTTCATGTTTGTGTATATTGTTTCCCCCTTACTCATAAAACCTAAATTGGCATTTTAAAACGTAGACTACAGATGCGTTGGTTACCATGGCTACCATTTTTTTAGATTAAAAAAAACGAAACTATACAAAACACGGTCATCTTTTGTCTTCGTTTTTTAACACGATTCTAATTAAACTATTTTAGCTCTCATTACAACAGCAAAAACACAATTTGGAAAAAAGAGATAAATGATTTTAATTAAAACATTTTGTTATCTGGGGGAATGTTATTACGTCAAAATATTTATTTTACTCTAGCGCACGAAGCAACAGTCTTAGATCCTTGTAGCGTTATAAGGATATAAAAATAGTAAAAGATAGAAACAGTATTTTCAAATAAAAGTGATTTAAATGTTCGATTATCGATGTGTAGTACAAATTATAATTGATATTAGAAATAGTTCTCGAGTGTGCTTTTTGCAATTATCTGCTTATTGAAGAATTAAATACTCGCTAGAGAGAAATACTTGCCTTGACTTCGGCTACCTTCTTACTGACAGCTAAGAAATACATTGACGTGGCTATTTGGCCTCTTGCTAATCCATCTATAAGTCTCTATATGTCTAAAGAGCGTTGCTGCTAAACTAAGATGCCTATTCAGAAAACGCTTTGCTGGTCAGTACAAACGTAGCCAAAAGTCGTCCTGTATAGTTAGATTAAGTGTTTAGTTCTATCGGGTCATGTCTAAATATTCATGAATTTATATGGTTATTTTATTATGATTCGGTGTAATTCTTAAAAAATCTCTAAGAGTCGGTATTCCAAAAATCATAATCGAAATAGTTATTTGTTTATCGTATTATCTACGATAATTTTATCAATTGATATAATTCAAATTTATTTAACTAGATTATAAATGCTGTGATTAAAGAAATCTCTTAAATTTGGTTTTGGAAGTTTGAAATAAATTGCGTGTTTTTTATTTTGAAAGAAACATTGGAATGTTGAGAGTTTTTATTCATGTTAAATATTGACTTGACATGGTCCGAAAGGTTTTAGTTTATTCACATATTCAACTTTGCGTGAACATTCCTATTGTTTTGAAAATACAAAGTGAAGGGTTATACTAGAAAGCGACTGATTTTGTCTTTCGATTTGCGATGGTCAATAACTTTTGGGGTAAGGCAGCGTTCAAGTATTACATAACGTATTTTTTGTCCTTTTGTAAAACGTTACGATGCGGGGCGGGGATTAAATAACGCGTTATTGTTAATATTTTTGTCGACTTACACCACATAATAAGAACTAAAGAGTCACTAGGTGGTCACGAAACGTTTTACTATACTTGGGTACCTACTGAAAAACGTTACGAGTTACATGGGGGGTCAATAATCTCCAAAAATTGCGTGACGTAATACTTGAACGCTCCCTAATCTGGAACTGGAGATTCAATTTGAATTGGCTTAGTGAGAGGCTTACGTGCAATGTCTAGAACATTAGAGTTAATATATTGAAACAAATTTATCTTGTGTAACATAGAAACCACTTTTTCCAGTTTCTTCAGTCAGTGTTGTTATTATTTTAATTTCGTAAGGAAATTCCGTTGCTTATAGCCAGTCTTAAATAAATTTATTGATGAATATTGTTTTTTATTTACGCCCCACAGATTTACTTTTTAACGCATAAAAAAGTTTTATTTTTGTTTGTTTCAAGCAACACGATTCGATGTCATTTTGTGAATAATAAATCTAGCAGTGGGTTAAAGGCGAACCATTTGATAAGTTGTTTCTTTAAACACTTAGCTGGTATCGGATATAATGAAAGATTCTTATAAACTAAATGTTGCTCCAAATCAGGAAGTAGTAGTAAAAACGGGGAAAAATTGTGTTTGTGATAATATTATTGAAATAGTCGATACTTTTTTACTGACATCGTGTTTAATATTTATGATGCGAGGTAAGCTTATAGGTGAAAACCTTGATTGTTATGGAGTTTACCGTGTGACTAGCGATATACATATATGAATTCAAATTTTATCGCAGTCCATTAGTGCATCTATCTAAACGTGATCAGCATTTCATGCCTGCTAATACATAATATGTACCCCTCGAGATCGAACCCATGATGGTACGTCTTTTGCCTATCTTTTCCTATGTTACCCGAAAATCGGTTAGAATTTTATTCAGTGAGAAATAACTTTTCTTTCATATTTTCCCCCACAAATGAATTAACATTAAAATTTAGTTCAAGTATATATTCATCGGGAAATGTGTATATGGCAAGTTGCACAAATAAAAGATTTTAAAGACAACTATATGGAAAGGACCAAGGCGAAAAGATGGGAAAGGTGGATAGAAGCGTTAGTAGGAAGCGAATGGAGAAAGAAAACCATGTATAGAGAAATTTGTAAAAAGCTGGAGGAGGCCTTTACCCGTGTACTTTTACAATGGTTCTGAAATAAGTTAGGATTATGAGTAATAAGAACAAAATCATATACCAAATTTAAACTGTATATTGTTAATTTTGTTATTTCTAAAGATTGGAAATAAACGGGCTTTATTATTATTATTACATGGGTTAGAAAGAGTGGCTTATTTTACTTTGTTTTGACTGAACTATATGATATTCTTGGAGGGTAAAAAGTGGGTGTTGCTGCATGTAACAGCAAATAATACAATACTTCTCGATTCAGTTATTTATTTTCATTTTTCCAAAATATACACAATGAAAATGACTGCTGGTTTAAACCAAACTCGCGACTTAACATCGAACTTCATAGCAGAATATACGAAGACCATAACAGATAATTTGTATATAATGTATGGGCGTGTCTTTTATATGCTGCGAGCAGCTGCGCACGCGACTACTCTACGTAAGATGCAGTAAAATTAGTAAAATCCCTGTCGCTAAGTAAAATATATTTACAAAATAAAACTTTGAAGGAACGCTTTGAAAACATTCAACAAACTTGAGATCGTCTTAACGTAAAGATGGTAAAAGAATTTTTAAAATTAATCAAATTACACAATACCGTATTTACATATTTCTAGTTTTTTAAAAGGAAATTGTGCCAAATCACGTTTCACATCTTTCGCAAATAAATAACAATTGAATTTAGCCTAAAATACTTTTCTTCGATAAACAAAACAATAAAAAAATAATTGCATTCAACAAAGCTACAATAACAAATTTAATATAAATTAATATTAAAAGAAATGTACATTTTATACAAAGTTAAAAACGTGACGCATCACTTCAATTCATCACTAGACGCTATTGCAGATAATTCATAATTAAGAGAATAAAATATTGCGTCCATTATTTACATACGTATTATGTACATTGACCTAAACTTATTCGGCGAATCGCCATTGAACTAAAACCTCACGCTGAACGAAACACTAAAAGGTAACTTCAACTCAAATAAAAAATATTCTCGTTACTTACGGATATTCTTTACCACAAACTATTATAAGATAATTGTGCAATACAATCGTAATATCGCTATATCTATCGCGAAGGCAAGTAGGTGATGTACGCTGTCTTAATTGCTAGAATATTTATAGTGGTGTTACATTTGTGGTCATATTTTGAATACCTCTTGGTACAATTTACTTAACTAAGCCGTTGGCCGCTTAATATTAGCACTAAACATAGCTTTGCACTGTCCACTCGACTCCGTGAAAATAGGTTTTCACCTAAAGAGGGAGTCGACGGAATGTGCATTAACTTAACTTCTCAATAGTTGCCTTACAAACGTTCACTCCGATCGACTTTACCGGACCACTCGCCGTGGTCAATCGTTCTTTGGCATTATTTAGTGAGCTCAATTTCATTAATCTATTTGATAATATTGCACTATGTGATAAAATTTCATGTCAATTCAAAAATATTAATCTAAAATTTCGATTATAATTAGAAAGTGTCGGTGTATGGAGTATGAGTATTATATTCAATATAAATATATTCGCGATCTATACTATTCAGTCAATTGAAAAAAATCAAAATATTAGCCTCTCTCTGAACATTCGACTTATTCGGTCTGCCACTCGCGCAAAGCGGTTCGTTCGTTCAGCACATATTCAGCACAATACAATGGGCACCTATTGATTAACTATTAAACAAGCACCTGTCACATTCCGCGATAGCACTGGAAAAGGCGATCACAGCCTTCGATTCCCCGTTTCCTAATAAAAGCACGATGTCGTTTCAAACATGACAAGTCGTCATCTAAAATTATTAAGCAATTGGGCGTTTGTACGACGTGTTTGTGAAAAACGGCATCGGTTGACAATATGAAATAAAGTCACCAAAATCTGGAGCCACTCGTCTGTATCACGAATCTCGTTTGATGAAACAATCAGACGTTACATGAAGCTGAGAGAATATTCGGAGAGCGACCGTCAGACGTGCGACTCGAGAGGCGGTCGGGGAGGCGGCACCAGTGAGACTGGCCAAACACCGCCCGTCAAGTCCGGCGAAGACGTACGGGTGTGTCGCGCAGACCAGCCATCTTTATCGAAATCCTTGGTGCCGCCCACCGTGTGCCTGCGTTTTATGCCTCTCTCGGGCATCCCGTTCTTTCGCTTCAACTTTGTCGACCGCCAAGCGCCGGCTTCCCTCCGCCGGACGATGTTCCACTCGCCCTTCTCTATTTTACTCAAACGCTCCCCTTTGTTCAACGACTCGGAGCGTTGCAATCGTTCCACTCGGCAATTGAGGCTCTCAGATCTGAGGACGCGAGTTTCGCTTCTCTCTTCTCTGTTGAGCGATTCCGACCGCTTAAGTTTGGCACAGTCGTCTTCCTTTTCATTTTCCGCGTTGGCCTCATCGAGCGCCGCGCTGTTTCGTTTGACGCACTCCGGGTTGGAGAGCCGTAGCTTGTAAGTGGGATACGGTCGTTTGTCATTGTCGGGAAGAGTGCCACCTCCGCTGGAGTTCTGGGATCTCGTGTCGACGTCCTTCTCGTCGTTGCGTTCCTCGTGACTAGTTTTCTTGGGAATGATACAGTTTTCTTTCTCCGAGTCGTCGCCGTCGTCTCTCGCGAGGCGAGCCCGAGGCCAACGCGCGTCGGGTTCGTCGGCGCTGGAGGAAGAGGAATGACGGTGGTCTCTCGCGAGCCAAGCCGCCTTTAACTCGTGAGCGCGGATCGCCGGAGACACCCGTTCCTCGCGTTCGCTTTGCAGACTCGTCTCGGAGGGCGTGCTCTCCGTGGACTTCGCTTCCTCGTTGTCGTCTTGACATTCGTCCGCGTAAGGAATGCTGCCGTCGTCGAGCGGGGACGAGTTGTTGAGCGTCCGCAGTTTCTGATCGAAGGTACTGGTGAGAGAAGACACTAGATCTCCTGTTCCTAGAACAAACGTTAAAAGTAAGCTTGGGAAAAGGTTAAAGTTCACGTTAATCACGAATACAAAAGCATTAATTCCTCGAACAGAGTACGAATGAGGGATGGATGAAGAGTTATTACATGATGATGACTCCGGATGCACGAGCGTCGCAAGCCGTGCTGTCAGCAGCTGCTGTTAAGCGTTAGTTAGTTATTTGTGGTCTCGGGTCAACGCTATTGTTCACACTCACTCGAGAACTATTTGAACGCTGAGACAGAGGTAATTACCGCAACGAAAATAGACATTACATTAGTGCGATGAAATGTTTTCAACAGTAAAACAGCATTGTTTGCATATCGATTGTTGTTTCGGTGCCAAGCATTTTTAAAATTGGTTAAAATAACTTCTCAAATAGTGTAGATATTAATTCTTTTATTGAACCGTATGAGTGAGTATAAACAACAGGTCAGCATTGACTTCGTCCGCGTACACGCACACACTTGCAAACGCACGCTCACATTCCTATACCTTTGAATGTGGACAAAAGAAAGGGATTGCTGTGTCTACTCTCTGACGTCAGAACTGGACACCTAATGGGCAAATAGTAGACCTTACATTATGATAATTAAAAAGAAATGCATATATCTAAAACAAATTTTGTTGGATTTATCCTCTAGCTGCGCCCTTATTGCCCGCCCATGCGCCTTTATTCTAATTAAATACATTTGTAACTATTATTATATAGGCAAACTTACCGTCAATAGAGAAGTTGTTCAGTGTGTGCCGCGAAATCTCCTGCCGACCTCGACTTACATTAGTAATAGTTTCCATCTCGATTCTGTAAAGAAAAATTAATATATCGCAACAAGAAGATATGTATAATAATCACATGAAAATATTTCTGGTATTGATTATTAGTTAGATTTAGCAAAGAAAAGAACCCCACACCAGGATTCCCTGTATCGTGGGCAGCTATTCCCTTCCATTTGACATATTGATTGACATATGATTTTAGCTACTGAATGTAATAAATTCTACATAACACTTACAAGCAAACTACTGTTGCACAAAAGAATTCTTTCGTTTTAAGCATAGAACAGGTTGAGTAGATGTTGTTTAGGACTGTTAGTGAATGTATAAAGTTTTAAATCGATAGTGAAAATTGTTTTTAAGAAAGTGGTTAAAGACGAGAGGGCCTCTAAAGAGAAGAGGCGTTGGGCGAAGAAAGTGCGTTTGGGTAGCTTTAGGTTTGCGTTTTGTGTGGTCGATGTTTGTTTAAAAAATAGCATATTGTCATTCATTATTGATATTGGATAGCGAAGTTTTCAAATAGGATATCTTAACGCGCCTTGGGCACGCTCAATGTAGCGAAAGGAAACCCGTAATTAAAAAAAGGAATTGCCTTGATCTAATTCCACACTTGTGTTCATTAATTGGAATCCGCACGTAAACGTCAATTGAAGGGAAATTGCTACAATTACCATTGTACAAATTAAACAGGACATCTTGTGACCGTTTAAGGACAAGTGTAAGGTATTTTATATATGTGACAACATAGTTGTGCGGTAACTTGTTAATGTATTTTCGTAAAACGACTTCTGGTAATTTAAACTGTAACCAATTTAATTGCCAAGAGTTCTTGGATGTTTCAAGAATATTTTTGAAGTTATACTTCTTTAGGCGCGTTATGAAAAATTTATGAGAGTGATATTTTACGATGCGCGCGCACCGTGACACAAAATTAACAGAATGATGTTGCCCACGGAAGATGCTACGGCATTGGACATAATTTAAAAACAACATTCGAATAATAATAGAATTTATTACACTTAATGTAAGAGAATAATAATAAATATTTATTTATTTAATTTTTAAAATTAAACTGAACTTTATTGACTATAATGACTCCTTTCCCAGTCTTTGATTATTTAATTGTAATTAATTATTTGCATGCAATTAAAAACTATTCTTAATAATGCCAAAGAAGTATAACTTCTTACGCGCGTAGGTACATAAGTACACGCACCCTTTTTTTATTTGATGTAGGTATGTTGTACACCCTTAAATCAAAGAGAAGTATTCTTCCAACAACAGAAAAGTTTTTTTTTCTAAAGAAATATTTACACTATTATTTGGGTAAACATTTTCAAAATAGTGTGAATATATTTTATTTTCGTTATCTAGAATAGGCATGTCTTATTATAGATAGAAAAGTTTCAATTCTCAATTAAGTAATACTGACTTGTTATTAGCGTCACTCGCGTAGTGCGTGAGGCCGTCGTAGCGCGCGAGGGGCGTGGTGAGGTGCGCGGGGGGCGAGCGAGGCGGGGAGGGGGAGCGCTTCTCGCTCTCCCATTTCTTCTCGCTCTTGCGCGGCTTGCGCTGGATCTTGCGGTTCGCCGCTGATATTATCGACGAGACTATGTCCCGGGTGGACACGTCTTTGCCTAGAAGATTACAGAATTTCATATTTTATTTGTAAATAAAAAATGATAAAAAGTAAAAAAAATATTTTAGAATTATTTAAAATTAAAAATTATGTTAGAATTAAAAGAAATCTTAGTAATTAGAATAATTGCAAGTACCTTCAATCTTCTTGACGTTGTGTATGAGCAGGTCCCTGGAAGGCGCAGGCGCAGGTGAGAGGGGGTCGGAGGAGGGGGGGAGGTTCCGAGGGGGGGGGCTGCCCTCTTCCTCCTCGAAGTACCACGTGTACTGAGGGGAAATATACAAATATCAACCATGTGTTATACATATAAGGAAACTTTAAACATATTATTCAGTAAATAATTAATAGAGTAAATATGACTTTTATGGCAGTTTTGTGTTAAACAAATATGGGTAAATTATTGTTATAAATTTTGTCTGAAACTAAGGGTGGATAGAAAGTGTTCCTGTTCCACACACTAAATTAGCCTAAATCTTAATGAAAGGAGTAAATTCCAAATGAATAAACCACTCACATGCGTAAGAAAAGACTCGATAATCCGGCACTGACTGGACATGTCATTCACCATTGCCAGCATATCATCACTGGCTGCGCGCACGAGCGTCGGACCGAACACAATAGCGAGGTTACGCGCCTCCATCTTGTTGTGATGCGCCTGCGACGCCACTCGTCTCAAATGTTGAATAAGGTACTTTAGTGTTTCGTAGTGAGCCTCTGGTAGCGCTTGTACGAGGCGTCTTAGCTCGCGAGCGCGCTCGGTGGATCTGTCCGCAGCTGTAAGATTTGTTTTTGTTAATACACGGCTTTTATTTGTGTGAATATTATTTTTCTGACGGTCAAACACACACTTAAAATTTTATATATAAATAAATATTTTTGTTCCAAAGACCTCCTACAGAGTGCCTATAGGCCTTCTCCAACTGGCTCCATCTCTCTCTATCGTGAGCATTTATCTCCCAATCTTTCCCACCAACTTCTTTATGATCGTCACCTCACCGAGCAAGAGTGCGATCTCTCTTTCTTTTTCCTGGTGGTTTCCCACCTTGTTACTCTGTTTGTTCATCTGTCATGCGAGCGGTGTGCCCCGCCCATTAGCCCAAAGCACGATTTATACAACATTAATTTCAACTTTCATATATAAAGTGCACCGTAATACATATATCGTTATAATTTACCAACAAATAATTTTGTAAAAAACCAACCTATAAACGCCGGATACATCTCAGCGGTAAGTAATGGGTCAGGCAGTCTTCGAAGGTATGCCTTCAAGAGACTTGAAGCGACGTGCACATCTGCCCATCGAGGGTCTCCTTCTGGTGGAGGTTCCCCCCTGTCCAAAGCAGCTGCAAGGGCTGCGACACCTGCTGCATTACCAGGCACTCTGTATACGCCTACTGTTCGAAGACCATAAGCCTGCAATTGTTAAATACATGGTGAATTACTTATGCCCGTAATGCAAGCACTGCCTTAACCTTAGCTGCTTACTGCTATTACATGTGGCAAACAGTGTATTGTTAAAAAGGGCGTACGTACAAAGTACACATGACAGAAGTGAAACTTCTTTGGCAAACTAATTTTTAAGTCTAGTTCATATTTATACAAATCTAAAACTTTAGATTTCCGAGACTTAGATGGAAGGGAAAAGGAAGATATGTCAATAAAATATTAAAAGTGTCGAAAATTAATACAAATTATAAATGAAAAAAAATAATATATTTGTCAATGTCACTTGAGATTTCAATAAATTATTTTGCATAAAATATAAAATACTAATATTTCATAAATTCACTTTACGATATTTTAATTTAAAAAATATAATTTCTATAAGCTAATTCGCGCTTCTCACTCTGTCTCAATCGCTCTCTCCCTATTCTTCGAAAAAAACGCTGCACATCTTCGTGACGCTAATTTTATTATTATTGCGTTTCATCGTATCATTCACGAACACTTAGATATCAGCAAATAAATATATTCTCATCAACAGCTTACCTCAACAGCTTCAGCAGGTAGTGTAACAGCGCGGGGTACCGTTGGATGACTGGGGTCTGATGGGCACCGTTCGAGGGGAGCGCCGAGCCAACCTGTGACAGCAGGGGGAGCCGGGGGCCCAGCGGTTCCTGGATGCATTCGCCGTAGTTGTTTAGCCATGCGACCTTTCCACGTTTTGTTTTTGGGAGACGAGGGTAGTGTGGGCGTTGGTGGGCCTACCATTGATACTGAAAACAGGTTATATATTTACACAACTGTTTTTTGGTTCTGTTAGTACAGGATGAACATTAGAAATTCTTTGAGTGACAATTTTTTTACTTTACAGATTTATTTCTTACCTGTAGGTGATCTATTCCTTCCGATCTTCTTGTTCCTCTGTGGCGGGAGGGGAGATGAGCTGTCTGCGGGAGGGGTAGTCGTTGGGGCGGGAAGGGGAGCGGGCTCCGCGGGAGGTGGCTCGGCCGAGTGTCTGCGTAGCGCCGCCAGCCATCTTTGCGCATCTGCTGCACCTTCAGCCTGAAATAAAAAATAAAGTTATTAAAAAATGCTAAATTTTAATACCTTATGCACGTTTCTCTATATTACATAAACCTTTTCAAAAAGCAAGAATTTAATAATTTCTGTTTTATAGAACAGGGGGCAAACGGTCAGGTGTCTCATCTGATGTTAAGTGATACCGACGCCGATGGACACTCTCAATTCCAATCGCGATTGCGTTGCCGGCCTTTTAAGAATTGATACGCTCTTAAGACCCTTCTAAAACCAAGCGTAATTACGTCGTAGGATTGAGATTAAATAACTTAGTATTTACTATTATATAATTTATCACTAACTGAATATTGAATTTACGATCGCAACAGTATTGGTGTATTTTAATACAAATTTGCTAACAAAAAATTTATCATACATTGTATTTATTAATAAGATACTAACTTGAAGCAATAATTCTGCACCAGCCGCTGTTGTGACCCGAACCACGTGTTTTCGCTTTGTATAGTCGTCTGCAAGTGCGGCCAGCGAATAGCGGACATCGAGAGCGTCGCGGGAGCTTTCTGCGTTTGCACCTGCGCCGCTCACTGCACCGGGGCTCTAAAACGAAGGAAAAGAGATGTTAACGACGCATTCTTTAATTATGTATTAATAACAATGTTAAAGCAATTATGGAAGGAAAACAAGACTTGATTATTGCAGTTATTATTGAATCTACAAACTTAGATTGGAAAATTTTTTTTTGATAAAGATTACGAGAATATTCAAAATTTCTGCTTGTACACAATATTTTACATTTCTTGCGTGTCACATTAATACGTAAAAGAATAATAATAAATCAATCTCTTTACGTCTGGGCCTCAGATTTATGTATCTGTTTCATGATCATTTAATTATCTAATAGGCTAGTAGATGATCAGCCTCCTGTGCCTGACACACGCCGTCAACTTTTTGGGTCTAAGGCAAGCTGGTTTTCTCACGATGTTTTTCCTTCGCCGTTCGAGCGAATCTTAACAGCGCACATATAAAGTCTAATCTAAACTATGCTACTTTTGAAATGTTATATTATTTATATTCTCTATTAATTCTTCAGTGAATCATGTAGACAGGCGCTTTTGATGTGCGTTAGGTAAACAAGTCAGGAATGCAATTACAAAATAGCTAGTACATTTTTCGTACTACTTTTCACTGACTCAATATTCATCTAAAATTCTTTAACAAAGGCGCCCATTATAACTTTTGTGGGTTGCAACTTTCGAAAATGAACTGTGTCGAATTTTAACTTTGTTATATTATGTGTTCGAACAAGTTTGAAAATAAATATTATTTAATGGAAGACCCTTCTTGGTGCACCAGTAGATATTCTGTAATAGATAATATATATTTCAAGTGCTTTGCACAACAAAGTTGTTTAATTTAAATATAATAAAACTCATGGATAAACTAATAAAATAGCATCTAAAATTATCGTGATTCAAGTGCACTTTTTCTTTTTCATGTGTCCTTGTTTTAATATTGTGCCTTTCATTTGTTTTAATTGCTTTGTTTTGTTCTATTAGTTTTGTTTAAATAACTCTAAAATGTCTTATGTATTTTTGCACTTCTCAAAGTTACCTTATCGAATTTTTATTTTCACATTGTTTGCCTGGAAGATATCGCTTGAAACCGATAAGGCCGCCGGTTACCCGCCCTCACTAAATTATGTCAATTGTATTATATTTCTGTACATGCAACGAAGTGTTAAATAAAATCATTAAACATTTATTCTGATATGTCTTTTAGTACAGCATTAAAATTCAGTATTTTCTGTTAGGAAATCATTTATAATCTTGATTATGAACAAAAATATAACCGTTAGGATAATTTTAAACGCAATTCGGCTTAATAACAAACGTCTCAGTGTGTCAGTCGGTTGTCGCCCGGCGGACGCACGCGCAATAAATTTCAATTTCAATCGAGATCATTCTGTTTAAAATCTAGACACCGGTCCTTGCCCTATAATTTTGCAAATTAGTGTACACTTCACCTTAACTAAGGAATCGCTTTGACAATTGTTTGAATGTTATTTTTAAATCAGAAGGAATGTTATTGGCATTGCATTTATTTGTAAAGTTCTAAGATCCCGCTGCAGGATTGGTGCGCTCATCGACTATTTGTTTAAAACCAAATTTTTATGTTTATTTATAATTAAGAGAATATATATTTACTAGGGTGCCTATCAAAATTTGGCCGCCATTATTTTTAATTAAATTATTTTTAATTGATTTTTGGTAAAAATTGCGTTCATTTATTATTTAAATAAAATAACGTCTACATCACGGTAATTAATATGAAGATTCTAAAAAATCATGGGTGCCGTTGCGCACATGGCCGCACCTCTTTGCAGCCAGGTGTAAACAGGTATGATTTCGATAAATTTATACGTTTATAACCTATTTTTATTAATTATATGTCAAATTGAAGCTAATTTTTTTCTATTAATTATCATATAAAGTTGCTTAATTAAATCTGGCCGCAAATAAGGGCTACTGGCTGTTAAAGATAATAAATATTTAAGGTAGAGTGAAAGAGAGTTAGCGCGTAACATCATTTGTCAGACGAGGACAGCGATTGTCGGCTGTGCGACGCTTTTAAGCCATTGCACATGCGTCGAACGTTAGTGTTCTCAACCACCAGGGAGTAATAGAGACGACTTATAATAAATACTCCAAAAAATATGTAATTTTTTTCAAAATGACAAATTTAAAAATTGCAACAAAAAATTAATATTGATTTGATATATCGACGGTCTAGTTAGCAATTTGTCTAACTCCTTATTTTTAGAGGGTGATTTTTTTAACATTTTGATGAAGACATAATCCAATTACAAATTATTTGAATGATTCAAACTTAAAAATTATATCTCTATTAGATATTAATGATATTAAATGGTTTTTTAAAATGATAATAAATTTTGAAGTCATTGTTTTTTTCGTACAAATAAAAGATTCTCTAAAATGGAGTTAGATAATTTGCTAATTAGAACGTCGATATTTAATATGAATTTAAAAATAAAAAAAATAAAACCAAGGTGACTTAAGTAAAAGAAAATTTTATTGCGAAAGTATTATTTAAAAATTTTATTAGATTTTATTCAAGTAATTGATTGTCTATTACATATTAATTAAACATTTAAGCAAATTAAAAAATTAAAAAAATTAATCTTATAACTCTTATATTTCCGTAACTCTTTTTAAAAATCTGAATCATCGGAGCTTTCTGTTGTACTATCATCGGAGCTATCACTTTCATCGCTACAAATATCAGAATCGTCGTTATCGGAAGCTTTGTTCATGGATTCACATAGCACACTATTAACTTGCGTTGGAGTTGAGTCTCCCAGGAACCATGTTGGTTTTAAAAAACCATCTAGTACCAGCCAGCCATTCTGGGCTTTTTTGCAATTTGTTGCAATTTTTAAATTTGTCATTTTGAAAAAAAATTCATATTTTTGGAGTATTTATTATAAGTCGTCTCTATTACTCCCCGGTGGTTGAGAACACTAACGTTCGACGCATGCGCATTGCGCAATGGCTTAAAAGCGTCGCACAGCCGACAATCGCTGTCCTCGTCTGACAAATGATGTTACGCGCTAACTCTCTTTCACTCTACCTTAAATATTTATTATCTTTAACAGCCAGTAGCCCTTATTTGCGGCCAGATTTAATTAAGCAACTTTATATGATAATTAAAAGAAAAAAATTAGCTTCAATTTGACATATAATTAATAAAAATAGGTTATAAACGTATAAATTTATCGAAATCATACCTGTTTACACCTGGCTACAAAGAGGTGCGGCCATGTGCGCAACGGCACCCGTGATTTTTTAGAATCTTCATATGAATTACCGTGATGTAGACGTTATTTTATTTAAATAATAAATGAACGCAATTTTTTACCAAAAATCAATTAAAAATAATTTAATTAAAAATAATGGCGGCCAAATTTTGATAGGCACCCTAGTAAATATATATTCTCTTAATTATAAAAAACATAAAAATTTGGTTTTAAAGAAATAGTCGATGAGCGCACCAATCCTGCAGCGGGATCTCGTACTAAAAGTTCTATTTTTATGTGTTGTGACAGTAAGCATAACTCAAAACTATCGAATGGATTTGCTTCAAGTGGGATGTTTTTGCTGCTCTCCTAGAGTTATATTGCAGGGAAAAATAAGATGATAAGGAATTAAGAAATATACTATAACAACGCAAATGATATTTTGTTCAAGAGATAGCGCAATGTAACAGCATCAAAAAGTAAATAACATCGTTATTAAGGTTATAATAATAATAATTTATTTACAAGAATATGTTAGAAGAATATTATGGTGGTACAAGCTAAACTTTGCATATAATGGCGTGCAAATTTGTCTAACAGAATTAAAAGGTAGAATTTTACATATAACAATACATCAACATTAATCAATTCTTAAATTATTTTATCACGTTATTAAAATATATTAATACGTTATCATATTATATACGAAAGAGGAACCAATAGATTTCTAAGGAAGGTTAAGTTGTATAATAATTCATGGTTTTATGAAAATTTCCTGTAATATAAGGATTATAGTTGAAGAGGTTGCAAACAATCTATCCAAAATACACATAAGCCACACAGCAACTTGTATTTTTAAGTTTTGTTGTAGTAATTTCAAATGCTTTTGTCATATCGGTCATATCAGTCTTATTGATAAGTTATTAAAGGCTCAAATATATGTACGAGTATATCAACAATGCTTTCACATGAACCTAGTTAAAGAAACACAGAAGAAGCTTTTGCTTATTTTTCAGATCATTAAAAAATGTTATTAATTATCTATAGATTCAAAAGTATGCATATATTTCTTTTCGTTTGATTTTAAAGGTTCAAATATATGTACGAGTATATCAACAATGCTTTTACCTGAGCCTAGTCAGAGAAACACAGAAGCTTTGGCTTATTTTTTCAGACCATTAAAAAATACTTTTAATTATCTATAGATTCCAAAGTATGCATATATTTGTTATTGTAAGCTTTCAAACACAATTATACGTGTAATTTGTAATCGGCATATTGTCTGGAGCTTTCACCTTCTAATTATAGTAATAAATGTCTACACATTGTCAGAAACGAGCATCAAACAAGCATGACGGTTATTTATCGTGTCGAAAGCTTAGAGAAAGAGTTGAGAAAGTTGCATGAAATGCGATACTATTTTTCAGGATAGTATCTACCTATTAGCACGCCATTGCAAAACAATTGAATATTGAATTTCATGAATTGTGTCAAATTTGGATTTGACGTTTGACTAGACAAATTTAATTTCACAAGTTATCGTGTATATTATCTATGGTATTTATTTAAAAAGTAAATAGGTCTTATATAATACTAATAATAATAATAAAGTTTGTCTCTTCACAATATTGCGTTTAGGGGCCTCATAGCGGTCTTATTAAGTGGCAGCTAGGTGAGGGGTACCGGGTTCGATTCCCGGTTCGAGGGCAAGTTTTAATTTAATTTAAATTTGTTCTCGGCCTTTGTGGGGGTTGTGCGGTACCGGGCGAGTGCTTAAACCGTA